TGCACCATGAGAGAATGGCTGCTGACACACTGTTGAGGATGTGTCCATTTAATCGGGCTGTTGATCCTGTGAGTAGTGCTAAATCACTTTGATAGACTGCAACAGCGGGCAGGTTTCCAGGGAGGACAACCACACGAGTTTGGAGATCACGTATCACGGAAAATTTGGCAACATGTGCTGTGAGATCTCTCAGGAGATTGTTGTCACAAGTGGATCGAGACTGTTCTAGATCAGCATTATTTGCTTTCGTGGAAGCGTTACACATACCTTTGTGAATGAAGCCCAGGATATTCTGACATGGCAATTGTCACGTTCAAGTGTTGCTGTGTCTTCGTCATCATCTGTTTCCATCATATCTGATACGGCAAGAGCCTCTTCTGAGTCTGAGGGACAGGCTGCAACCTCATCGACGGAAATGTCCTCAGAATCAACCCATAGAGACTGATTCATGTCATCTTCAAGAGGATCAGCTTCCACCTGGTTTGTGTGTTCCTCAATCGTGGGTTCTGGGTTCAGAGGCGCAGCGGGGGCTGCGGCGGGGGCTGCGGCGGGGGTCGCAGCGGGGGTGAAATTGTGGGAGCTGACAGAGAGTGTCGGGTCCATAGCCAGCAGCCGAGGTTGAGGAATTTGCAATTGACGGCGCCATCTTGATGCAACACGTCGAAGAAAGTTGATTTCTTGCTCCAGCTCATGTTGCAGAATGTGATCTAGCATAAGAAGTGTCCAGTCACTTGACAGAGAGTAATGAACAACGCACTTGAAATGCAATCCTTTGCTGAAAGAAGCAGCAAAGACTCTTGATCAATCCAACGCAGCATGTTTTCGCTCTCTCGGGCCAGGCGAAGCCCTTCCTCATGACAGCGGTCCAGTACATGGAGACTTGAAATTCCCTGACGGACATTTTCATCGCAGAGCCACAATGGGACATCCCCTTCCGAGGGAGTGATCCATACATCTTCGAAGAGGTTGGTATGAGACTTAAGCTTGTTTAGCTTGGTAGGAAGTGGGAGAGGGATGGGAACAGAGCAGTGTGGAGGCTGAATCTCTTCCAGTCGAGAGCAAAAGGAATTGAATTTGTCGATAAGACAATGCAGCGTTGGCTGACGTTTCGAAAGAGCTTTACGTGCTGCTTGATGAAGCTTCGTACCTAGATTGCAGATGGAAACATGTCAGTGCGGTGGCGTAGTGTACGCGGGGGTGCACGCGGGGGTGCGCGCGGGTGTGCGCGCGGGGCGGGGGTGAATTTGGGGGCGCATGGGGGAGGGACTTACCCAGTGGCTCCCGTCGTCCTTGGACAGCACGGTCTAAATTCTCCCATTCCAAAAATGTCCCAATTGCTTGTTTGCGAATCTGAATCTTGAGGTCCCTCATCAGCAGCAGGATCTGCACAAATTCAAAGGGAAGTCCAGCCAGCTCTGGATAATGAGTCTCCAGGTTGAGTGAAGTGAACAGATGCTCAGCTTGTTGACTGAGCTTGACATGAGTGGATTGCAGATCCTGGATCGCAATATGTGCTGACTCCGAGCTCTGTCTATCTTCGACAGTCTTTTGGAGTTGCTCCAGAGTGTCATCAATATCTTCAATTTGATTTTGAAGGCTGACTATCTTGCCGAGCTCACGTTGGACTCGAACAGGGGGGCCTGGGAGAGTGTTTTGAGTGAAGATCCTTCTCAAGGGAAGATGATATACTTGAATGAAGTGATACCTGGGCACTCAGTTGAGCCTGCCAGTGTGATCGCAAGTCATGAATGGCCACGCCTGCAGCATTGATCCGTCTCATGGACTGATTGATCTTTTGGGGAATGTTCTTATTGAGTTGCCGTTCAATCCAACTACCTAGACTGATGATTCCTTCATGATTGACAAAGGAAACAAATTCATCTAGGGTGGCTATGCGCCGTGAGGTCTGTGGATGTGTCAGAATGATAAACAGCAACAGAAATATGTAGGGATACCCATTGATTACGAGTCAGAGGAATCAATCTTCTTATCCTTGACCAAAGTCTTTCTACACCTTCTGAATCAGTGAGACCCATACCCAACTTCATGCGTGGGTTGTAGACCAATTGGCAGGCCCATTGATGTCCAAATGCATGCATCGCGTTCAGAGAGAATGATACGCGAGATCGCAAATGGGCAGAAAGGATGGGGAACTTCGGAGTATAGTCAGCATTGATATGGACTCTATCAAGGGGTGCGGCGGGGGGTGCGGCGGGGGGTGTCACAGGGGTTGCGGCGGGGGGTGTCGCGGGGGGTGTCGCGGGGGGTGCGGCGGGGGGGTGCGGCGGGGATAGAAGTGACAGACTGTGAATGGGAATGCACGTACCAAATTGTTACTCCGGTCAAGAACACAACCGATATCATAACATTGCGTAATGGTTGCATTGGATGGCAGGAGTGAGGCCACCTTCTCCAAGAGCGCAATTATGTAGTGCTGCTGCTCTCCTGGAGTGTCTATATCACACATGAACAGGACTTGTGAGTGACGACATGTCAGTGCAAAGATGCCAGTGGAGTCATAGCGCTTTGGATCCCCCTTTTGTTTGTGCTCATTTGCGGCAGTCCATGACTCTCCACAGGCATCCACAATATCAGCTGAAATTAGAGACTCTTTGAGAGGCTTCGGAGATTTCCTCGCCAAAAGCACAGTCTCTTTGACCTTGTGAACCTCTTCAGGTGTCAGGAAGTACTCCTGACTGAACAAGGATGGTCCGTTGCCAGCAGCTCGGAGATGACGATAGTTGAAGCAACCATCAGCACCAAATTGGACATCCCCACCGCTGAGAATATAAGTCAGTCACTGGTGATCAGAGTCAGAGGAAAATCGAACATAGCAAGCGGACGGCCCCATTCCTTCAGGGAAAAACACAAGGGACACCGGCTCTGTAGAACCCGATTTGCAGATCCAGGGACCAGCAAGAGTTGATCATCAGATTTGACGGTGTGGTTGGCAGGGGTAAATGACGTGGGGGGTGCGGCGGGGGACGCGGCGGGGGGTACAGGGGGGGACCCAGCGGGGAGTGCAACGGGGGGTGCGGCGGGGAGTGCGGCGGGGGGTGCAGGGGGGGACGCAGCGGGGGGTGCGAAGGGGGGTGCGGCGGGGGGTGCGGCGGGGGGTGCACCGAGCATGGACACCTCGCAAGGTCCTGTGATTGAGACTGATGGATGTGGCTCAGCATGTGCAGGGGAAATTTCACAGGTGGAAGCTATGGAGTCTCTTGGAGATGATCCGGTGCTGCTACGGCAATACTCTTTGGCCAAGGCATCATTGACCATTTTTCGGATATGCTGTTGAATGCTGCTGTACACATGCACTGCCTGGGATAAGGCTTGTCGAAGAGGATCAGCAGCATGTTCACCATCAAACTGGAATATGTATCAGAAATAAAGTGCAAAAAAAGCGGAATGAAAGAAGCAACTCACGGTTTTGGACATCAGCTCAAATCCTCTGGTATTATAGAGGGTTGTTAGAGCGTTTGTGAATGCTTGAATGGCAATGCAGGAGCGTTGAAACAATGCCTGGTATATCTCCAATGTATTGACTGTAACAGCAATTTGTGGCTTGCTAGGTGAGGTGGCCAGAGCACCATGCTCCAGTAGAACAGTTGCAGGGGGAACACAAGAACATGTTTGGACATTGATATGTTGAAAATCTGGTCAAATGTCAGGCCAAATCTGTTCAGGCAAAATTGAAACACACATGAGATGTGGAGACATAGGACACGAATTTTAGTTGGGGTACAGGCAGGATTTTCACAATTTTGATGAATGGTTTCAGCGAGTGATGCGGGTGGACATGCAAAGGATGATTTCCGAAATGCCAGCAGAGAGATGGCAAGATCAGGGATGAGATTGATCCACACAGAAGAGGCCTGCATAGCACGTGGCTTCCTCTGCAAAGCATGTGGTCGCGCAAGAATTTCAGGGATAAATGGCGGCATTCCAGCCCCAACACCCAGCCATGCGGCGGGCCCCGCGGCGGGCCCCGCAGCACCCCCCGCGGCACCCCCCGCGGCACCCCCCGCGGCGGGCCCCGCGGTAGGGCCCGCGTCATGTGCAATATCTTCCCATAGATCCTCGCTCATTGCGCTTGTTTCATCCACTTCCATTCGATCCTCAAGGATTATATGCTCCTCCATCCGTTGTCCAGACGGTTCGGTTTTCAAATCTGCTGATTTTGGGTCAAGCAAAGAATTCATCTTCTGAGCCAGAAGATTTGCGCGAGCGTTGCGGCCCATGGGTATTGTCAAGACGTTTCGGAGCTTGTGCCGTCCCTTCACTGGACTGGTGGGTCGAATGCTTTGCCCCGAAGGTTTTCCTGGCTGCTTTCTTGGTGGTGGCTTTTTGGGGGGCATCCTGGGAGGAAGAGGCAGAAGGAGATTGTCATGGGAAACAAAGTAATCATATATCAGGGAACCCAGCGGCACTACGGCGTGAGCGTACAAATATGGAACAGATCAACCCCGCAGATGACCCCGCCAGATGATGGGATCATGCCCATCACTGCTGTAGCGCGGGGGGCGCAGCGGTCCAGGTTTTGCATTCAGTGCTTCGCTTTTTCGATATTTGAGGCACAGGACAGACTGGAATAGCATCCCGGTTTTTCCGGCAGCTATTTTTGTTTTTTTTTGCGCTCGGTCACGTGACCAAACTGCCCGCCGCCCCCGCGCATTGTGCACCGTGGAGAGCCCTGAAAATCGCACCGAATGGCGGCAAAAAAGATGGGAGGAGGTCACGTGAATGTGCGCCTACCGCCCGCCGTGGCATGCGGGGGGGTCGGTAATGACCCCGCCAGCACCCTGCCAGCCCCCGCCAACATTTTAAAAATTATCACTTCAGCTGTCACGTGCTTTTTTTATCCCGCCATCCCGCCCATGCAGCGCGTCATGTGATTGGATTTTTTTTCCCGCCCAGCTACCCGCTCTTATCGACAAGTCACATGCTACATACACCCCCCCTCCTCCTGACCCCGCATATGCCCCCGCTACAAAATCGACTAAATGGCCCCCCCACCCCCCGCCAGGGGGTACCTACTGGGTACCCTCAGCAAGACGTCTGAGGGTACCCAGTAGGTACCCCGCGGGGGGAGAACCGCGTGATGGCGGTGGTAACTGAGGTGGGAGAGCCACCACCATCATCGAGGACGGTTACTGTCTAGGATTTTACGCATTTCCCAGTGCTCCATCACTAGATGCTCGAATTCAGTTGGACTCTGAGCTACTCAGCGAGGTCTGCGAGCGAAACTGCCATCCCGAATTTTGCCATGCCCAGACGCTCTGTCCTTCGCTTCCCATCATTCTGTACAACAAGATCGTGGTCCACTCCGCTACTGCCTCCCCCAGCCGCATTCTCCGAAACCTCACCAAACACCAGTACGTCCGCGAAACCGAGCTGGACAAGATGAAAGTCAAGTATCCGGACTTCCCTTCCTGGGATAAGAAACTGACCATCCACGATTTTTTGACCCTTGGCCATATCGTCTTTGCGCACATCTGCTGGTCCTCGGATCCCTGCACTTCCATGGGTCGGGATGATTCCATCGACTTCCGCCGCGGCATTTGGGCTGGCGACCGGTTTGACATCATTCCTGATTCAGATGAGGAGTGGGTGAAAGAGCTGCAGCAGGAGACGTCACGGTGGAAGGATGTCAGCAGAGACACGGTTGATGAGCTCGAGCGCATCTTCGTATGGGCGTGTCTGGAGTGAACTTATATCAGTGTGATCAGGAGATTGTAAGACCAACTTCTATGACGCTCATTTTTGTCTCAATCCCCATGGACGCATTATCCAGGTCAATGAGTACTGACTCTTGAGTCCGATTGGAGAACTCGAAGGGCTAATTTCAATAACACGACCAAACATCCGTGTTGCGTCCTATTCATTACCTTGTAGGCTTGTCCCAACCTGGGAGTGATACTACTCATGGGTCAATCCTGGAAAGTCGTGAACCTTACTCAAGAAACATGTGAAGAACTAAGCAAGCTAGGAGACTGCTTTTTCGATGGAAGCGTTTCGCATAGGCTAGTAGAGAGGATTCGCCGCCCTCAATACCGCGAATTGGATTCAGTGGTGGGGATGTGCAAGCCAGGTTCCATTGCATTTGGAAATCGAATAAGCGGCATTTTTTCGCTCAACTTGGAACGTGGTAAACACACATGGCTCTGTCCAATGAGAGTCGAGCAAAGGTACGTATTGTGTTGTGTCACTCACTTGCTCTTGTCTCATCCAAGTCCTCGCCAGCTCCGAGTGTATTTTGCTGCACGGTCTGCCCATCGAGCTCTTCAGCCTGATATGCGAGGACCTTGACAATGGGGAACTCATTTTCTTCGCTATGACGTGCCAACACGTTTGGGATCTGTGTCGGCCCTTGCTACACGAGCGTATGAAGCGCCTCTGCAGCCGCCTTTACTGGAGTGGACATCGATTGGTTTGCTTCGGAAGCGAACTCGCCCACAATGATATCCCCGACTCCATCCTTTCTTCGGAAGAGAGAACACAGTATTTCGGCATCACAGATGGGCATGACCATGACAGTGTATGGGAAAACGGATTCGCCAACTTCGCCCTTCCATTGCACCGTAAAATGTATCTCGATGTTGAGCTGCGTATCAAGGCCCGCAAGCGCAACTGTCAGCTTGATTATCTCCATGCGTCGACGTTGTGTCGTTTGCTGGAGTCTTTCCGGTGCGGCGACATCGTGGTCGTTTCGACCGCTGGCTCCACTAATCACATTCTTCGAAACCTCACCAAACACGAGTATGTCCGCGAAATCGAGCTGTTCAAGATGAAAGACAAGTATCGGAACTCTCGCCCACAGATGTGCTATTTCTTGTCTCTGGGTCACATTGTCCTCGAGCGTATATGCTTGTCCTCGACTTCCTCCGTATCGATGGGTCGGGACGATTCCATCGAGCTCCACCGCGGTGTTTGGGCTGGCGACCGGTTCGATATCATCTCTGATTCAGATGAGGGGTGGGTTCAAGAGCTGCGGAAAGAGATGTCACGGTGGAAGGATGTCAGCAGAGATGCCGTTGATGAGCTTGAGCGGATCCTCAAATGGTAACGTCTATAATGAACTGGGAAGGGGAGAGGCGCTCCTGCAAGACAATACTGATACTGTTCCACCTTGACCTCACGTTCTATGACTAGCGCGATGCAGGTAGCGAAATTTAGTCCCAGTGCATAGCGAGTAATCGATGGTTTTCAGCCGGAGGGCAACGGACGCACGAGCGCATGCAAGAGGATTTGTGTCAGCAATGAGAGACAGAAAGGTTTCTCGGCGGGATTGTGAAGTCGGGAGTGCAGCATGTCCACACCCTCCGCTTTCACATTCGTCGGGTAACCTCAAACATCCGACAGGACCAGTCCATAACGAGGTCTATCAATGTACTCTACGGGTCGATCAGTCATGAGAGCATATCACTGCTCTCCAGCAGGGGTCTCCTCGGCATCATTTGACCGTCGCGCTGCTGGTGTCGATGCGATTTTATCCGGTAACGGCCACTCCTGGATCGGCAGCGTAGAAAGCAGTAAAAGTCCAGCAAGGACCTAGTCATTCGTTCAGCGAAGAAAGAACGGCGAATCACTCATGAACGACGAACGATTTGACAGTAGAATACTGTGTGCAGCGAGAGGGCCCAGCTTGTCGTGGCGGCTTTCTTCAGTTCGTCAGGGAGGGTGTGTATATACGTCGTCGAGTCTAGGATGCGCGCGATGATCTACTCAGTATGCATAAGTGAAAAGCTTCCCGCGGGAATGTCTACGCACCTGATCAGCATGTGCCCCAGTTATCTGAGCCCGCAGTTGGTGTGCGAGCAGAGTCTGTGTCACGGCTGCTGAAAGAGATACGCCTAGCACCTGGCCAGTCGTGCGGAACAAATATGACACTAAATGGTACAATGAGCTGCGGGCCTCAAGAGGTATGGTCCGAGAAATCCTCACAGCTTGTGGCCATCGGAATGTCGTCGCGTGGAACACTGGCAATAAGCGCAAGGAGAGTCGTAGTGAGCATTGTCGCATATCCGTATCCCTATCCGCAAGTCAGTAACATGATATATAGAGCAAAGCCTGTGATGCTGACGAACGGCGCCAATGTGACGAACATGAACCACTCCGGTGTGCGGTCGTTCCTGTACAGACCGTGTCAGATTGAACATAATGGCGAAGACAGGACAAATCACACACCACAACGCTACGGTCGTAGCAGCCAAGGCGACAGATAATCCCGATACAAGTTGCAGTTTCCAGTAGCGTCCCGTTCTCCGCATATACCATCCTGCAGAAAGGGACCCGACGGAAATACCAACCGAGTTCGAGATAAGGTGAGCACCTGCGTTCGTCGACGTCCGAAGGAACGCCGCCGTGAAGTAAAGGGGAATGCTGTAGATCATGGAAAAGGTCAAGACGGCGACGAGGAAGTTGTTCTCCAAAGAGATTTAGTCAAGTGCGGAAGAAGCGAGAGAAAGCGCACCAGAGCAACGAATCCCGGTGTCCGCAACTTGAGCATAGAGATGGGAAGAACTGGTTCAGCCGCGAATTTGAATTCTATCACGAGAAACGCGACAAGCAACATAGCTCTTGGAAGCAGATCAGACCGAGCAGTCTCACCAAGATACCAAAGCTTACGACGCAGTCAAGCAGCTCCACACACGCACATCCGTCCAATTGTGTCCGCCCGTGGTCTTGTAGTTCAGACCGACAAGAAAAGATAACAAGGTGAAAAGCAGCGCAAACGTCCCCGCATAGTCAATCCGCTTGAGCTTCTCCGCGAGGGTCGATGAGGATCCAGCGAATGTCACGCTTTCCGGTTCGCGCACTTTCACGAAGAGCAGAGCGCTTCCGGTAACAAGCACCGGAGCTTGGCACAAGAATGCCGCGCGCCATCCGATGGTGTCGCCGAGCCATCCTCCGAGCGGCCCACCGACGCCAGCACCAAGACCGAAGAGGAGGTTCGTGACTGGGCCAGGTGGAGGTCAGTGGACGTAAGCTGGTACGAAACGAGGGCGCTTACAGCCTTGGTAAAGCCCCCGACTTTTGAGCGGCACGACGTCTGAAACTATGACCGACCCTACGACCGTCATGCCCGCACCTCCAACACCCGCCAAGGCCCGGCACGCAATCAGCTGAGGCCTGGAGAACGTCATTAAGACAAGCTGACACGAGGAGGCACGCGTCGTCATACATCGATTGGCACACCCCACACAGGACAGTCCCTGTGCCGAACAGCACTGAAGCGAGCAGGGAGCTGAACCGTCGACCGAGGATGTTGGTCAGGCGCCCGTAGATGGGTGTGAATGCGCATAACGCGAGCAAGTAGGCCGTGCCAATCCACGAGCTAAGCTGCATCGATTCCAGCGAGGACCCGATGTTGCTGATGAGGGTGGCGACGATGGTACCATCAAGCGAAGAGATGAATGTAAGGCTGTGGTGGGCGGACGAAGGAGTGGACGTCGCATCAAAAGCATGTCCCAACGGCTCTCTTTCCGACGCACCTCCACAGACCAATCATCAACAACGCGAAGTCGCGCCGGCTGATGGTATCTGGCGTTGCCCTTGGCAGGAGAGGGGTGGTCTCTGTGGTCATTGCACTGGCAGAGGGAGACTTGGTTAGACAAGTGACAACATACAGCCAGCCGTTTATCATATGGAGACTTCTCCACACAGAGCTTATCAGTCATTCACACGTTGCTCTTTCGCTGACTTTCACTTTACCAAAGGTCAAGGATAAGAGCGATAACTAAACGAAAAGAAAGGGAAGTAGTTGCAGTGAATTATAGACAAGCCTCAGACGGGAATCATTACATGAAAACAGGAGACCAAATTGTGAGGGCCGTCTCTTCGTTACTCAGATCCGTCTAGCAGTGGATACAGTATATGGTAAAATCATCATTCCCGTGGATCCCTCAACTCCAGCAGCATCTCCTCGTCGAACTCAGAAAGATATGAGTCTGTGAAGTCTGAATCGCGATCGGTGCAACAGTCCTTGTCTAACTCGGGACTCCGAAACCTCGACACCTCCCTCATATCCTCGCTCCAGGTCGTCATTATCAAAGGTGAGGTCCACCCATTGCAGTTCTTGGAAGCTGGGGTCAGGAGTCTCGGGCACGTCGTTGGCAGAGCTGATGGGCTCATCGTCGGTTACGATTTAAGAAGGGAATCGGAATCATCATATTTTGGACGTCATCTCTGGCGTGCGCGCGCAGCAGCCTCTTTTTGAGCTCGAGTCGGCCGTTTGCCCATAGAACAAGTGTCGTGTGCAGATTCTGCCTCATTTTCCCCTCTATGACTCTCAAGCACTTCTAGGAGCATTCATTTACGTGCTATGGGTTGTCCCAACGGAGTATCTAGAATTTTTTGGTTTTTGACCTGGCCGATTTGGCGGTTGTGCCAAAGTAGCGGTAACTAAGCGAAGCGCACCATAGCGCTTGACCTTTCCTATTTAGGTAATGCGCGCACGCCCGCCCAAGAAAAATCGCCGATCTCAATAATTTCTGAATCAGCTGTAATCTCAGTGGGCTCGAGGCTCTTGAGTTCTGAGTCGGACAAAGTTAGAAGTAGAGTATATTGGATGCCCTATTGGATTTGGGAGTCCGGGAACAGTGCAGAAATGGGCGGCGGCTACATGAAAGGAAACAGGCTTTCCGTGCGTGCAGAACGACTAGTACGCGGCGATAGGTAATCGACACAACAATAACGATTCGATGTCTGTAGTGCCGTCCGTGAGCAGCGTCATGCCCCCCTCAGCGTTCCTCTCAACACTTTCGAAGTACTCTGCGGCACCACAGAGGTTCAAGACCCTTGCAAAAGCTGCATGAATCTCAAGAAACTGTGGGTCGGGCAGGTCGATTCCTTCAACTTTCCGGAAGTCGACAATTGTCGATACTCTTCCATTACTGAATCTCCTGCCATCCTGGACCATTCGAGCTTGATACCTGTTTGGGATATCCGGGTACTGCGGCGGCATAAGTCAGGGATACCGACAAACTGCAAGAGAAGATACCGTTTGCTTATCCAAATAGAAACGGAACCTTCCGAAGGAGTGGTGCTCTTCGGCTGTCATAAAAATGGCGTTTGCAGGCGAGTTGATTTTTGATCCAAGGATCTTCCTGAGGTCAAGGTTTGTCCATGACTGAAGCATGTCCCATGTGCGAGCAGCATCCCTCTGCGGAGGAATGTCGACAGACACAAGAGCCAGTGACGATACGACGCACGATTTCCGAGGTTATATCGGGTTTGTTGTCGAAGTCATTGAGGAGGAACGGAATGATATGTGCCGCCTCCATACGAAGCTGTGGAACATCAGGTATCTCCTTTCCACGGCCTTGTTGTAACAGTTTCGATACGAAACTCAGGTCGAATGCCCCGGTGATTGCACAGCGATGTTGTTCCCGTTGGCTAGTCTTTACAGGAAGATATGAGCCGAAGCCAGGGGAATTTCCAAATACTTACAAGGTCTCTGAGTCGAGTTTGTTCCAGTCTGTCCGCTCCTTCAATGTGCTGTACGGTGGTGTCAATGGTTGGGGTCTGGCTGCTGGTAGGCTCGGTCCTAACGGCTCGAGCAATACTGAGCACTAGGGACATACATTAACTTAGTGAGAAGAAGAAAATAAATATGAAGACGGACTGGGGAGAAAGAGGTAGTCCATCCACGCTCTAGCAATGTCGATCACCGCCTCCGTTCCTTTCTCGTGTGCAATAAGAAGGGCCACAGCTACGTAACGTTGTCCGGAAGGATCGGGCGCTTGTTGAAGCATACCAACTAGCAGGTCGTCGAGGTGAAACCGTGTATCGGACTGACGGAGAAAGGTTTTCCTGGGACGTATGGCGTTATTGAGCACATCACGGACGAGCTCGATGGTGGAAAGCTTGTCATTGTCGTATACGTCCCAGAATTGATCGGATGTGCAAGTTAAGACGGTGCAGGTCGAGCTAGCAGAATCCGTTCGTCGATGCGACATGATGGTATCAGCAGAGGGGTGTCTTGCCCCTAACGTCACATCTCGTAACCGTTACGGCTAGTGACAGCTTTTTTCGAATCCATGATTAGTCGAAGCTGACGTTGAACTGTAGGGAACTGTCCAACCGCCAGTCGTTTGATTCAGTCTCTTCCCTTCTCAGATCCGTCTAGCAGTCGATATAGCATGTGGTAAAATTATGATTCCCGTGAGTCGTCGCAATGAGGAAGTGCTCAAATGGCTAGTGCTGCAACTGGGCCGCAGAGAACATGTACCTCCCTTCGAGTCCGAAGGTGCGTTTTCTACATCAGCACGGAGCTCACAGCGCGCCAATGTCCTCAAATAGGTGCAAGGCCGTTATTCTTCATTTGACAGAGGCACGAGATTCAAGGTCGACTCCTTCCTGTCTTCAGATCTGTCGTTCTCATTGCAAGCCGATGGACGATGAATATGACGAGAATCAAGTGTAGAGCAACGGAGAACAGCATGATTATGACGAACGGTCGACCCTCGGCCTCTTCTCGGGACCTTCTGCACCCACAGGCTTTTCTGAGGGCCGCTTGTTGCCTGTGCTGGGCACTGTCCCTGGCACTGTTCCTATCGGCGACGAGTCAGTGCCACAGACCAGCAAGTATCCGTTCTAAGCCACGCACCTTCCGGAAGGGGTCTCCAGTAAGGCTGCGCCAACCACCAAGGAAGGATCTTCAAGCCAGTTTCCTCCTGGACACTCACGAGTTCCGTCAGACTCTTCCTCGTCTCGCCATCAGCACCGCCCCGCTCCCGCTCCTCATCCGCCTTCAAACGCTCGCCCAGTTCAGTCACAATCTCCAAATACGTCTCGAGACCGGTGGCCCAGAAAGGTTGATCGACTGGCCGGTCTTTCCCTTTGGGGATGATCACCCGAATCTCGCCCAATCGATTGCGCAAGTCGATGTGATGCATTAGCGCTGGGCGCAGGATCTTGAACAGGTGGCCTTTAACGGCGCTGTAAGGTGTATGCGTGCGGAGGCTTCCGACGATGGAGAGGTACTCCTTCGCTAGCGAGATGACGGATGGCTGCAGCTTCAGCAGTGCGACGTCCGGATCGACCGACTCTGGCTCTTTCGCCTCGGCGAGCCCGGTGAAGAGCGCAGGGTTGTACAAGATGCCCTCGGCGGACATGACACCATCACAACCTGTCTCCCGAAGACATGTCTCGATGTCTTCTTGATACAGCACGTTTCCGTTGGCAAACACTGGAACGGATACATTTTCCTTGACCGCTTTGATATGTGCGAACGACGCTAAGCCCTGAACGAGGATTAAGGTGCAGGCAGCGTTATGGAGGAAAGACACGTACAGTGTTGTGACCTCGCTGCTCCCGTAGCCGACCATGGCAGGTGAGGATCTGTGCCCCAGCCCGCTCCAGCATCTTTGCGTATTCGACGGTCTTCTCGATGGTGGGGAAGATTCGGAACTTAGCGGTCACCGGCACGGCGAGGTTCTTGTGCAATGTATTTACTTGTGTCGTCAGCACTTGGAATGAGTCTGGGAGGAGAAGGAGGCCTACTTAAGGAGAAGATGAGGTCCCATTCATCCTGAAGGAACGATCCATAGTGACCCCGTCTAGCGATGTCTTGTGGGCACCCTAGGTTGATATCGACCCCGTCACAGTCCTTCTCCACCATCTTCGCCGCTTTGAGCAAGAACTCTGGGTCGTTGGCACAGAACTGGACCATCAGCGGTCGGTCGGTATCCGGGTGCCCTTCTTCTCCCGCGGTCATATCGAAGAACCCAGTACGCAGTTTAGCACTCTCAACAAACTTCTGCAGCGGATCTCAATAACATGGCATGCATCCAAGCGTGATCACGCACCCTAGCGTTGATCATAGGTGTGTAGATGAGCTAAGCTCATCAGACGCAAACCTCAGCTCGTTTTCTCCAGCGGCTGTCGAAACTTACTTGGCTGCCATATCGTCTACAGAGAATTCTAAATGCCTGTTGAATGGGGTCAAACACAAACCCTCAGGCCGAGTGTGAATGTGTACCAGTTCGCTCTGATCCACCATGGGCGCGACAATGTACTTCGGGCTGCCCAGCACCTGGCGATAGAACTCGTATCCCTCCAGCTTCTTCGGAATTTCTTGAGAGACCATAGTGGACGTCGAAGGCTTGAATGAGCGCCCAAGGCGACAAAGTAGACGGAGGAACGAAATGGCGATCGGGATTTTGGGTGGGAAGATCCAGGCAGATTTGTCCGTGTGACTCGCCTATCAAATGCGGTGCGGAGATGCTTATGCAGCTCAAAGACTGGGCCGGGTGCTCGGCCGGCTGTTCCACCCATTGTCTCGCACAAGGTGATACTTCGGTATGAAGCCACACCCATATACGGGAAAGCTAGCCATACGGGAAAGCTAGCCAGACAGAAGAAATACTCATGAGTAAAATTGTGCATTGTCCTTCTGATACTGAACAGGTGTTTATACAGATTACTGTAGATGGTCATAAAATTACGTCCGGAATGGTGTAGGGGTTAACATTGTCGCCTCTCACGCGACAGCCCGGGGTTCGATTCCCCGTTCCGGAATTTTTGTTTCTTACCCTTCATCGCACGCACGCACTCACTCACAAGTCGAATGAAAGCAGACCGAGCTATCAGCTCAATTAGTATGTTTCTTATCATGAGTTTCTCTCTCCAGAGCAGCCATTTATGGACTTGCTCTCCCTTCGACAAGTATAGCAGGCACCATCGCCATAGCTGTAAACTGAGGAATACAATACAATGTAAAGCTACAAAATTGAGTGTGAACGAGGGGAGGGGGAGAGTACAGCAAATTAGTGGCGTATAGCGTGAGTAGTGTATGTAAGTAGATGGATGAAATGGCGAAACGGTGTTCATAAACAGTCCTTGCAAACATTCATGGCAAAAAAAGCATCTCAGCGGGCGTCCTGAGCTCCCCGCCGTGCTCTCTCCTCCCACGGTAGTCGTTGTACCACGTCCGGTGCGGCTCCTCGACCTCCATACCCAACACACGCTGCGCCTTGCTCGGTCTGTTGTTGAGTACAACAATCCCGCCCATAGGCTTCAGGCTCTTGGTGGGGGACGGCTCTTCCAAGGACAGCCGTGTGGGCTGCAGCAGTGGGCAATACGCGAGGAGTGATGCCGTCTTCGAATTCGTCGATGGCGTTGGGGGCTTGGAGCCTCGGGGAAAGTACCGTTTGGCAAAAGAGAAGGTCTTGGGCGAGGAGACAGCGGTCGGAGTCGACTTGACAGAGGACAGGGTTGATGCTGACCACCGTGAGCGGAGTGTCTGGACGGGGATTTGGGATTGTGGGGCGGGCCAGTGTTCCTCGACGATGTCGGTTTCGGCATGCTCGCTTTGAGCACCACAGCTCGACCGCGACCGTAAACTGTTGCAATCCTCCCATTCTTCGCTCTCCACGTCTACAGGAATGGACGCGCGCGGCAACCGGTCGTGCGACAGCAAGTTCGAGGTGTCTGTTCAAGTTGTCAGTCCGGCACACATCGCAAAAAAGGCGAAAACAGCACACCTGGGCCAGTAAACTCTTCAAGGAACGGCGCATACGCGCAGTAGTTCGCAGCGATCTCGTGCTCCTCGCCACCGTGGCAAGGCCGAGAGAAGTTGGTCGAAGATGATCGGGAGTGGGTGTACATGGAACACGGCTCAATCCGCCGAGGCGCGGTGGGCATGACAAGCATCGATTCCCGATCCTGCTTCTCCGGGGTGGTTTCCGGTGAGCTCGCCAGCACGAAATGCCGGTTCAAGTTGTATATCTCGTCGGGGATCTCAGGAAGTTCCCGAGTCGGCGGCGGACCAGGGCTCGGCCGTCCGGCAGCTTTCAAGCCCCGCTTGCGTATAACGAGCGGTTTGATCGTCTTGCAGCGTGTGAGGGGGCGAGGGCTCGGCGAAGGCGATGTAGCCGGGCTTGAGTTGTATGAGTAGTTGTAACATTCATCCTCCGAAGAGGAAGAGCTTGAGGAGAAGCTGCTCAATACTGGCGATGGCAAGTCCCGGAGGGAGGGCGGACGGGGGAAGTCAAACACCTCGTCTTCCTGCGCACCGCCTTCAAACCCGGCAGAAAGCGTAAGTCTCCAGTTCCCATCCCCCTCGGAGAGATGGAAAGGAGAGGACAAGTCGATCGGAGAGCCCACACTGATGCTTCTCGGTTCTGCAGAGCACGACGCGGTAGATGGAGAATAGGACACAACTGGCAAATGTCTGGGTACGGCCAGGGAGTTTTGCAGATCGAGAGCGAGTAGTTGCACCGCGAGCCGGCGCTTGGCTTTCACACTTCTCGCATTCGACATCGGCTCCGTGACTTGTGGAGCTTCATCGACGGTGATCGGGCAATCTGGCTCGGTGAGATCGAGGAAATCGGTGATGGGAGCGGCGGGAGAGTGGGAGAGGGGAGAATGCGATTGAGACCGCGTAAGCCGAGTCCGCGTACGCGATTGTCGACGAACAGGTGTAAGGGGGACTTGTGCTGCAGCCGAGTCAACTATGTGACGATCACTAACAAGAGCGGGGCGTACCGTTCATGTTCGTTGTTTTATGCTACAGAATATTGTTGAGTGTGACAGAGGTGCGCTAGCGCAATTAGCAGACAAGGTCGTGTATTCGTGGGGTTCGTGGAGTGCGTCGTAATGCAATGCGAGTGTGTGTACACAAGGGACGGGAGGATGGGATGGAAAGGGAGGGTGAGAGAAAGGAAAGACGCCTCCGACCCGCACTGCACGGCCTTTATAACTCCCATTGTTCCCTGGGCCTATGCTTCCTTTCCGACACGTTCCCAATGGTCCTTGTTCTGGCTTACGCACGAATACAAAAGACGCGTTGTTCCAAAAACGGACTCGAGCGACGCGTGGCAGTGCTGCTCATTGTCGGAGCTTGAATCTGTTCATTAGGCGCCCACGTGGCTCCGGATAGTTGCGCCTGCGCACTTTGTCGGCTGATTCTTTCCTCCTACCAGTCGCGGGGGAGATGTTCATTCAGTATTATCAGCTCATGGGCGACGTGGGGACTAGTGAGGGCTCTCCACAAGCCTTCCAGCCAGTCTGAACGATGTCTTGCGTTCGCTATGCTCTAGCTACTACCAAATTTGCTTGTACTGCGGATCTCTGCCGCATGGAAGATAGGCGCAATGAATTCCTTGAGAATCCTCTGCGCTAAATTTCTCCCTCGGGCAATTCTGGCTAGATTAAATCAGACCATGCTCAATTTCTGGACTGCAAGTCCGCGACGAAGATGGGATGGATTTTCAAAGCTCATGATTCTCTTGGGGCTCTTTCCTTGACTTTAACTCTATGAAAGCGCATGATGACCCCATCTGAGAGTGAAATGTGGTCCTCTTCACCTTCAGCGCACAGATCAAAATTGGGGGATCAAATAGATCACAAATCACTATGTGAGTGATCCGTTCATCGGCACTTGTCCACAAATCTCAAGCTGGCCTCCGCACTCCGCTCATGCCGTACATCTCGGCTCCTGGCCTTCAGTGCCTCCTTTGCGGGTGGCTCATTCGCGTTATACAACGCGTGTAACAGGCGCCCGGTACATAACGACACAGGCACGCGCCAATTCGAAGACCAGCGCATACGCCGGCTCGACACCACCGTCTTGCGACCTGGCGAAGCTGTGCTCAGGCAGGATTTCTCTATCTGGCAGTCGTGCGTGTACATGCACCGGCCATACTTTCTACTAATAGGCTCCAAGACACCGGCATTGCACGAACATTTTCGACACGGACGAAGCTCGTGAACACGGCTGGTCGATCTGGGCCCTCTATGACGACTACTCCGGGGATCAGACAACGAATTTCCTGGTGAAATACCTCACCTTTACACTCATCCGCAATCTAGAGCGTCTGTACCGGGGGACATTGGGCGAGCATCATCCGACGCTCATCGGCGACGACAGCACTGAGCCGGAAGTGACGTTCGGTGCCATAGCCCCCGACGCAGCGCAAGTGCACTCCGAAATCAAAGATCTCTTCCTTCAGCTGGACCAGGATATCGTAGAGCTGCCTGTGGAACAGTTGCGCAAGACAGCCACTGAGGAACCATCGATCTACACCATGTCAGCGATGATGCTGCAAGAAGCCCATTCCGGATCGCGCGCGCTCTTGTCATTCTTCGAGGCCCGTCCGCGCCGACTCCATGTCTCGAACATCGGCACCTCGCGTGCAGTCCTTGGTCGGCGACGTCCCGGGCAGGACCTGTACGATGTGCACGTCCTCTCGGCCGAACACACTGCAGGCAACGCGTCGGAAGTCGCGCGCATCTCGGCGCTCCATCCAGGTGAGGAGGGGCTGTTTGAAGGGGGCAAATTCATGGGCTGGGACTTCACTCGCGCGTTTGGGCATGGGGCGATGAAGTGGGCGCGGGACGCGCAGCAGTTCCTGTACGATAACTGTTTGGGAGACAAACCGATGGACAGGTGTAAGACGCCTCCGTATCTCACTGCCGAGCCGGAAACGACGACAGTGGAAATCCAGTCAGGCGACTTTTTGATTGTGGCTTCGCATGGACTCTGGGACTGTCTAACGAGCGAGGAAGCGGTGGGGCTGATTGGGCTATGGCTTGATACCAAAAGAGTACCCCTCGACTCCTTCGATCTGGACACCCCTCGTCGGAAGTTTTACGAGCGCACCGATCTTCCTGTCAGACTCGCGGACAACGAGACCCATTACCGCACCTGGAGAGTCAAGAAGCGGTTCGTGAATGTCGATGGCAACGCCGCCTGGCATCTGACCCGAAATGCGACGGGCGGTGCGAACGTGGATGTGCATGCTGCGTTGACTGAGATCGGGATACCAAGGTCCGGGATGATTCGGTGTGTCCGCTCTCGTTCCTCCGCGTTTGTGCTCATCAACCTGTGGACAGTGATGACATCGGTGTCATTGTCACCTTCTTCGAATGATAGAGCTCGTGGTTTCCACAAGCGAGGCCAGACGACAACATAACCAGCATATCAGGCGCGGTGGCCTTACAGCGGGTCCATCTTGCAGTCTGGCGAATCATGATATCTTGAATCGCCGCGTGTCAGATCTTGCGGACCAGCGATCATCTCCCGACTCCTCTGCTCTCGTCCATACATCTCTCAAGCAAGTATCGTGAATGTATTGTATCGTCTAATCAGCATATCATGGTATTGTGGATGATGATGGTCTGCAATCAAGCATCGTGAATCTAGGGGTTCGTCTAAGGGTCCGAAATTTGGATGCGTAGGTAGCCCAATTTGGGGTGCAAGTCTAAAAGTGTTCGGCAGCTAGCTACGATACAGAATATGGTGCCAAGGGGTGATCGGGCATGTTATTGTGGTGGTGCGGTAGGGTACGGGATCGTATGGTATGGTATGAATGGTCAGTGAATACAGTTGAATCGGCCCCGCGGGTGGAATGGAAAGCGATCGAATGCCTGAGAGAACGTGGCACTGAATGAAGGGCCCATTTCATAAGCCGTCCCTCTCCTCGGCCAGTCGCTTCTGGATCTGCGCACGTCGGTCCGGAGAGCTGGATGCACGGGGTGCAACGGGAGCTGGAGGGCGGCAAAGTCAGATAAGAGTATGCGGGGAGGCGGAAGTAAACTGCACGCACCACCAGGACGCCTCTTCGTCGGTTTCAAGAGCGGCATTCCGCGCTGCAGGCGCTCAGCATTGGAAACCCAGCGCGTCTCGACGAAGACACTGGAGGGCGCCTCAGGGCCACTCTTGGGGAACGGCCAGGCTGCAGCGCATGCGAAGAGGAAGGTGCAAACGAAAGCGACGACGAGGTGGAATCGCATCTCGGTGTTCGGGCTGGTCCTACGTGGATGGTGGTGCAGGACAGGTCGGTGGCCACAGAAAAAGACGAAATGGAGTGGGCGCTCGACGGGGTCTAAATAGCAGCGGCACGATCGCGTCTAGGGAAAGGGGGTGGGTGGCTTGGCGCGAAATCGCCCCGCTCGGGATTCTACTCAGGAGGATGGGGAGGGGGGGAGACACGCAGGGGTGTGCAAGCGGGCATTTCATTCGCATAGCGGCCATCTTTATCCTGTTGGCGAAGGCCGGATGGGTGGTTTGATATTGGTTTGATAGAAGTTGTGGCGCTGACGGAATTAATTTCTACCGTTCCCACGGTCACTCCACCGCCCTCAAAAATGTTAAAAAGTGCCTCCCTGGGCACTGTCCAGAAACTATTCTTGCACATACTCCGCCTGAGCTTCATTTTTTTGAGGTCTTGCGCTACATTCCAAACAATTTCAGGCACTGATATTCGGGATCGTGGCGAAAGCGATCATAATTGACAGTCAAGGCCCGATCAGTGGCTGTACCATTGATCGATCGTTGACAGAGAGTCCGCGTTTTTCACTTTTCAGTGTCGGAATCAGTGCGGAATCGCTATGGCGAAAGTGCGTAAAACGAGATATGTGTCGAAGAAGGTTAAAATTGGAGCTGCAAGACGGAAGTCGTGCGTTTCTTTCTTAATTTTCCAGGCCTCTTCCTGGTCGAACGTAAGTATTAAGGCCTGGTGCATACAACATTTCCGTGTCAAGTCATGGTTGTACGTGAGTGGACTTTATTCAGCGACCGATCTCAAGTTCATAGTGCATCGTTTGAGATTCCTACCCACGGTCAGTGCGATCCGAAGTGAACTTCCGCAGTCGAAACTGCCCGAAACTGGACATCCCAATCGGGCCGCTGATGGTACAGTATAGACATCCTACATCGCCTCTGATTGACATCGCTGCGTCACTCATGACAGGTGATGCGGACGTGACTCTGGTATAAGTTTTTCCTGTTATGGGCCTTGACACTCGTTCGACTTATTTCTGCACCAGGAATTTTGGCCTCGACGCTCCAGGACGATGGCTGCAGACTTTACATCCCTCAATTTCATTTTCCTACTCTACAGCCGCGGCGCGCAGGATGTGCTTCAGATGCTGTGAAAACAGTGTGCGAGCGGATTCATACATAATGTGCAGGCATGCACAGATGTTATGTAACGGCAACCTACAAGGAGATGGCGAATGGGCTGCGCCTGTGGCGACAACCAATAGTCAATGGATGACGGCGAGATCATGCCGTGCTGCAGGGCTGTGCCCGGACGACACTCCGCAGTCCGATCCGGCGTTGCTGTGCCTCGCGAGTTTCGCATGGCATACTTATAAACAGAGGCACCTCGGCCTGGTGTAAACTTTCCCTACGCATCTAGTCCTTCTATGCCGACGATCGCCCCCCGCCTTGCGACTAGTGCGAGCCTCGGACCTATACTCGGAGGTGTGATTGGAGGACTCGTCCTTATCTCGGCTCTCACCATCGCCGGTGTCGTGATTCTTCGACGATGGAGACGGAATGTTGTACGGGCGAACCACCCCGACACAGAGGAAGAGTGTCTCAGCTTTAACCCCGAAAAGATGTTCGCATCGGGCCATCGGCGGCTGGAATCTGCCGAGAACCCACTGCTTTCCCGAGACTGGGAAGGGATGTCGTCGCTGCGGCGCAGCAGCCTGGACGACGTGGATCTGTACACGGCGCCGACTGTCCAACCGGCTAGCTACCCTCCGAGGCTGGGAACTCCTCCGCTTCACATCACGATACCGGCGGGGCCACCCATCCCGCCGACAGTCAATCCAACGAAACCCGAAATCCCGTCCCCCGCTTCCTCTTCCTCGTTATATTCCCAGCGATCGGCCTTGCCAGTACGTACGCGAACGCACGACCCTGATGACATGAACCGCCAGACCCACCCCACGCACCTACGCGAAACACGCCGAGAGCATCCTGTCAAGCTCGCGGTGTCTCCCGACTCTGCGACCGAGGAGCCGCTGCATCGAGGGGACACTGTCCTTGTTTCGAATCTACTCAAGTCGCGGGCCAAGCGAGCTTCGGAAGTCCCTCAGCGTGCGGCTACGCACGTGTCACGAATAGAGCGGGAGGGATCAATTGCTGATGCGGAGGACGAGCGCGCGCCTGCGCGGATGATGACTCTGACGGGCGATGAGGAATTTGCTGCGACAATGGACTATCATGCGCCGAACCCACAATCCTAAGCCCCGCATACACCCGTGGCTTCCTGCGCCAATTGTACTCTGTGTAACCTGTGTAACTGCCAATGTGTACATTATCTAATTCAAGGGTCGATCTCAGTCACAGGAGACCGCTGTTCTTTGCACCACGCAAAGAATCACCCCATTATTACCAGATCTATTATTACATTCCTAGTACATTTTCCGAAAGTCCAAACCCTCCTAGGAGAGGAGCCCATTCACGGTACTTGAAGACCGTGTCAAGTCCTTGTGCGGAGAGACCGCACCCTCAGGCTCATGATCGTTGACAATAGACTGCATGTCGAGCGTTGGTCCCGCATACGAAAAGGCTTCCTTCGTGAGCATCTTGCGTTGTGAGACAAGCAAAATGATCAGAGTCGGGTATGTTGCCTGCGAGGAGATCAGCAACGAGGACCACACCAATGAAGGTCAGGAGAGACGCACGGAGACCCCCGGCTGGAACCACTCGAATCCAAAACCACCCATGTACCCAAAGTCGTCGACCATGGTCAGAAGCTGCCCGTGCGTCAGCCCATCAAATACAAGTAAGAAGCGGCAAGCCTGACCCAGAATATGCAATAACCAGCACCACTTTCCAGCAACAGCACCAGTACACCCTCTACCGTTCCTCGCCGACTTCCCCGGTTCAGATATTGCTTGAGATTCCGGCGGTAGTACCAAAGCTTCCACCCTACAACGCCCGTGGCGCACGCGTTCGTCAGCAGCAGGCAGAACGTCCCAAGCATGTTCTGCTCTAGGGTCGGGTATACACGCCCCGTTTCGAGAGAGATGATGTTGAACGCAAGGAGAGTCATCGAGGTCGCCAGTGTCGCGGCGAGAAGCAGTGCCAGGACCCATCGGACGGGAAGAGACGGGGACGACAACACCCAGGCGCGCCAGACAACGACCGCATCGCTGATAAAGTACTACATAGGAGGCTTCGTCAGAGCACGTTTTTCATCACAGATAGGTCGATCAGTACTCACCACGATCCGTCTTATGACGGTCTGTCCTATGCTTAGATGCGCGAGCTTCATCTGGCTGCCGTAACCGAGACCAAGGATGACACAGCCGAGGTGCAGGCCCAGATGCGTGGTCGTGCCGAGAAGCATGAACAGTGTGATCCCGAGGAGTATTTTGCGCGCGAGAGACCCAGATCCGGGTTCCGGAGAGTGGGAGCTGCATGGACAGTCAGACAGAGCAGTAAAGAGATAGTACACAGACATCAGACTGTTCGCCGACATAATAGCCACCGCTAAGAATATACCTGTATGATGAATGTGTAGATGATTTAGAGAGCAAGCTCTTGGGAAACAGCTTTGCAGCGCACCGTATGAGGCGCCCTCGGCAGTGATCTGCAAGAACTCGAGCTTCAGATTGTAGACATCTAGGCTTGAGCTCCCCCGGCCTACAAGCATGGGCAGGAACGCTAGATGTGTGTTATTGCAGCCGTACATTGGAAGTGGGATTTACGAAGCAAATGGCGAGGAGCGAGCACTGGGCGGACCATCATGCATGCGCATCAGACATGGAGAGGATAGTCGTCCGAAACTCATTTCGGTAAGGGATGAGAAGGACCGCGACCTACTGTGCTGCGCTTTCCGGTAGAGAGAATTGGGTACTAGGAGTGGATGATAATACGGCCAAACAGCCGCGTCGCGTAGCGCTGCCAGTCCGAGCCATTACGTCCGTGCCAGCTCGTAAGTAACGCCGTGCGAGCCCACGCATCACCCATGGGTCAATGCTGGAGGCTCTTCAGCGTCACTCAAGCAGTCTGGCAACTAAGCAGAGGGAATGGTTTTTGGATGTACACATTGTGGAAGCCCTCTGAGGGGGAGAGGCTCGGCGCCGCGCTACGATGGATGCGAGGGAAAGAAGTGTGTGGCCGGCTCGCCTGCAGCGGATTGAGTCTGGGTGGCATATTTGTGTTCGCGAGTAAAGGTAAGTAGTGCGTTCGCTGTGCTACCCCACTATACACCAATGCATGTGACTTCATTCCAGGTGTCGGGCCTACCTAGTCGACCCCAGACTCGAATTCATGTTATTGCAGAGTCTGCTCGAAGATTTCTCGGCCACTCTCATCCGAGGGCGTCAGGAGCGAGAAACCCATCTCCCTCTTTACGACCTGTCGGCACTTTGAGGCTCTGTGTAGCGTAGCGTATAGGCGTCCCATGCACCCATCTGCTTCAGAATCAACCTCAGCAACGACGAAATCCCAGAATCGACTCAATGCTGCGCCGATCGCTCCCCTGGCGGCCCGCGAGGCTCCCCCTGGCAACCAAACTTCGGGAGCAATGTGACCGAGAGAGGTCCCAATGCATCTTGATTTGATGGATGACTCTGACAGATGATAATGATGAGCAAGACAGATTTCCCATGGGTGACTGGCGAAATGGCATCGCGTCTGACTACGACTTGGTCATTAATCAGGAGATTGCAGGTTCGACCCCTGCGTCGCTCATTTTTTCGATCGTCCTTAAACACTGCCACGCTTGAATTCTTTGCCCTCAATCCATGTTCCAGTTGACGATTCAGTAAAACGGGGTGGAGGCGCTCTGTTACAAGAAACGCAACATTAGCGGCCCTTGAGCGGGCCGTTACAAAATAACCGTACAGAAAGTGCATAGATCCTATGGTCATGGTGGGGGTTCATACTTCTTCGTCACATACGCAGTCTCAGGCAGCTGAACTGTGCCGCCTGCCTTCTCTTGCCCACTCTCCTTCCTTCGTCCGCCGTGAATTACTCCGCCGCCGGGTTTCCACGTTTACATTGCCAGCCCAGCTGGGCGCAAACTCGCCATCAGCCCATCCATCACTCTCCTCGTCGACATCGTCGCCGGGGTCCTCGTCATCGCCAGCGACAGCCAAAGCACGTGCACCAGGGATGGGCGGCGACAATCGTCGGGTCTGGCCACGCGACGTCCCAGCAGTCGAGGACCGAGCCCGTTTGGCTGGCACCGGCGTGTCTTCCATCGTTTGTGGTTTGCGCATCTTGGTGTTCAGCTTCGGCTCAGCGTAGTTCACGCTCTTGCGCGCCCGACGCTCTCTCCCTCCGTTGTCAGCCTCTGCTTCAGCCTCGGTCATCTCGATCTCCGCAGCCGGGGCGGCACGAGCAGACGACGGCCCGGCCTCCATCACGGGAACGGGGAGTAATTTAGGCTCGGGTGGTCCAGGACTTGGAGGAGATGGTGCCAAGAACGGTCGGCCTTCTGTGCCTGCAGACTCGGCAGCTAGCTCAGGCTTGGGTCGCGCCCTGGGCGAATTGGAGTTGGTGACGTCTTTTAGCCTCGCCTTTGGCTTGCTCGAGGTTCCTGCTCCCTCTTCCCGGCTACGTCGTTTCCGCTCCTTCTCTTTCGCCCGCTCGTTCTCCTGCTCTAGATCCCGTTCTCGACCAGCCGCAGGCTCATTTGGCGATGGGTCGGGTACCTGGCTGGAAACCGCATTGAAATCGAGGAGCAGGCCGCTCTGCCGACGCTTCTTTGAGGGGAGCGCAAAAGCGGTGAGATCGAGATGTATGGGTAATGAGGGCAGGACTATGCTGCTAGGCGCGGTGATCATAGGTGCGGCGGGCGCAGAGATCATATCGGCAGGGGGTGGTGTGCTTTCCCGAGCAGGAAGTGGAAGCCGAGACGCGCTCAGGCGCTTCTTCTTCGTTTTCCGCGGTGGAGACGGCGATATTTCCTCAGGCTCTTCGTCCTCGGTGATGAGTGGTACCTGAGGCTCTCTCGAAAGGCGATTCAGGTTGTTCGCATAGATGCTCGTGCGAGGGGAGACATTCGCCCGCCGGGGTGGAGTTGGTGACGGTGTGGGAAGCAGGGGCACGTTATACGTTTCGCGCAGATTGGAGAGATGGCGCATAAGTGCTTGGGTCTTGAGAGGCGCGCGAATAAGCACACACGCATGATTGAGAAGAATGTACATACTGCAGTTTCAGCCTCCAGCAAAATCTTCCGTGATGTTTCGCGCTCGCGTTTGACCTGGGCTGCTAGTGCGATCTCGGATGTACGTAGCCGTAGATTCTCTGTGTAGAGTGTGGTTATTTCCGTGTTCAGCTCTTCGATCTTCATAGATAGCGTGGAATTTAATCTGATGTCAAAACGTTAGCAAAAACGAACCAGCGAGAACAGATCGCTCGGGAGGAACAGGAGAGATGCGACGTAGATTCCCGCGAGGAGACTGGGCACAGCCTAGTACGGTGGCAGAGCGCGCCAGGCACCGGGCCCGGAGCCAAAGTGGAGCACTTGCACCCGTACACCAGGTCGGACGACTTCCAAAGCCTTTCAAATGCCACTCACTTGGTGATATGCTTGTTTGCGAGGAGGAACTTCTTCTTGACTGCAGAACGAGACAGGTTAGCTTGCTGGCGGCGCGTGTCGAGACGCGGGGTGCGTACAGTTCTCGAATTCGACCAGTGCGTCGTTCTGACGCACTCCCGTGGACACCCTAGATTCCCTCCTGCTCATCGTACACCTCGGTGGAGAGGCTGCGTGCCCCGGCTACAAGGGCGAGGTGGTGGAAGATCAAGAGTCGAGACAATACGGAAGAGATTTGATGCCAACTCCATCACGTGTCGCGGCTTTTCGCATTTCCCACCCGCTCCGGGAACGCTTTGACGTCTTGCTTTGACTGCCTGAGCTCTTGGCTCTGCATGTCTCCAGTAGCACATGAGGGGTGAGTCAGGTTGTTATCCATTCTTCCGTTCTCCGATATCGACAACGGAAACGAGACCATGATGTCGACATTGCATCCCCAACGGGACGACACATGTAGTGCCACGCTCCCTGATCATATCAACCTCTCTGCGATTGAGATCGTCAGGTCACCGTGCCGACCACTGCAAATCTGCCTCAGGGATTCTATTCTGACCATCCTCTCTCATTGTCCTCCCAGTTCTCGTCTCCGAGAATGCTCTAACTATCGAGCTCGGACCGGCTGGTAGGATACCGATAGGCCGCGCCGCTCATCATCGTAGAAGTGCTGATTCTCTCCTCGTGTTGATCTTTCTCCGATTCTCGGGTGGGGTCGTGTGTTTCAGTGGGCCGCACTCGGGCGCCATTTCGTCAGACTATGCCATGACAGCGGCGCTCTCGATCAACTCACCTAATATCACCTCAACTGCTTCCTCGTTCAGGCATCCTGTCGTTCACCATTTCAACTTCCTTTCTACTATCGATAAAATTCCTCTGCAGTCGAATACAGCGCTATTTCACTCTATCAAGTCTGGATGCAGAGTGGTTTGTCGGGACATATGCATCTTTCTCATTGACAATGTCGGTGCACTTTCAACTCGATCAGGATTCAGGACTGAGACTGCCAGCTGGAGCTGATGCTCTTGTCTATCTATCGCTTATTCGTCGCAATCCGTCGTTATCATTTGGTGATAGTATCCCCCTGTTCCGCAGTCACTGAGTCTGGAATTCGATGTCAGTCGTTTCATCTTGTTTGAAACCTCAAATTCTTCCCGTCAGTCTCTCGGTAAAACGATGTTCAAGCCGGACCAACCATCCAGTTGTGATTGCAGTAACCCAGAATCGCCCATGCACCGAGCTATCTCAGTGCGCGGGAACGGAAAAAGAAAACGCCTATCTGTCGGTGGTGGCGTCTCGGGGCTGAGTGGAGTTGCTCCAGAAACTGTGCTTGCTGCTTACTCGGAGAATCGATTCCCGAATGATGCCTCCTGATGTGTGGCTGGCCAATGACTCGAACAGTGAAGCACCGGTGAAGGCCGTGCGTACCGCTTTTGATCAAGTCTCACTGCCCGACGAAACGCTCGAGTTTTCTGAGAAGCAGCTCGTGCCCTGATCCCACGCACACGCACACTTCTAACCCGGAACCGAGAAAGTTAAATAAACGCTCTGGAATGGAAGCAACCAAGCGAGAAAACAAGGGTCGCTACAGGGGGTCATGGCCGCTGAGAACGATGGGGGTACTACAGATAAATAGCGAAAAAATAGGAGGTTCTGATTCCTCTCTAGGATGTATCGGAAATGGGATGCGTCGAGGAAGCAGACAGCCTGTGGTAGGCTAATAGCCGCGGCATCCCGAGCAAAAGCCGTCAATGGTGAGATCTGCACGGCTTTGGAATTCCATCGGCCTATAAGCGGGGGGACGAACTCACTATATTGTTCAGGGAAGAGACGGCTAAAGCTTCTTTAGCCAATTCGACGCTCGCCCCAAGCTTGGTGATCACTCACTACTGATTGCAGGTGTTCCTGCAAGATGGCGGAACGCAGTCCCGCGGATGATAGGGGCTGAATTTGCAATACTTGCTTTCACAGGGGATCTTCGAGCTGAATGTGAGCGCCTGTGCGGATTTTTTTGGGGAGTGTGAACGAAAGGCGGACCTCAACGGGTGGCTGCGAAAGCGGAGTTTACATCGGAAGCGGGGGTGGATGGTCAGTGAACGCACTAGGCTCTCAGTGTGGCCGCAGCGGGTGAACAAGTTCCGGACGCTAAATTAGATGAGCGCACTATATTGCAGGCCAAAGCGGAGCCCCTCACTGGCGCCAACGGCACATTTCTAGCACAAATTTGAGGGAAGAGGGCAAGAAGAGGGTGGTGGAGTTTGAGGCGGCGGAAGCAGGACTAAGTGGTTCACAGGATGATGAGCAGCAAGGCCGAAGCGCGCTCACCTTTTAAAGACGCTGTGGCTATAATGATCGTAGCACACAACAGCAGATATCGGTTATGGAACCGGTTCATTGAAGTTTGTTCTAAGAATGAGTGACTGCATATGACGCGGCGAGTATGGTCGACGCAGCCTGAATACCGCGCTATGATGGAGTTTTGGTGGTTGCCAAAGACGAGACGGCTTGTGTCCCGAGTATGCCGCAAATCCGTGCATGAGACCGCATCATCAACCAAGTGAGATGGCCAGGTGATTTCACTGCTTATCCCTGGTGCGCACGTCCAGAGGGTAACAAGCACCTCTGAGTCGCCGAGCTGTGCGAAAATTGCCGATCCTGGAAGGGAATCTCATCGCTTTCCTGCCTGTGGCCCGTGGGCAACGTGAGCAGGTGGTTGGGCATCTTCCCCAACGCCACCGTGCGTGCTCTACTGGGGATTGTCGCAGGCGGATTGCCTCGGAGATCCAAGGGAAGACACGCTTAGATCTGCATGGAAGCCCATCGGTAGCCCGAGGTCTGGAGCGACGCAGTAGTGGTGGGAAAGGCAGATGGCAGGTAATGCCAGCCATAATCGGACGACAGCTCATTACCTCAGCAGCTTAAGCGTTGATCTATGTACACAGCCACACATCAACTCTTCTCTCTCTGCTTTTCGTACGCGGGTCACTGAGAGTCTGAAACATGGTCAAAACACCGAAGAAGTCTGGTGGGAAAGGAAAGCAGCACAAGACCTTCCTCGATCACGATGTATGTGCACCCGGCTCACTTGCACAGGCCGACTTTCTGATTGGTCCGGTGGCAGGCAACTCGTGGCCTAGCGGAATCTATTGCGGGGATGAAGGAACAGAAATCGAATTCCAAAGTCGCAAGATTATCACAGGTCTGTCTCAACCGCTCGATCGTGCCTACTTCTCATCCTGGTATCAGGCTGTACCGTCCCGACGCGATCCGGCGACACCCAAGCCCAAGTCGGAATCGAAAATCAAGCTGGTCGGTGTCGCTCCACATCTACACGCACATAGCACTTCGACTCTGACGTCTCAATCAGAAAGAAGCCAAGGCTATCCTTGCCGCGAAAAGCTCGAGTTTGAAGAAAGATCGGAAAAAGCGACGGAAAGAGCTCACAGGCCGTCCTCCTGCCGTGTCTCAGGACTCATCGAATATCACTGCGCAGCCCACGAAAAAACGTGTTTCGTTTGCGTGACGGGTGCACTCTACTGCGCTGTCTGCGCTGTGTGATCTCCGCGAATGATCAGTGGCGATCGGACACATGGGGATTAAAGGCGATGCAAGTGTTCCGTTCCATCAGCTGATGCACTCCCGGACCCGGGGGTGTCGGTGTACTCCCGAAATCGCTTTGTGGAACGGTTTGAGCTGGCAATTGTCTGATGGTCGGCCCTACAGTTAAAATTGTTTCGTACGACGTCGCAGCAGTCATCGCAATGAATGTTCTCGAGTGACGATGAAGTCCTTCGCCATACTATCGCCTTGCGAAAGCCGAGTGGCTGATCTGTCCGAATCGAGGATCTCCAGCCGCTCTCAGCATGGAAATTGTAACAGGTTATCGCATGTATTCTCAAAAATAGCACGTGATCCATGATCTGGGATTCACATAGTGCGCCCACACTGTGCTCACCACGAGGAGAGTTCCGCGTACAAATCATGATTTACGACAGTGGACACATGGATGCTCCTATGTGTGGAACTGATCGATACCTACATGTGCTTATTGTTTCCTTAGATACTTCGTCCAGACCAAGGCGCCCTCCGGCTGCATTTCATTACGTGTGAAATGCGCTATCCATCTGAATTTCGACAGGCCGATCAGAAGAAAGCCTGAAATGGCATGATTTGATTGAGATCCTCCACACGAAATGCACAAATACTCACAGCAGCATTGGGAGGCGAGGCCGCTCCTCCAATTCTGGGTTCCCTTCAGTTCGGCAACAGCGCCCGAATTTGTGGCATCTTTGCGTTTACTCACATGTTCAGTGGCCAGGACGAGACGAAAAAGGTGTAGCGGCTCTGTTCATCGCACACCTGGGAAAGTTTCTCCAGATCAAACATCTCGCCTGGACGACACGTGGTGAGTTGACCGATCCAAGGGAAGAGGAATCCCGCTAACCGATCGGCATTCCCCACAAGCTAAACGCGTTTTCAGATTGAATCTGGAAATATGAACGGGCCTAGACGCACCCCAAGATGGTCTAGGCGAGGTCGATAGGATCAGCACAGGTTCTGAGTAATCTGCATCCCTCGGCTTGCATACCTGATGCATATGCGGAGTTCCCGCAGGGGTCGGCCAGCGCTACCGAAGGACGTCAGTCCGTGTTCCTGCGGGTGCCACAATCAGTTTACCTCCAAAGACGGCTGGTCCGACGCGATTGCGGAGAAATGATTATTCCTGTACCCGGGTCGTCATCAGATGGCGCGATCCCGGTGGCGCGCAAGCACTGGTAACGGACCACAGGAATTGCTTCATAGACTCTGACTGTTCGATTCCCGCACTGCGCAACGTAATTCAGACCAAAAGAGGTATGTAGACACCCGAAAAATCAACACACAATGTTTCGGGTGCCCCCGCAAGAGCGTCGCGGCTCTCCTTCGAGCTCTCGTTGTATTTCTTGATGAATCCGGCGCGTAGCATCAGGATATCGCCCCGCCGGAACTCGACGCCCTGCGCCTTCGCACAGGCTTCCAGCTCGGGCACGGTGAACGCATGTGAGGTCCAGGGGTCGTAGCTCAGAACGCCGTCCGTGCTCATGAAGCGGACCAGATCCAACAGGACGCCCCGGCCGCAGATCCCATGCTCAGCCCAATCTGTTCGGCGGGAATGTGAATATGTTTATGGTCTCGGCTGGTCTGCCCGATACGTACTCTGGATTCCGATGTGAGCTTGGGATGCAGATGTGTCGCCGCTGTCTTGAATTCCACGGGAAAGTGACGCTGCAAGCGTACTGGAAGTATAGCTATCTAAATTACGCCCGTGTGTGAAGATCGATCAAATCGCACTTGTTGTAGAAAACCTCGTGTGCATGCACGGGGAAGTGCCGCAATCCATCCCACTGCGAGCCCGATTGGGTGTTCTGTCGAATTTCAACATTCCGCAGATGATAGCAGGCGTCATGACCCGACTCACGATATGAATCTCATCGTCCCGAGAGTAATGCAGACCATCCTTCTGCCGTTGAATGAACTTTATCTCGGCCGGTAGACGTCCGAAGAGTGGCTAGACACAAAGAGTTCACTCCCAAAGCGATGTTAACCACGTCCGAAAGAATACTGATCACCTTCTCTGGATAGTTCAATGGCCTGCCTCGCAAGTCACTTGGATTCGGCGATAGAGCGGATCGGCCTACCAGTTGAGGGATACCGTCTGTCCCGTTCTACGGAAGCAGATAAGTGAGCATTCGATACCGCCTTCTTGGAGATCACGCAGTGTGGCCCAACCTGATTTCCTCGGCCACGGTCTGCTTCACGACCGAGGCTGTGAGTAGATTAACGGTCCCAAGCTGATCACCTGGACCCCAGAGATCCCACGCGCAACCACGGAAATCCTTGAACGAAGGGAGCGCGTCGTAGCTTGGGAGCTCAGCGGTTGTCCAGTCGACTGCGGGGGGCATGGCCGGAGGTTATGGGTAAATCTGGGACAAACGGCCGCGGTTTGGGGGCCCTGGAGGGAGCTCTCCCAGGCACAGCATACTACCGGTTCGGCTTTGCGAGATCGCCTGGAGGCTTGTTTGAGGATCTGGTGACCCTGTCACGGGAACCTTTGGCGTTGCGGCGGGTCACTGACGGATCAGAACTCGTGTCAAAATATTGATGGTGCCGCCGATCCTCGGCAATTCGGTCCACAAACCGACCCGCTTCCTGCGGTGATTATCAGCAATCGGCCCAAGCATATGATTCAGACAAAAGCTCGCTTGTGTTCAATACCCAGTTCCCCCACTCTACTTGCCCCAGCATGGCTACCTCCACCACGCTCTCCTCCCAGTCCTACGTGTTCGACCCACGACCGAACTACCCCCTCCTGCTCACCGCCAAACGCTACTGGGACCCCGCATCTCGACCGGACCCGGATGCGGCGACCTTGATATGCGGGCACGCGGCAGGCTTCCACAAGGAGCACTACGAGCCGATGGTGCAGGACATGTACGCGCTGCCTGGGGGGCGGCAGCGCATCCGCGAGGTGTGGGCGGTCGACGCGCCGAATCACGGCGAGGCGGCTGTGCTGAACGAGGAGATGCTGCAGTGGGGGTACGAACCGTCCTGTGAGTCGGGTCCTTTCGCTCTGCCAAGGCTTCTTGGAGCTGAACACACGAGGCAGTCGGGTGGCAGGACTACGGTCGTGCGCTGCACGCGTTCGTCGCCGGCCTTGGCACGGGAGTGGACGTTGACTTCTCGAAGCGCCGATTAGTCTTCGTGGGCCATTCCTGGTCTGCAGTCGCGTTGTAAGCGCTCCTTTGCTGAGAAAATGGTCCGCGTCTCACCGTGCCACGATGCACCCAGCACGCTTGCGCTGACGTACCAACCGCCGATCAAACCCGACGCGCTGGTGCTGCTGGAGACCATGTGCGTCAAGAACGAACCAACGCGAGCGATGAAGAACTTTCTCGCCGGAGGCGCGGAGAAACGACGAGACATCTGGGCTTCGAAAGAAGACGCCTACAAGATGTTCAAGTCGCGTCCGTCCTGGCAGAAATGGGACGACCGAGTCTTGAAGCTGTATGCGGTGAGCGAGGATCCTGTTCTTTTCATGTCGCTCGAATTGAAGGGATCGAAGGAATACGGCCTGCGGTCACTTCCTACCCTGGAATATCCCGATAAACATTCTGGAGTGACACTCACCTGTTCCAAGCGACAGGAGGCAGCGGTGTACCGTGACGTCATGGGAAGTTCGATTGTCTACAGGACTATGAAATCTATCGTGAAGGATATTCCGGTTCATGTGATCTGGGGTGCAGCAGATGATTACATGTGCGTGGCCGATAATCTGATTGTTCATCGTTGTCCCGGTTGAGCCTGATGACTTTAGCCCTCGCTCTGACAAGGATGAGTTGATTCAGAGTGCCATGGGCGGAGAGAGGAATCTGGCATCACTGAACAGGGTCCCTGGTGCCGGACATCTGGTCAGTTCCTGTCCCCTTTGACACAAACCATCCATCTGATAGCTGATGCAGATAGCGCAAACGCACCCACGGGAATGTGCCCAACTGCTGGTCGACGTCGTTTTGAAGCCAAAAATGGAAAAAGCAAGACTGTAACATGTAACATTGCTATTAGAAGGGTGCTTCAATCATAGGTAGTACGCTCCTGTCTACTTTTACAGAATTAGAAAGCTCCAATCGAAACTAAGCATCATTATTTTCTTTGTCGTTCAGGATGAACGAGTGTCCCAACAAGAACAGCGCTGCGAAGCAGTCTTCCCGACTCATCGGCGACATGGATTCCTCCTCCTCCGTCATGCCAGGTAAGACCGAGAACTCCATCGATTCCTCTCGATATTCAGCCACCGTGGCTTCTATGCCGCTCTGGATCTGGAACAGCTAGAGCACACCCAATGTCAGAGCTCGAATAAATGACTGTCGAGGCAGCACACGCACCTTAAGCGTCGCTGCATCGTACTCGTCCCGCCTCCACTGGAATCGCGCAGTATTCGCCGTCGCGCCTGTTTTGAACATGAAGGAGCTGCCAAGTGGAATGCGTCAGTTGGTGAATTGTGTGCGCGAAGAAAGAACGCCGACGCACCTCTCATCAGCATCCACGTCGGCGCGCCGCTCCACCTTGCGGTTTGCGACGCTCGCGTGATCGGCCGACACGAACAGTCTCTTGACGGCGCCACCACTCTGCAGCCGCACCAGCACCAGCACTGCCGCGGCAGGATCGGGCGCATCTTTGGTCTTTTTCGCGGGGGATGCCACAACCAGTACCGGCTGAGAGATCGTTGGAGACACCGCGGCGCGCACTTCGAGGCGCTGGGGCCAGCGGCCCGCGGGGACGGACTGCGAGGGGGTGAAATGGAACACGGGCATGTTCTGCGTGCCGTCGTCGCATTCGACGCGGTATTCGAGGCCTTGGACTGCAGGGGATGGCATCGTCGATTCTAGGGGTGGTCGGGAGAAGTTGTTCTTAGGTCAGAGCTTTCTCTGTCTTTTTATATTTGCCGTTGCAAGGCTGGCTTGGAAGAACAATACAATATTTTGATGCGGACAGACCTGGCATGGTACTTTGCAGGAAAATACCTGAGATTCATACCCTGTTCTTCCAAAGCCAATAACGCTTTGGCCAACGCCAGAAATCATTGTTCTGCTTACCCCGGATATGGTCAACGCCAATCAATGTAGTGGCTGTGCGATATATTTGATCGACGGCTCGTGAATCATCGATCCGATTTAAGTAGATAAGATTAGATCGTATCGACTCGACTTCAACGTCACTTCGTTCCCTCAGTTCAGAAATAAGCCTTCAAAGTTGAGTTAGTGAATGCGATGATGCGGATGAGATAGACTCACGGCCGCGTTAGGCGGGGAGGCACATCCTCCGATGCTACATAAGATAAATAATATCAATGACAGAGGACGATGCTCATGAGCAGCCGAGACGCACATATTGAGAGGCCACGAGGAGAAAAAGAAGGTGTACCTTCCCGTCTCAGCGCACACTTTGGACAGCGCCTCGAGATCGAAGAATTCGCCTACAGTTGGTGTTAGCAGGTTGCATGGATTGGAAGAGAAGAGATTTCGCTAGTCGCACCTATCGGCATTCCCCAAAGTCTGGATGGATCAGCGATGTCGTGAGTACATTTCACACTTCCGCGCAATTGTTACTTACCCCAGAAGCGTCTACCATTTCTTAGATATCAGTTTCCCTCTAAATGGATCGGGTGAACGGACCTGGTGCAGATGGATCACGCCTTCGGCTGGCGGAAATGCCTTGAAGGACGCTCGTCAGCCTTTCATCTGGTATAAAATACGCAACAAACCTCAAGAGCAGGCTGATCCGAAGCAACGGCCGAGAAGTGGTTATTCCTGTGAAGCATAGTGTGTATCCATCCCTTCCGCGCGGATCTTTCATTGCCTACCACAAGAACCGCTTCATATCTTCACACGCCTCAATCCCAGCGCTAGAGCATGTCGGTTCAGCAGCTCCTCAGATGACTTCGATTCCAAAGAGATACCCACAAAGCTTCCGGTGTGTGCGCGACGGAATCACGTCCCTCCTGCGAGGTCTCGTAGTACTCCTTGATCCACCCCCCACGGATGAGCAGGATATCCCCGCGCCGGAATTTCACGCCCTGCGCCTTGGCGCACGCTTGCAGATCCGCCGTGGTGAAGTTGTGCGTCGTCCACGGGTTGTACGCGAGCGAACCGTCCTTGGCGGTAAAGTGCGACACGAGGTCAAGCAGCACGCCGCGTCCGCAGATCCCATGCTGCGCCCAGTCTACAGACGAGTGTCGTCACACACCGTGCATCAATCGAGGACGAGGGAGCGAGGGCACCCACTTTGGACTCCGATCCGTGAATGCGCGGGGTCGATCACCTTGGGGTCCGGAATGGGCATGATCCCAATCGGCAGGGAGTCCATCGGGGTGCTGGAATCGGACGCCGAGAATCAGTGTCCGAATCTGCCCGCAGGAGCTGAGCGACCACACTTGTTGTAGAACACCTGGTGTTCGAGGATCGGGAAATGCCGCAGCCCGTCCCACTGCGTGCCGGATTGGGTATTCTTGGGAGGCGAATGGCTCAGATCCCCCGATACAGCCACGCCAGAGGGGGACACGCACGATGTGGATCTCGTCATCCCGAATCCCGTGAAAGTGCGCCGGCTCAGTCATCCGGGTCATCTTGATTTCAGGTGTTCTCCGGTGGAACGCGGGCTGGGAGCATCCCCATCATGATCAGCTGACTGCGGGGCCCAGGAATTCGATACGCGACGACGCACCTTGTCCGGGAAGTTCAACGGCCTGGCGCGGGATGGATGGGTGTGCTCAATCTCATCACGCTCGACGGGCCCCTGGCAAAACGACGCACCAGTTCAGCGAGATACACTTCCCCGACCGGATTTCCTCCTTCGCAGCGACCTTGACCGCTTTCTCGCTCAACAGATTGACCGTGCCCAGCTGGTCCTCGGCGCCCCACACGCCCCACGCGCACCCAGGCATGTTCTTGAACGGGGGCAGCTCATCGTAGTCTGGAATCGTCGCGGTCGTCCAATCGAACTCTTCCGGCTCCGCGTAGTAGTAGCCAATGACGGGCACATAGCTCAGCGCGGACTGGAGGCGTCTGAGCATGGGAGAGGCAGGCGGATTCCAAGGGAACTCGCGTCCATCACGCCCGAGATATCTACCTCTTATATCGCCCGCACAGTCGGATATGTTTAGCAGCAGCTATCCCCAGTAAGCAGGACCAGCTTCTCGCGTCGGCTAAGGACGCCGGTGCGTGGAAAACATACAATCAGTCAGAACTGCCAGCACTGAGAACCTCGATGCGCAACACTAACCGATGGTAGAATCAGATACTTGGATCCTTCTGCTCGTGTGTATAATATAACTGCATCCGAGGATCGACTGACTGACTACCTACAACACACAAGAAAGAACAAACGCCCGTTCCATTCTACACGACTCCACGCTTGTCACAACCCACCCTGAACTTCACTTGGTTGATCCGCGGATGAACGGATGCGAAAGTGCCTCCCGCGGCGTGATGCGGCGGGCCGGGTCGAGCGCCAGACACCGGTCCAGCAGATCAATGAAATGCAACAGCACATTCGTGTCCTCCTCGCTCAACCGCGCGTTCCCAAGCAATTTCTGTCGCAAGTCTTTCGCCGGTTTCGAGATGTGCACTTTCCGCACCACATCCTGGATACCGCAAGTCAGCGATCCAGCATTCCGCAGGCCATTCCCCGCCACGTACATTGCCGCTGCCCTTTTCCTTCTCCACACTCTCGAAAGCACCCATCTCATCAAAATAGACATCCCCGAACTTGGCCTTTTTGATCATCTTGCCGTTAAAGCGACCCTTGAGCTCCATCATATGCAGCAGCATCTGGTTGTTGCTTCTCCCCGGAAACAGGATCTTCCCCGTATACAGTTCATATAACGTGCATCCGACAGACCACACATCCAGCGAAGGGTCATAGGGGACACCAAGGACTAGATAACCCACTTCAGTCTGGGGGCGACACGCGAGCGACCGACACCTGACACTTACTGATTTCAGGAGCGCGATAGAATCGGCTCACCAGGTAAGGAGTGATATCGTTTTCAGCGGCATCCGATGCGGAACCCAGGTCGCAGAGCTTGAGCATCGTCTTGGCGTCGTTGACCTGCGCAACGATCAGTCAGGATGGGGTACCTGCCAAAAGAGAGCCACGCACCAGGATGTTATCCGGCTTGATATCGGCGTGCATCACACCGAGCTTGCGGAGATGGCCGAGCGCAATGAACAGCTGATGCGCGTAAGCTCGTACTGCCCGGATATTCAGGCCTACGTCTTTGCCAAATCGTTTCACAACATCGCGTAGGTTCATGCTGAAGACCCGTGTCAGCCCAAAAGACGGACTGAGGGGTGGAACACGCACCTCATGCTCTCAAATACGAGACAGAGATGCCCTCGATGCTCAAATGTACGCTCCAGTCTTACAATATGCCGCTTGTCCTCCGGATCCGCAGCCTGCAGCTTCGTCAGGATCGCGCTCTCCTTGAGCCCCGCACGATGCCTGGAAAGTGTCAGAAATCTTCGGATGCCATCGCAATGAGTTCATCTCACATCACTTCCTGTGCGCGCACGATCTTGATGGCAACCTCCCGCCCGCCTTCCTTTGATTCCTTCCCGTCGTCGCCCTCCGACAAAACCCTCGCTCGGACGACGACAGCAAACATCCCCCGGCCGACGCTTGCATACACCTGGTAGCGTTCGCCCTTCTCACCAGGAGCCACGAGCACTTCGCCTAAGATGACAGTGTAGTACCCTTCCGGATCTGCAGCGGCATCAGAGTGTAGGACCTGCTGCTGCTGCCCATTTGCAGGCTGCTCCACTTTGACCTTCTTCTTGCCGACTTTTTTCTTTTTCTTGGGCTTGTCGGTGTCCAGCGAGAACATGTCATCCAGATCTTCGTCCTCGTCCTCGTCTTCCTCATATTCCATTTCCTCCTCGATGACTTCGACTGCAGGAGCGTTCACGCGTCGGAACTCGTCTTCGCGACGGTCTAGAGACGGATCATAGTCGGCCGCATTGACTTGATCTTCAGGGGCAACAGCGAGTTCGGCCGTTTCGTCAGCTTTGGCAAGCGTAAACTGCGTCTCGTTTTGCTCTGGGGAAGGGGAGCGCGAAATTTGTCGGGACACAGCTTTATAGATGCAAAACGAGTCAGATACGCGTCGAGATGGCAAACACAAGAAGCCTACCTTGACTAGGTGCAACCGACGGCGGGGCAGCTACATGCCGGAAATGAGTAAAATGGGATTCTCCGGAAGGATACGTACCAGTGCTCGTATGACGGGCAAGGATTGCTGCACGTCGGGCACGCCGTTCAGCCAATGTCTGCTCCACAGGCGGTGGGGATGGGGCGAGCTCGAGCTCGAGCTCCGGCTCAACTTGCATCGTAGGCTGCTCGGGTGCTGGCGTCACAGGCGGAGGAGTCGCTATCGAGACCGAGCGCGGGCGGGGTGAGATTCTGTGGAGCGCTGTTAAAACGTGCCCCGCGCGAGCGGACTGAGACTTACTCGCCCTCTTCCTTCTCGGAGCACACAGTTGGAGATGCCTGCGGACGCGGGCTGCGCGAGCGCTCACGCGGCCGGTCGTAGTCGCGATCGCGGTATCTCCTGTCACGCTCTCGTCTGTGCCGCTCTCTATCTCTATCCCTCTCACCCACGCGGCTGCTCCGGCCACTGCCACTACCGTTGCCGCCTGAACCCCCACCGTTGCCGAGATGTACATCGCGCCAGTCCCGGGACCCCTTCACATCCCGTTCGCGGCGTTTGTGCTGATGATGATGGCTGCCGCTCTCCCCATCGTCAAAGGCGCGCTTTAGATTACTGCTGCTACCATTGGAAGTTGTTTTCTGTATTTCTGGGGGCGCGTTAGCCATCGTATATAGACAGTTGGTCGGGCACCGCACGAGACGCGAAGAAGAGAGTGATGGTAAAATGGATACCTCTTCTGTTTGCAAGTGTTGACTTCGTCCCCCCCTTCGAGAACACCACTACTTGATAATTCCATCTCGGTTGTGCTAATGCATGGAAATCGGTCACAGAGTTTGTGTACAGCATAAGTGCGAACGCCCTCACTTGCCTCAAACTTTCGGTACCTCGTGCAATCAAATTTACTGCGGAGGACCGGACCACCTAATTTCCAAGCACGCACAACACTGAGCGGCCCCACTTACAACTGGCCATGGAATACCTCGCTTCAACGACTAGTGCTCGGACATCAAACATAGATTATCCCCCTACTTATTATCAGGATTCTGGAAACCGTCCGATCATGGATTGCGACGACAATCGAGTGGAAGCCCAGTTAGGCGGCAAGTGAAACAGAATGAGCTTTTTGGTTTCTTGCATTATTCGTGGTGGCTGCACTTCGTTAACCTATCGAATACATTCAGCAGTATTTTAGCCCATTTGCCTTCTCATGGTGAGTTCGCTTGTCGTCCTTCCGCTTCAGCATTGACTGTCGCTTTCGTCAGCCGCCCCGGCCTGGTAAACTGCAGCTGGGTCCTTTCGCGTCTCCCCTTCCTAGTTCATGATAGACACTCCCACCGATAAATCCGCTCAAGCTCATCAACCGCATCTCTGCTGACATCCTTCCACCGTGACGTCTCTTGCTGCAGCTCTTTGACCCACTCCTCATCTGAATCAGAGATGATGTCAAACCGGTCGCCAGCCCAAACGCCGCGGTGGAGCTCGATGGAATCGTCCCGACCCATGGATACGGAGGAATTCGAGGACCAGCATATGCGCCCGAAGACAATGTGACCCAGAGACAAGTTATTATGGCGCCCTGGGTGAGGGTTCCAATACTTGTCTTTCATCTTGAACAGCTCGGTTTCGCGCACGTACTGCTGCTTGGTGAGGTTTCGGAGAATGCAACTGGTGGAGGCAGTAGTGGACTTGACCACCATGTCGCTGTAACAGATATGATGCAGGGAATGACACAAGGTCTGCGCATGGAGGATATCTCGATGACAGTTGCGCTTGTGGGCCTTCATGAGCAGTTCGGAGTCGAGGCTCACCGAACTGTCGAATGAAGGGGCACTGGTAAATTCGTACTTGTATAGAGTCACGGTGGAATGGTAATCGTTGGTTGCTTGCCCGTCTGTGATGACAAGGTACTTTGCTCTCTCGTCCAAAGAAAGGATGGAGTCTGGGATATCGTTGTTGGCGACTCCATCTCCAAAGCAAACCAATCGATGTCCACTCCAGTAACGGCGGTTGCAGAGGCGCGTGATACGCTCGTATAGTGAGGGCCGACACAGATCCCAAAGGTGTTGGCACGTCACAGAGAGGAAAATGAGATCCTCGTTGTCAAGGTCCTCGCAGATCAGGCTGAAGAGCTCGAAGGGAAGACTGTGTAGCAGCATACACTCAGAGCTGGCGAGGGCACGGATGAGACAAGAGCAAGTCAGTGACACAACACAATATGCACCTTTGCTCGACTCTCATCGGACAGAGCCATGTGCTTTTATCAAGTTTGAGATTGACCGGAAACAGGGCTCTTGTCCACTTTCCATTGAATGCAACGGAACCTGGCTTGCACATCCCCACCACTGAATCCAATTCGATGTATTGAGGGCGGCGAATCCTCTTTACCAGCATCTGCGCTAAGTATCCATCGAAAAAGTGTTCTCCTAGCTTGCCCACTAGTTCAGAGATTTCTTGAGTAAGGTTGACGATTTGCCAGTCTTGACCCATGAGCGGTATCACTTGCACGTTGGGACAAGGTGAGAGATGAGACGTGAGACAAATGCGATCAAAGCTCAATCGGGATTGATGACAAAAATGAGCGACGTAGGGGTCGAACCTACAATCTCCTGATGACACTTGTATCGTAGTCAGACGCGATACCATTTCGTCAGTCACCCATATTATAGCTCCGGCGAGTATCATATCTGACTGCTCTCCTCCAAGGCCGCCTACAAGCATCGGTCGATGGACCTCTGATCGACATGCTAACTTGAACCTGGACATAAAACACGAGATTAGAAACAGGACGAATCTCTAAGCCAGTGCCACATCTCAGAAGATGCGTCCTGCTTGGCTCTCGCTCATTTATGGCCCAGTATTGCTCACATTTCCGCGACCCGTGTCAGCCTTATTGCCTAGGGCCAAATGACATTGACAGTGATGCATATCAGGCTCCTGAGCTCCTCCGAGTATCCCTGAACGCTTAATACTATGTCGCTTCCCCCACCCGACGAGGATTACCCACACCCCTTCCACCTTGACCCCGCAGATGGCGAGAGCGCGCCCGAGGGCGTCCCAGATCCGGTCACGGCGGCGGAGCTGCGCATGTGCCGGCTGTCAGCGCAGCTGCGCGAGAAGGATCGGTGGTGGGACAAGTGCCGCAACGCGCCATTACGAGCAGGTGGATCGCGGAGGTGAAGCAGCAGCAGGAGGGGATGTGGGAGTGGGAGAAGTTGACGGATAATATGGTATATCATCTCCAAGTCTTCGTGTTGGACGCGCAATGACTGAACTGATACGTGACCCACAGCTGAATTTTGTCATCGAGGAGCTTAGGGCGTATGCCGACCGACGTGACGCCAAGCTCGGGATCGAGGTCAGGCTCAAGAGTTCCTTCCCAAGCTCCCAATTGACAACCTGTGCTAGCCAGGCCCGTTCGACATGATATTTCAATCCAACTGTCTTATCCCAGATTCTCTCACTCAAGAACTGAAAGACGCAGTAAGACCTCTTGAAGATGTGCCCGACGCCGAGAAGGATTGGCATCCAGGATCTGACCAGCGCGTGATCGACCTCGTTCACCCCTCCATCTGCCCTCTCGTCTACGGCGAGTCGTGGGGGACATCATCTGGGACCGTGAAGACGTTCTCCTATGAAAAGGAGGATGACGGGGGGGAAGAGATTGACCCTGTGTTCCTGTCGGAGCGGTTCCAGTGGCTACCGTCTGACTTCACGGTTTCTGCGGAAGGAACAGTCAAGCTCACCTCGCCCTACATTAACAACATCTCTCCCGAGCATCACGATGCGCTCGTCCCCACGATCAAACGCGTCATGAGCCGCGCAGTGCCCATGTGGGAGCTCGTGCTTTCTGAGCTGGGAGGGAGTAGGACCCGCAGAGTGCGTGATCCATGTTGTGTGTGGGATGAAGACAACATGAATGCGGGGGACGAAGAAGACCAAGACGAAGAGGATGATGATGAAGACGAGGATGATGTCCGTGTCGCCCAACGCCAGACTGAAAAGGCCCGGCAGAGGGCGAAGGAGAGGCAGGAGATTGAAGCAAGGGCCGAGAATATGATTGCCTTCCCTGAATGGACTTGCGTTCGCGTCCTGCGCGCGAATTTGACGTTGCCCGACGCACTCGACCATTACGACGCTCCAGATGATGCTCAGATGATTACACTGCGCAAACGACCAATTCAGGTAATAGTGAAGCTGGCAAATATAGTCTTGACCCCGGATAAACCTGAATATCCCGGTGGTGTGTGGCACGTCGAGGGTAAGTTTGTCACTGGATAACCTTCAGAAACTGAGGCATCATAGGCATGGGGAACGAATCCATCGTGTCGACCTTCATCTACTACTACGACTCCGACAATATCGAGCCCGCTTCCCTTGGTTTCAGGCAGGCTGTGGCATCCCCTCCATACCACCAGCAAGATGACGTGGCCTGCATGATAATGCTTTACAATCTACGACGGTGGGGCTACAAAATCCAGGCCACAGATTGCTCTGCAACTAATTCGATTCCCACAGTGAAGACGCTCTTATCCAGGACGTGGGCTCGGTGCAGACCAAAAGTGGCCGCTGCATCGCGTTCCCTAACGTTTATCAGCATCGCGTGAGGGACACTAATGCAGCTGCTCCGTACTACTGCAGAGTCTCACCAGTTTCTCATAGGTTTCTCCCTTCAAGCTCATCGACGCAAGCAAACCTGGTGTACGAAGGATCCTAGTCTTCTTTCTTGTCGATCCAACTCGACGCATCCCGTCCGCCACCACCTCAGTTACCACCGCCATCACCCGGTTGCACCCCCGCGGGGGTCCTACTGGGTACCCCCCTGCGGGGCCCGCGGGGGATTTGGTCCATTTGGGGCAGGGGCATATGCGGGGATCAGCAGGGGGGGTGCAGGGGGGGGGGGGGTCTGTACATATCATGTGATTTATCATTGGGAGCGGGCAGGTGGGCGCGAAAAAAAAAATGAATCACATGACACATCCAATGGGCGGGATGGCGGCTGATGGCGGGGTAAAAAAATCACGTGATGCACCGCATGAAAATTATCAAAGATGGCTAGCAGCAGTTGGCGGGGGTTGGCGGGGGGCGCTACTGTCCCCCCGCACACCATGGCGGGCAGTGGGCGCATTATCACGTGACTTTTGGGGGGCACCTTTTGTGCACCATTCGGCATGATTTCGAAGGTGTTGCTTGATCCATTGCATGCTGTGGCAGACAATGGGCGCATAATCACGTGATTTTCCGCCCAAAAAAATGGAAGCCTTCCCAAATCATCCTGGTATCATTTCTATAGGTAAATACACTAGTTAAGCATGAATTTGAGCTTAGAAAGCCCAAAATCCACCCTGCACAATGGGACTGGTGATGCACTTGATCCCATCATTTGGCGGGGTCTGCTGCGGGGGGTGCCACGGGGGGTGCTGCGGGGGGTGCCGCAGGGGGTGCCACAGGGGGTGCCACAGGGGGTGCCGCAGGGCCCGCTGTGGGGTCAACCACAGGAGCAGGGTTAGGGGTGCATTGCATTATATTTTGATCTATCTATTCTCGCTGTGGTCATAGCATGCAGCATAATTATCCTTCATTTTGCCAGGAGTTTGGAGGCTGTGTCTGGGGGTGGTCTGCACCTACAGCCGTGTGACTCCCTGATGCTTCGGCAGGGGCTGGGATATCAAAACTGTGCAATATTTTCTGCAGAATCCAGGCATGTAGGGTTAAAAAGAAAGTGTGATTTGTTCATTTTTGGCTGGCAGGGTAGGTGGGCTGACATCATGGGCTGCATCAGGTCCACTGTCAACTCATTGATTGTTTTGTCTGCTCATTCCATATACATGCCCATTGGTAAGCTGATCATGCTGTAGGCACAGTCTAATCTTACCCTGTGGATGATACCACACATTAATTACATACCTAATGTCACACTTCCTGTCTGGGACTCATTGAAGTTCATCTGTTCTGTGTTACTTTACAAGCAGTTTGCTTCAGTTGCAACATGAACAGATGTAATAGTGGATTTGACATGCCCTGAATTGATTCCTAGGTGGAATATGAGACAATGGATTCACCAGCAAGTTGTCTCACAATAGTCAGAGATTGGTAATATTTGAATTTCAAATTTCATATACAACACTCTGTGCACTCAGAGCTCGTATATTTGCAAGATAGACTGTAGAGACATAGATGGTTACTTTTACTACCTCTGGGGCTGCACACATCCTCGCCATGACCCACTGCCTGCACCCCCGCTGGCACCCCCTGTGGCACCCCCGCTGGCACCCCCGCTGGCACCCCCGCCAGTCTAGCACCCCCCGCCGCACCGGTGCCTTGCTCCTGTGATTTTCTTATATGTAAGATTATGTAAACTGACAGCTCGGAACACGTCAAGTCACTAGCCAATCAGAACCTGTATAAACGTTGTACCTAAGTGTTTACTGCTCTTCTAACACTGTTCTTACAGTTATGCAGCTGAAAACCATCGGAATAAGGTCTCCATATGCTATTCTTGTTGAATATGTAGGTACTTCATATCCTTTGTCCACCTAAAAATCGAAACATGAAAACAGTTCACCATTGCTCAAGGTTCCTATGTAGACAATGGTTCAACATGGTTCACTTTGAGTATGGCAAAAAATATTTTTTCTACACACAAGCAATTCAATACAGCTGAATGATATACTCTTTGGCAGTGTCTGAAACAAATTCTGAGAGCCCTGGACCCTGGAACCATTCAAAAACTTGAAATGAGTCCGAAAAATAGGGTCTTGATAAACATGACATATGGGCTGGTTTGAAGAGACATGGGCCACCGGTCATGTTGAATATAGTATTTTACAATGTTTCGGTGCCCTACCTCTCATCACATGGCCTCATTTCCGACTAAGAAGCGCACATACACACTCAAGCTCATAAAATCAATTGTCACCCAGAAACAAGAGCAGTGAAGTTGTTTCACTGGGATTGGGTAAAGGTTACCTAGAAGTCACTTGGGTTGCAGTACAGAAGCTTTGGAAAGTGATTTTGTAGTTGATCCACATTTGGTAGGCTGGCAGATGCTTGTGCACCCCCACGGCACCCCCCGCGGCACCCCCTGCGGTTGACCCCCCCCAACCCCTGCAAGGATTTAATTGACAAATGTCCTGCTCAATCCATTGTAAGAGTCTACAGTATTATTGGATTCAGTAAAGGACCCAAATGCTATGTAGACAAGAAGTATGAAATCCGGAAATCAAGAATTATGACACCTCCATGGAATATGCTGCAAATGGAGAGGAAAATTTGAGCGCAGACAGACTACCTGAAGCAAACAGACAGAGAAAAGAAACATTAGCCATTTCTTGTTGATGATGTTGGCTGTCCCTGGAGCATGTACTTGGGAGATTTGCCTAATAAATCAAGTTGCGCATTTTTCAAATTTTTAGTTTGACCTGACAGCTTGAGCAGACCATGCCAAAATGAACCAAGTCATATATATCAGTGCCCCAAGCCAAGCCAAAAGATTTAGGTAATATTGCACAGTTTTGATATCCCAGCCCCTGCCGAAGCATCAGGGAGTCACACGGCTGTAGGTGCAGACCACCCCCAGACACAGCCTCCAAACTCCTGGCAAAATGAAGGATAATTATGCTGCATGCTATGACCACAGCGAGAATAGATAGATCAAAATATAATGCAATGCACCCCTAACCCTGCTCCTGTGGTTGACCCCACAGCGGGCCCTGCGGCACCCCCTGTGGCACCCCCTGTGGCACCCCCTGCGGCACCCCCCGCAGCACCCCCCGTGGCACCCCCCGCAGCAGACCCCGCCAAATGATGGGATCAAGTGCATCACCAGTCCCATTGTGCAGGGTGGATTTTGGGCTTTCTAAGCTCAAATTCATGCTTAACTAGTGTATTTACCTATAGAAATGATACCAGGATGATTTGGGAAGGCTTCCATTTTTTGGGCGGAAAATCACGTGATTATGCGCCCATTGTCTGCCACAGCATGCAATGGATCAAGCAACACCTTCGAAATCATGCCGAATGGTGCACAAAAGGTGCCCCCCAAAAGTCACGTGATAATGCGCCCACTGCCCGCCATGGTGTGCGGGGGGACAGTAGCGCCCCCCGCCAACCCCCGCCAACTGCTGCTAGCCATCTTTGATAATTTTCATGCGGTGCATCACGTGATTTTTTTACCCCGCCATCAGCCGCCATCCCGCCCATTGGATGTGTCATGTGATTCATTTTTTTTTTCGCGCCCACCTGCCCGCTCCCAATGATAAATCACATGATATGTACAGACCCCCCCCCCCTGCACCCCCCTGCTGATCCCCGCATATGCCCCTGCCCCAAATGGACCAAATCCCCCCCGCGGGCCCCGCAGGGGGGTACCTGTTGGGTACCCTCAGAGCTACGTCTGAGGGTACCCAGTAGGACCCCCGCGGGGGTGCAACCGGGTGATGGCGGTGGTAACTGAGGTGTCCGCCACGGAAATCCCGCCGCAACAACTCTCGATCGTCAAGCATACACTCCGATCTTAGGGACCGCGCTCCCGCCTAGCGCTGCTCCCTATCGAGTTGCTCGACTACATCGCATCCTGCGTGCCGGGGGTCAGAACGCGTGCCGAGGCGAACGGTATCAGAGACGAGTTGATGAAGGAGCGTTCTGTCGTCATACAACATGTCCATGAGGAATACTTCTCGCGGGTTCGTTCGATTCGCTGGTTCTAGCGCTTTCTTGCTCATTGTTTTGTTCAGATGTTCAATATGTGGTATGTGGCTGGCTGCTTAAGTGGCTCTCCCTCAATGTTTTCTACAGCGAACATTAGGCTTCATGGGGCCCGGCGCGATGTCGAGCTCTGTCATCGATTCCGGTCGCCACCCAACTTGTCAATTGAGAGGGCACATATTTGAACATTCTGCTTGACGCGGAGTTCTGGTGTGCGCCCTGTATTGAATAAATGCCTGAAATATACAGGTTGTGTAACTGCTTCTTCCTTGGAACCCGTCTGACAACGTGAGAATCTGCAGCGCCCACACTGATCGGCGGGGCGCTCAAAAAATGATTTCGAACATACTGTACTTCCCTTTGGCCTCTTTCCTTGGACTCCCCTCCCAATCGCACGGAGCCCTGGATTCAAGAGATGCTGACCCGTTTCGAAGACGAATTCGCCATCGGGGACATGGCGGCTGCCTTGGGCGCATTCAACATTCCCGAGCTTCTGTCGTCAGCGAGCAGGGTAGTGGACAAGAGATGCATAAAAGCTAACCTTTATTAGGAGGAGGATTCAATCCAGCAAGCACAACGAGTAGCATTTTCCTGTTCGAATACTAACCGACGCCTTGACAGATCTTCTAGAGTTTGGAGACGCGTCAAACCTCATAGCACGTCTAGGAGGAAGTAGGTACGGTACCCAGGGACTGTCCGAGCACGATCTATCCGTCCGATTCCTCTCTGAGGTCAGAATCAACTGTCACTCGCCAAAAAAGCCCTGCTCAAGGTAATACCAGATCGCCACCATGGCATATGTGCGACAGAACACGTCGATTCCCGTCCCCAAACTCCATTACTACGATCCAGATCCCCACAATGCCGTTGGAGCACGGTACATGATTATGGATGTGGTTAGTGGAATCTCGAACTCTGAATATCCCCCTGAGTCTCAACTCCACAACTAAGGTCCCCGGCCCAAGACTGAGCTTTGTTTGGGACGACTTGCCCCCGGAATCGCGGCGCAGTCTCGTCTCTCAGACCGGCAAGCTCGAGAAACAGCTTCTCGACACGCGCTTCCCCGCCATCGGCAGTCTCGTGGACGAGCACGGAGTACTGGGTGAATTATGCTGTCAATACGGCAACCCAAATCCCCTGCTCCCCGAGCACAGAGGCCCGTTCTCTTCCTCGCGGGACTACCTGCTCGCCCACGCCCGCTCATCGCTGCAGGCCTACACGGACCGCGCAGCAGCTGGCGCCGACGTCGCTTTCTGCAACTATGCGATCCGATGGCTGGGCCTTGCGACCGAGGGCATCTCGGCGCTGACGCTGACGGACGAAGACGAGTGCTTCGCGTTCTACAACGAGTTCTACATGACCCACATCCACGTCTCTCCCTCTGACCCAACGCAGATCATTGGGATGCTCGACTGGGAGGGGTCTGCGGTCGGGCCGCTTTAGGACTGGACACTGCACTGTGGATTCAACAACGTGTTGTTCAACGATGCGATCCTAGGAAGGATGGAGAACGAACAGTTTGAGGATCTCAAAGAGCTGCGTCGGTCTATCAGCATGGGAGGCGCCGGCGATCAAGATGCACGCCCATGAGATTCGCCCCTCAATCTGTACTACCTCCTGCGAGCGTTGAAAGTGTCCGATGCTACGGCTTCCGATAGGGAGGCGTTTGACGGCAATTTCGTTGAATGGTACGAGCGTCTGAAGGATGCGGCAAGACTGGAAGGAAATGAGGGCTTCCAGAAGCTCCATGACTACATTCTACGCAGTCATGAACCGGAGTAGATGATCCGAGTCAAGCCTGCGCGATCAGCAGGGATTTTAGATCAGAGTGCTCTATAATACAAGTTACGATAGATGAAAAGCAAGATACCATTAGCAAGAAGACTCTCCCTTCACCAGTCGACACCGATCTTGGGGCACAGCCCACTCGAGCTGAGCGTGCATTGCCCACATTTGGGAGCTCTGGAGCTGCATATAGTCTGGCACAGAACTCAGCCCTCTATTCGGGAAAGCAGCCGCGGTTGTGGCACACCTGTCCGAATCCGACCAGGAGTGAGTTTATATCGGGATGCAGCTCTTTCGGAAGCCAAGACTCGAGACTGACTCTGCTTTGCGTCAGGTGCTGCTCGAGGCGGAACGAATTGTGCATACCGGGCATCCTCAGCTTTGTCGTGGTGGTGCCAGCCCAAGCGCTGCGTAATCCGGTGGACGTGGACATCCACACCAATCCCGACGTTTCTGTCTCCTATGGTAAGAAATTGATCGGGTCCAGGCACTCTGGCAGGCGCACATCTGCCAAGCGGCTTGAAGCGTCAGAAAGCCGACCTTGGGTCCGACTCCGGGAAGCGTCATGAGTTCCTCGATTGTCTGAGGTACGTCGCCGTTGAAATTGTCACGTATGAGCTCCGCTGCAGCTTTGATCTGACTGTGTATGCACAACATGTCGGTACCGACTCAACAAAAGAAGAACCATACGCACACCGACTTCTTGGGCCACATTCCGACTTTGTTAACAGCACCTCTGATAGTCTCGATATCAGCAGCGAGGACCGCCTCGAGGGACACCGAGCCGCCTAGCGCAGCTTGCAGCTTGAGCACTGCTGCTCCCGTGACTTGGTCTGGCGTCTGAGGGGAGAGCATGAGCGAAACGAGCGTGATATATCTATTCCACGATCAGCATCCATCCGAGCACTTCCCAAAGCACCGGCCTTTTGTTCTAAGCCGACAAAAAGTCAAGACAACACCAGAGTCCGCGCCGAAAGCACGACACACCCTGGGATCCGTTTCGCATCTCTGTGCCGTATGGCAGCCCATGGTATCCACCGGCGCATCCCTCTTGGAACGCATTTCTGTGATCGCGTCGTACACCTCGCGCCACTTTTCCGGCTCTGGATCGGGTTTCGCGAGAGCCTTCTTGGCTTTGGTGGGCGTCGACCTGCTCTTCGTGGGAGAACGCGTCGCAGCCCTCTTTTTGGGGCTCAGCGAAGGCTCTACAGAGGTCGTGGTGGAGGCAGGTTCTGTCTTCACTCGAGCGCGTCGCGGCGTTTGTGGTAAAGCGAGAAGGGGTTTCTCATCCTCCGTTGTCTCCAGTTTGAAGAGAGTAACCGTGGAATCATACGGGCTGGTGCGTGACTGAAGTCGAGTCCGGCGCGTTGCCATATTGATTCCGACTCTGAGAGACTGTAACGTGTGCAGCTTGATCAAAGAAGAAACGAAAGGTGACGGAAGCGTACTATTATAATCCAGATCTCCAGACCCGTGACAGGTGTGATCGAATATATCACGTGCGTACTCTCCGCTCTGTTCACCCTTGAACCCCAGCACCATTTCCGAAAAATGACTTGAGGAGACTGGAAGACGTAGAGTGAAGATAATCAATTGAACGAGGTACTGTTAGATACGAGTTTCGGAGGTCGGACTCCTCATTCCAAGTCAATGCTGCTGAGAATGTAGTCATGGAACTTTCGAAAGCCCTCATTTCCTTCCAGTCCTGCCGCATCCTTTATAGGCTCGTATCATCCAAACGTCTGCGGCCTTTCTTCGAGGCAAGTTGACCTCGGCCGGCACGACTGAGCGCCTACGACCTGGGGTGTGATGGGTGCGTCTCGCAACCCGATCTTGCGCTGATGACATATCATCTTCAGCAGAGCTTCAACTCTCCGCTATCCTCGCAAATAGAATACATTATGATGATTTTCGACCATGCCAGTCGTTTCACGATCCCTTTCTAACCTGGACCTATCATTATTTACAGAAAATGTGTCGAAATAGACTATAGAAGCGTCCTTGATTACAATCCAATCTCAATGAATGCTCGTCCGACGTTTCCGATGTTTGTTCCGTCGCCACTCGGCACCATCAGCCGTCAAGACAGGAAACCACGGATGTATTGTCGGGTCCCACTTGAGCAGACCGACGTCAAACGAGGGCACAGCCGACATCGAGCTCGGCACGTCCTGCAGACGTCGACATGCAGCCGATAGACCGCGCAGGAACTGGTCCGGACGTCAATCAATCAATCATCAGTGGTGCGACAGCAAGTGGGAGGCGACGCACCGCTATCCGCTCATCTGTCCACAACCCAGAGTACCCTCCGACGTTTCGCGACGTGATCAGGCCTTCGAGGATGGTCTCGGCGAGCTGGAAAGACGCGGAGGGTGAGAACTGGGGGTCCTGGGTGCGATTGAGCGCCGGCGCGGTGCATGCAACAGCCGTAACGCACCTCAAGGAGACGGCCACACAGTCCCATGAATCCATCGAAGCTGGGTAGTGCGACGACCGGCACCGACGCGATCTCGTACCCTGAGCCAAACGCCCATTTGTACCGCCGAAAGAAGTTGGCTTGCATTTGGCGCCAGTTGAAGGACATGAGCGACATGGAGAGCTGCCGTCATCAGCGTCGCGTACAGAGAAGGTAGAGTGGCATCACACACTGCAAAAGAGGATAGCGTCATGACTTGCAACGCACTCAGCCAGCTGTGCTGGAAGCGCAATTCTCGGCCGGCAGGGCAATCTGGAACACGTAAGTAGAAAGAAAGCCGAAGTCGCCGAACAACACACTCGGATCCACCGCAGACAGAAGTTCATCGAGGCATTCGAGATGGGCATGCAGGACCTGTGAGGCATACCAATATGCAAACGACTTCTCTTCTGAAGTGTACAGCTCGAGCTGGAACCCGGACAGAACGACTTCGCGCACGACCGAAAGCCGCCAGAGCAGCACGCATTTGGGAAAGTGGTATACGGCCTGGGAAGGATCTGGCTAGGTTGGAGCATAAGTTCGAATTGTCTCATGCTGCAAAGCGCAATACTCGCGCACCGGAAACTTGGCAGCTATCCCCATCATTCTAGAGTAGTACAAGTGGAGGTCCGTCAACATCTTCGCCAAGAACCGTCGTCGCCTCGGAGGATTGTACCACAGTGCTCTGACATACTCGGTCATCAGCTGGTGCGCACGTTAGCAAAGCTGGGCTCCAGAATGCATGGCCGTGCAGCACACCTTGAAGTGCCCCCGCTGCAGATCGCCCCAGAATTGGTCGGTAGAGTTTTGCCCGACGTACGCGACGACCGATTGGTAGCCGACGCCGAGTGTTTCAAAGAAGAAACGATCCATGACCCACTGCGGACTGAATTTGTTCAGGACCAACAGCCCGTCATAGAAGATGGACTGGAGACGAGGTGGATCAGCACACACACATGTTCCTGAAGCACATATACCTACTTGCGTGGATGATCTTAGATAGGGACACCGTAGTGGCGGACCGGGCAGCCAAATCCGTAAGTTACCAACAAGCTACTCGCAGTCAGTTCGAGGAGGGGTCGAGCCGGATGGCGTGCTCGCCTCCCAAGTTGTCACGGTCGGAGTCATGGACAACAGACGCTGTTCATCCCAACCATCCAGTAAGGTATCCAAAGCATCCCAAGTCTCCGCTATCGGTGGCACGGGGATGATACGAATGGGAACGGAACTGTTCAGTTTTCTCGCGATGTACGGATCGAATGAGAGGTGTGCAGGAGAGTCTGGTGTGGGTTCATGTGAGGGGTACATTCGCACCGTCTTGAGATGGTTGCGGGCAATGTTGAGGAGGTCGAGAAAGTCCGACGGAGTGTTGAATAGGTTAATGCTCATCAGCTGTATGAGTGACTATATCCCGCTGTGAGCCAACGCCATCCCAGACTTGGAGACTCGCACTTTGCGTAGATTTAAGCGAGCGATTAGACCTGTACACCACGGGTCTGCCACTGGAAAGGCGTTGGATTTGAAAAAAATCTACGGGAGAAACGCACCCTTTCTCGACCGAATCAGCCATGCCACAGCGGTATCGATATCCGCGACAACATTGGCAGTCGATGTTCCCTCGAGGAGAGATATGTCGCCCTTCTCACTGTGCCAGTCTTCTGTCTACACGAGACTTCAGCGAACGCATTCAAAGTCCAGATGGGGCAGACGGACATCCTGGACATAGCCCTTGGAAAGCTCGCGCCATGAAAGATCGCAGCATTTCAGCATCCCCGCCACAGCGGCGCGTAACACCAGCGGTACGAGCTCCGGCAGTCGTTGGGTATCGGGGAAGGAATCGTATGGTATGATATCCGGCCAGATTTCCGAGATGGCAAGACCGTATAGACATGTGAACACGGTATGTACGAGAGTGTTGCCCGCGTGCCAAAGCATCTAATTTCCGAAGTTCTCAGCACACTGTGCAGAGTCACAGCACAACGCACCTCATACGTGAACATCCTATCAATGATCCAGCATATCTCCTCCGGCAACATGGGCGCCCAGGGATCAAAGAGTGGTCGCTGCTCTCCCTCAGGCGTCATCCCGCTATCTAGCCGCGGCTCTCCGATCTGGGGAGAAGAAAAGCGAGCGTCCTGCTGGAGACGATATGCATATCCACCTCAAACGCGCACATGGCGTCCTGCAGGGTGAATCCGGGCATGAGAACCACCTCGGACGGCTCCATGTCTGTCGGTAATGAACATCATCATTCAAGGGTTGATCGAAGCGGGGGGCGACGCACCAGCGGCTGCATCGACAAACAGTTGTGTAACATCGCGGAAGTTGGAACCGCCCGGGAGGTCAGAAGCATCCATTGGAAATCGGGTATGTACCCAACAGCAGACGGGACGTGACAAGGGCCGGGATGTTTGGAAGACAAACAAATCACTTTTCTAGGATCATCATGCTGTCGCGCTCGGGGCGCTCCCTGCCGCGATTTCGGAAGACTCTCCGCCGTGCAAACTCCTCTGCCGCGTCTACGTCTCCGAATCACTCACCCGACGCGCCCCCCAGAAGACCGCGCGTCGTCTTCTCCGGGATTCAGCCGACGGGAACACCGCATGTGCGTTCCCTCCGGAAGACTGCACGCGTTTGTTCTCAATTAACGGACAGCTAGGGAACTATTTGGGTGCCCTTTCGAACTGGGTCAAGCTCCAGAACGACAATCCGCACGACACGCTTCTCTTCTCCGTCGTCGGATGGCACGCGTTGACCCTGCCCCAAAATCCGAAAGACCTGGTCAGGTCCCGGCGGGAGATGCTCGCTGCTCTCCTTGCCGTTGGAATAGACCCCAAGAGGTCGATTCTGTTCCATCAAGACTCAGTGCGCCTATTTTGTCATGCTGTGGCTCGCAGCACGCTGACTGTCCGTAGAATGCCATGCATACTGAGCTCGCTTGGATTCTCGGGTGCTTGACGCCTACAGGCAAGCTACGAAGGATGACATCCTGGAAGGTGTGCTCTCTGCTGAACCACGCCTCCTGGCTCCTCTCCTGACTGACTTGCAGACGCGTCTAGCGCAATCACGCAACGCGAATGACGAGTCTGAAGTAGACGAATCACTGCTGAACGCCGGCCTTCTGACCTATCCTGTGCTGCAAGCCGCCGATATCCTCCTCTACAAAGCGACCCACGTTCCTGTTGGCGACGATCAACGGCAGCATCTAGAACTAAGCCGAGACATTGCCCAGACATTCAATCGGACATTCAAAGACAAGACCAGCATGTTCCCGCTTCCCACCCCCTTGATCAGTATGTAACAGGCATCTATCTCTATGCTTCCAGAATCCCTCACTTGGAATGCCCTCAGCGCCTGCTAAGCGCGTTCTTTCATTAAGGGATCCGTCTGCGAAGATGTCCAAGTCGGACCCCGCCCCAGCCTCCCGTATCCTTTTAACAGACACCCGGGACCAGATCGCATCCAAGATACGCAGCGCGGTGACAGATTCGATAACAACTGGCGCCACATACGACCCAGAAGGCCGCCCCGGAACGTCCAACCTCATCTCCATTCTGGCTGCGTGCAAAGACGTCGAGGTAGAGGAGATGGCGCGCCAATGCCAGGGATGGGGGCCCCAGCAGCTCAAGTCTGCTGTAACAGAGGCCATTGAGGAGCTCTTCGTCGGCCCACGCGCTGAGTTTGAGAGGCTGTGCGCCGATCCTGGATACGTGGATCAGGTGGCGCAGGAGGGCGCTGTGAAGGCCCGAGAAATCTCTTCTAGGACTATGGAGGAAGTCCGAAAGAGAATAGGGTTGAATTAGCTCACCTGACATGTAGGCATATGTTTCTCGTGGAATCACTGCATGCCCGGTACATGGAAAGCAGCTAGAGCGCACTTGCTGAAATCAGACGTGACCCATGTGTCACGCGGGAAGCACATTGTGACGAGACGCGTTTTGCTCCCGATGGCGTTTGAAGTGGCACGCGCCGCGCATGTCGTGGCGTAACTTGATCAGTTGACCGAGCGACCCAAAGCGCCGAGGACATATGACCCTCCGACAATAGGAGAGGGACGCGCTCTCTTCGGTCCTGCTCAGACTCGGGACGCCACTTTCTCGCCATCTACGTGAAATGTGTGATATCTGACCTACTGGATCTGTTTGCTAGCGTCTTACAATCATGGACGCCAAGTATCCTCTCGCAGAGACCGCGGCTGCCCAGTGCCCAGTTGCCGACCCATGAGCAGCACTTGCTGTTATGTTGCAAAACTTGATGACCCTCATGATCAGCTTCCTTGGTGACGAGGAAGACAACTCGTCGTCGCTGTCGACAGGACCTTCGGTCGCCTACTTACCATGCCTCATGATGGGTTCGGATTTCCCACTTCAACATAAGTATGTACTTCTTGACATATCCGTTTACGGAACGCGTCGAGCACATATTGGACTAGGGACGTTCTAATACTCGGTTTCCATCGAAACCAGCTTCTCTAGAGTATGTATGTATGTATGTACGGAATTGTCAAAAGGCAGCACAGTCAGTCAAGTGTCGAGGTAGGGGGGGAATGGTCTACATGTCACTCATGCAGCGGCGCGGGTCAGGCTGGGCTTAGCCTGGATCGAGACCAGCGCGTCCCCAAACGCCTTCATATCGATCCCGCTGTCAGTCATCACCGCAGCCGCCTTCCGAATCATCAGGTCCGCGTCCTGCGCGGCGAACCCGCTCGGACGACGGGAGCTGGGATTGGAAGACGCCGGCGACGATCCCCAGGACACGTAGCCCGAATTACCCTTGTGGTCATCCAGCGCCGGGTGATCTGGGGTCGGAGAGTATTTGCAGGCACGGAAGAGCGACAAGGCCCGCTTGAAGTTCGTGGTCGGCTCAAACAGGGGAAGTGCTGCGAATACACGTCAGAAGATGGCGATAGCTAAATCATTTGACAGAAACTGACCAGCCGAGATGGCTGCTGCTGCCTTTTCGGGTGTCAGGTTTTGGGAACTCATCACTGGCGGTGCTTAGTACATCAGCGGGGACGAGAAACTTGAGCGGGCGTACAGTACGCGCCAACAGCAGTGCAGGCTCTGGCCTCGACCTGCGAGTGAACCAGAACACGCCCGCCACCGGCAATAGCATCACTGATGAACGCACAAGTGTCGGGGAGCGTAAACAGGAACTCCTCCAGTGCTTCGGGAGAAACATCGATGTGTCGGCACACCAGACCCGTCGTCGGGAAGGAAATGTCCGCCGGCGCTAGCGTCAGCAGATGCGTCACATTCAATTCGTACAGCAGCAGTTCAGCTTGATAGGGCTCGGTAGGCAAGTCACTTGGACTTCCCGTGAGCTCAGGCGAAACAAAGCAAGCGGCAATGCATACCTGTTGAGGAACAGGGCATTCGGCACCATAGTCACAGTGTCCACGATCTGATTGAGGAAGTTCGTAACGTCTTGCTTGTGCTTCCGCTTCCACGATAGATACGCTGGATGTGACGCGCTAGGAGAATATTGACAATCGGCAAAGGTGTCTAGTTGTTTGCGGAAGCCGTAATTAGGTTGCACCTGGGGTCTGCCTGGAAGCCGTCAGATTCAGTGCGGCGGTTGGGTGAGATTACCGACACGTCCTGATGAGCTGCAAGGCATCCAAGGAAGACAGGAGCCTGCTCTTCATTACTAGGAAGCAATAAGGAACGTGAGAACAGTCTCTGGAGCATGACGTACGGTACGCAGTCACTGAAAAGAAGCGTCGCACGTCAGCGACTGCCCGCACACAAGTTGGAGCCAGCACATACCGACAGTCGTGCTACGGGACACCCCCATGACACAGTGCACCAAGACTTTGCCTCCGTCGGCTAGTGCGTCCTCGATGAAGCGACACGTCTCGGGGAAATGTATCAGGAGGTCCTCGTACTCTGAGTCGTTGACGGGTACGGTCATATGGTGTGCGTCGCCCGTCGAGGGGTAGTCGGGGCAGACAGAAAGAACATGCGTGATGCCGAGCTCCTTGCGAAGCTTTGAGGAAGTAGCCGCAGGCAAACTGTACGAATGCATCAACAATGGCCAATGGAAACAAGAACGCCCGTGCGCGCGGTTTGTGTGCAAGTTGCCGCTACGGAGGAAACTCACTTGCCAAGGCACAATTGACCAGATAAGATTTCGTCTACGCTTGGGATGGTATTGGAAGACATGGATGCCGACGCGAGAATTAGACCCAAACAAAGGCAAAAGCAATCTGACGTGAAAGGAAGAGGAAAGTGGAGAATGGGGCGATGGAGTCACGTGCAGTGACGTAATTGCACATGGGATGTCCGCAATCAGATCGGGCCCCGGTCCGTCGGTTCGACGATCTCCGACGGCGAAAAGGATTAGATAATCAGTGTACTGGAATAGCTAGGCTGCTCCCTCCTGACCGATTTGGGAGCGGATGATGGCCACTCACTCAACGAATTCTCAATCGCTTTGGATTGTGCTGTGCTCTACGTGAAAGAATTACCAGTGAAGCTCAAGGCTGGGGCCACTCACTCTGGCGTTTCAAACACTCAGTAAGTTGCTCAAAGCCTCTGGGCCAATGTATTTTCATCTTCAAGGCACGCGCCCCATTCTATTACATGCAACGAGGGAGATTCGTATCTTGGTGCAGCCGGTGCTCGCTCCAGCTATATGCGCACTTACTTGCTGCCCAGCCTCTCCCAGATGCCGACCATCAACTGTCTGAAGTGTCCAAGCGTGTTGTCTAGCGCCGCACCACCCTGAACTTGAATGCCGACGCCTCTTCCTCAAGCACAGTTCCACACAAAGTCTATTTTCGTCTCCCCCGTCTTTGATAGCCGGGTCTTTTTTCGGACTCGATGACATTTTTCGGACCTCCGCTGTGCCCGCCTCATTTATGTGCCGCTATCACCTCGCGCAGGGCCGTCCTGACTCGACAGGATTTAGACATCCTCCGCAACTCCCATGTCTAACCCCCTGCCCACCTCTGCCACCACCTCTTCGACAAGCACCGCCGCGAATGCAAGCGGCGCGCTGCACCCCGTCGAGTCGCACGTCTCGCATGACATCACGATACACGACGCACCTGTGAGCCCGGACACGAAAGGCATTGACGACTCCGTCTACGACAAGATTCCGCCGCACCGCAAGGCCATCATCACCGCCGTGCTTGCGCTTTGCGGCTTCCTCGCTCCCATTTCGTCGACGACGGTGCTGGCTGCGATCCCAGAAGTCGCCGGGACATATCACACGACCGGGTTGGTCTAAGAGAGCTCTGATCGAAAGCTGTGCTGATGACATCAGAACGATCATCAACCTATCAAATGCGGTGTACCTCATCTTCATGGGCATTTCGCCGTGTTTCTGGGCGCCGCTGAGCCAGGTGAGTCGACATGTCAATCTATTCGACCGTGATAGAACTTGATCTAGGTGTATGGAAGACGATGGGTTCGTTGAAGCAGTTCCAGAGCGACTAGATCCCTGAACTATCTGCAGATCTGTCTTTCCAGTGCGATTCTCTTCTTTGGCTGCTCACTAGGAACGGCGCTCAGCCCCAATCTCGTCGCGTTCTACATCTTCCGTGCCTTGACGGCCTTTCAAGGAACCTCATTTCTGATTGTGGGGTCCAGCTGCATAGGAGACATCTATCGGCCGGTGAGTTCAGAATTTACATCCCAGCTTATCTCGATCTGAGGGCGACGGAAGACTGAACGGGCCACCGCTCTCGGATGGTTCCTTTCAGGGACCCTCATTGGACCGGCTATTGGGTATGCTCCCTCTCTTCAAGCTGTTGATCCCTCTCATTTATTTGCCCGGCAGACCTTTCATTGCGGGTGTGATCGTGACATACCGCAGCTGGCGCGTCATATTTTACCTCCAGACCGCGCTTGGCGGTCTAGCCACAATACTTGTTTTGTTCTTCCTCCCAGAGACCATACACTCTAAGCGCTCTACGGAGCTCCGCGGATTGACGGGAACTGAACAGGCGAAAAAGCTGCTCGAATGGACCAATCCGATGAGAGTTGTCAAGCTGTACAAATATCCGAACTTGGTCCGTGATTCCAGTGTTTTGCTGCACTCTATTGGCTAAATAAAAATCTGGAGATCATCGCTGTAAGATTCTACGCTTTGATTTCTCCCACGAGCTTAGAGCTTCGATATCAGGCTGCTGGCGCCTCATCACTCGTGTGGAATATGTACTCTCTTCTGACCCCAATTCGATATGTGATCAACCCGCGGTTCCATTTGACGACGCCAATTCAATCGGGGCTCTTTTATCTCGCACCCGGTGTTGGATATATCACAGGCACGTTCATGGGCGGTCGATGGGCTGATTCCACTGTCAGAAAGTGGATCGAGATTCGGGGAAGACGCGTCCCCGAAGACCGTCTTCGCAGCTGCGTTCCATTCATGGGCGCGGTGATCCCCGGGTGCATGCTCATCTACGGCTGGAGCATCGAGCGCGACGTTGGCGGCATCCCGCTGCCGGTGATCGTCATGCACGTTCTCTCTTGCACCGGGATGCCCGAATTTGACGTGATTCTAGGTTCATCCAGGGCTGCGCGCAGCTGTTTTGTTTTCCCAGTCTGAACACATATTGCTTAGGTCAGCTCGCCCGCTGTATTCTCTCGGTTCCAGAAATGGTGATACAGATTCTGGATAGATGTGATGCAAAATCGGTCCGCGGAAGTCGTTGGTACGTGTGCAGCCTCGACAGCTCCGTCCTTTCTCGCTCAGCTGTGCATTCCCAGCGGGAAATTACATGACTCGCTACGTCTTCGCTGCGGCTGGTTCCGCCGTGGTTCTCCCTGCAGTGGAGAAAATTGGGGTCGGCTGGTTCTCGACCATCAGTGCCGTTTTCCTTGTTGTGACGACCGTCGCCGTCTATTTCACTGCCGTCTACGGAGAGTCTTGGCGAAATAGAATTGATGGTGTCAGCGCGCCCGGGGCTGCGGTTGAAAAAGATAGGAAAAGGAGTCCGACGATGGGCGACATCAAGTCGGAGGTGCGAGTCTAGCCACCGGTCTTGCTCACACAATCCTAGATAGGCTCGATTAGATTGACTCAGCAACCAGTCTGTTTGTTCTGGTGCCCAAGTGGCGCGACATGTACCCTGTGTCACCTCACATTCTTCTGATTGCAGCCGTCCACCGATTCCTGGCCAGAAATCACTCCATCTCAGCATCTCGGGTCTCCAGACCACTGAGCGTAGGTCGGACGTGACCTCGAGCACAGGTGGGTCGCGACGTCGCGCGCGTCAGCGCAAGCTTGCATCAGCGGGATCGACCCGGCGGCAAGGCCGGGGATGACGCCATCCCTCTTACTTGCCTCGTTTCTTCTCGACACCGGCGCCCAGCCTCCAACGTTCCTACCGCTCCAAGCGGAAGCAAGCGACAGTCGCACGGCATCTCCCGCAGCTGTCAATCGACAATCAACCCTTGTTATCTCTCATCTCCATGCGGAAATGAAAACAGGATGGCACATGTCAGCCACATGTCGTTTCCGAGACTCCGTCTGCCAAGCTCTCGGCGCTCCATCGGCGTCACTCCCGTGGGCCTGCTCATCACTATTCTGCAGATTCCCGGTCCGACGTTGATGCGCCGCCCCGAAACGAGTTTCCCAGTTCCCACTCGCACAGCTGGAGGGCTGGCACGAGGCAGCGTTCGCGCGTGGGTTGGCTGGAAAAGCCCGCTCGAAAAGCGCTTGGCTTGGCTGGGCTGTGATTCCCACACGCCGGGTGACTGCGATCTCATTGACGAGTCGAGCCTTCCGTTATCATCTGCTTCTTCCATCTTCCTCTGCATCATTTTCTCTCTGGACCCGTAGGACGGCTTCGGTGGAACGAGGGGCGAGTCGCTATCTGCGATAATGAGCTTTCCGCGGGCGCGATTGGCTCATCTTGCCGGATGCGATCTGGCCACACATGGCCTGCACGACACGCCCTCTGGTATCGGCGCCTTGCAGAGAGTGCTCAACTTACCCAGCGGGCCCCACATACAGTATGCGCGGGAGTTTTTTTCGCATCACATTCGATCGACGACGTCCGAGGCAACGGATTATGAAGTCCTTACACTTTTACGGCATCGCTCTGAATCACTGGATAACACCGTGACCGGCTGGGAGTCGAGATGGTGCGTATGTAAGTGCACTGCCTCCCTGCTGTCCTTGGCGCAGAGAAGCTGATCGCTTGTCGAGACTTCGTTGGTTGCAGTCGACTGCAAGGAGCATCACTTCTTTTGTCCGGCGGCAATGGGTCCCCTTGGGTCCCTCGCGAGTGACACATCTCTGCCCAGCCAGCCACGAACATCTCGACAATCGACACGCTGCCGATTTCTTGACGACATCGGATATCGATGGGTGTGTCGAGACGCCGGCAGTGGGAAAGGAAAGAAGAATTGTCGTCAAGGGTGGTGCTTTCCGGGAAGCCACCACGCACGGGCCTGCGCTGGGCTGTGCACCAAGCCAAGCCAAAATGTGCTTGTGTCAAGCAAGCTCGGCGGACGTGAGTGAGCGAGCGAGTGGTGCGAGAGGGTGGGAGCGGTCTTCTTCTCATCCGGCTTTGGCTAGGCGATATGCACGCCATGCATTGTGCACGTCTCGGAATCGCATCGGATGAGCGAGACCTGAGCCAGATTCTCTTCTCGGACATCCGGAATCTGTGAAATCTCGTGCTCAGCAGCACCACAACCGACTGGGCAGTCCGTCAGTCAGTCTCCATGAATCTATCAGACGCTGTGCTTCTCCCTCTCGCCACCCTCTTCCGTTATCGATACGATGGAGACCCGTCACTTCTCTTGGTTTCACGTGTGTCTGTCAAACCGTATGTCTCTTTGGTGCCTTCCTATATTCTTGAATTCTCGCAGCGTGGTGTCCTTGACAGCCTGAGACCGACTCGGTCTGCGCAAGCGCGTCTGCTAGTAGCGCGCGCAGTCGAGACATGGCGAGCCTGACTCTCGTCGCGCGGACGCTGCCACCTTGCCAACGGGTTTCAGGACAACTACGGCGGTCTTTAGCCTTGACAGAGTGGGAATCAACGGCTTACGATAAGGTGAACAAAGTGACTCGCCTTAGCTTCCTCGGAGTTGATCGCCTTGGCAAAACAGATCTGCCGGCTCCCGGAGTAATTATCTTACTTAAATGAGGTGGGTTGAACTCGATTTCTGCAGATTCATCCTCTCCGCAACTCACCTAAAATGGCCGGATCCTCACCTGCATCCGAGTCGAGCCGCGAAAAGCATGACGGCGCTGTGTCGGCTCCCGTCGCACCGCCGGTGGCTGCGCACAAGAAAGTCCACGACGACTCCATCTACGACAAAGTGCCTGCCCATCGCAAGGCCATGATCACTGCCGTGTTGGCGTTGTGTGGTTTCCTGGCCCCATCTTCTTCTACGAATGTTCTTGCTGCGGTTCCCGAGGTGGCAGCGACGTTTAATACGACCGGGTGGGTCTTTGGTTTTCTTTCACCACCCCCAAGCTCCTGCTGATCGACTGCTCGAAGAACAATCATCAACCTTTCTAATGCCGTTTATCTCATCTTCATGGCATTCTCCCCCTGTTTCTGGGCACCCATGAGCCAGGTAGATTTTCACCGTGTAATCTGTCACCCTAGCTCACCCTGTTTCTCTCTAGGTCTACGGTAGACGATGGGTTAGTCTATTTTCATGCTGACTCTCTGCAATCGCGCTGACTTTTCTCGTGTAGATCTGCGTCTGCAGTGCCCTCATGTTCTTCGCGTTCTCTTTGGCCACGGCTTTCAGCCCGGACCTCGTCTCGTTCTTCATCTTCCGAGCGCTGACTGCCTTCCCGGGCATGTCGTTCTTGACTGTCGGATCCAGCTGCATCGGGGACATCTACAGGCCGGTATGTTCATTTTATCGCATCGGCTGAGCAATTTCTGACAGCGCTTCCAGACGGAGCGAGCGACTGCTTTGTCATGGTTCCTCTCCGGTACGCTGATTGGACCCGCAATTGGGTGCGTTGCCATGTTTATCGTGCGGACATTATCCTCACCCCGGGCAGACCTTTCATTGCCGGTGTCATCGTCACATACCGGAGCTGGCGTGTGATTTTCTACCTGCAGGCCGCCCTCAGCGGTCTCGCGACGGTCCTCGTTTTCTTCATCGTACCGGAGACCATCCACTACAAGCGCTCGGTGGAGCTCGAGGGCATGAGCAAGGTCAAGAAAACCAAGAAGATCCTCGAATGGTCGAACCCGTTCCGGGTGTTCAAGCTTTACAAGTACCCCAACTTGGTGCGCGTTTTGCTCCTTTTCGGAGGCGCAGACTTCTGACCCATTGCAGACCACGACTGTAGGGCTCTGCTATCGATGGCGCATGGTTGATGCTGATCTTTGCCCCTCTAGTCGCTTGCTGCCGGCGCCCTTATCTGGAACATGTACACGCTTCTCACGCCCATCCGCTACGTCATCAACCCCCGTTTCAACCTGACGTCGCCAATGGACTCGGGCCTGTTCTACCTCGCCCCGGGTGTCGGGTACATCACCGGCACCTTCGTCGGCGGGCGATGGGCAGACCGCACCGTCAAGAAGTGGATCGTCATCCGCGGAGGCAAGCGGATCCCGGAAGACCGTCTGCGCAGTGGACTGCCGTTCATGGCCCTCGTCATCCCCGGCTGCATGCTCATCTACGGCTGGAGTCTGGAGAAGGAAGTCGGCGGTATTGCGCTCCCGGTCATTGTCATGTGCGTCGCGGCCGCTTCTTCTCGAGCGTCCGGTTGCTGAACTGGGGTATAGGTTCATCCAGGGTGTTTCTCAGCTGTTCTGCTTCCCGAGTTTGAACACCTACTGCCTGGGTGCGTCGTCTCTGGCATGCCTCCCATGTTCCCTACTCACATGTGTTTCTTTCTCCCAGACGTCATGCAAAGCCGTTCCGCTGAGGTTGTCGGTACGTTATTGACCCCCGCCACCGCCCGCACAGACCACTCATCGCGCGCACAGCCGGCAACTACATCACGCGATACACCTTCGCCGCCATCAGTTCCGCGGTGGTGCTGCCCGCCGTCAAGCACATCGGTGTCGGCTGGGTGTCGACCATCAGCGCGCTATTCGTCTTCGTCGCCGCGATCGCGATCCACTTCACGACCCTGTACGGCGAGGCCTGGCGCAACTGGATCGAGGGCGTCCCCAAGGCCGCCCCCGAGACCGAGACGTCTGGCGTCGACTCGAAGACGGACACCGTCGAGGAGAGCCAGCCGCCTGTCCTGGAGAAGGAGTCGGTCTGAGAGCATCATCATCATCATCATCATCATTATGAGCGCGCTAGAGAGGGGGAGGCGGTTGTATGTTGCCGATTGTATTCACGAAATTCATAGACTTGTTACGCACACACACACTCACATAGAGCATTTTTCATCCTGATCTTCCGAGTGGGTGTGGCTGGTGGCTGTATAAGGCAAGTCTGTTCGGGCATGGGACTGTTTACATTGATGCCTGGGTCACAAGGCCGTGCACCGCGACGTGGCCTTGTCAATATCATATCTCCCACGTGTGTCCTGCAGATCATGTGTCTGCCATTTGACAGAAAGCTGTGTCTGTGTGTACCGTCCTCGATGGAGTACCATCTCGATCTTCCGATTTCCATTATGCGTAGATGGAATTCAGGATGAGGAGAATTGCATCACACTGGTAAACAACGATCTAGGAATCGACAGAGTTTGTCCCGCAAAGAGAATATCACAATAGGATAGTATTCCATATAACCCAGTAGACCTTCACACGTCAGAACCGCGAGCGGTTTCACTGATGCACACCCTAGATCTAAGGCGAATGATTCTTCGTCCGGATCTTCTTCCGAGTCAAACCCCAAGTCCACTGTGTATCTGAGGGGTGTGCGTGCTAATTCCAGTGTATTTGGGCCCATGGATGCGAGGCATAGATCAATTCGCTCGTTAAGAGATGTTCTTGACTGAAGGGAAGGGCATCACTGAACGAGCACTCCAAGTGATTGGTTGCGGTGCTCACTGCTCAGAGACTAAATCACATGCGACTTTGTGAGACTTTCTGTAAAAACTCAGGTTCAAGAAAAAAAAACCTCATTGACGAAAGAATTCGGGTATATCTTTACAAGCATGTTGTACAGTTGAACACAGTCACGTGACTTTCTTTCATGTTCACATCTGACTGCTCAGCGCTGTGGCTTGACCTACCGTTCATTTCGCTGTACCCATGTGTGCTGCTTGAATCATCCACCTGTCCCATCCTGTTCGGCCTCCGATCTTCGGTCCCTCAACAACGCGGAATGTAGCCCCATCGATCTCGCTAAGAATAGCAGCAGTCAAGATTGCAGAAGCCATAGGCGCCCATTTCGCCCCGACACATTTCATTGGCCTGCAACCAAATGACAAAAGCTCTTGGGCCCGTTCTGGATGATGCAAGAAACGCGAGGGGTCGAAGGAATCAGGGTTATCCGGAAACAATTCCGCCGAACGATGGGCGCGTTCGATATCGGCGACCGCCCGCGCGGAGGATGCAAGAAGACACTTCAACCGCGCAGGTAAGAAGAGGCCCAAAGACGAGGGGCATGGCACGACGCGCGTGATGCGCCGCACCGGAGGGTACAGCCTGAGCACCTCGGTGGAGTAGTTCTCCACACTTGGAGCCATCCCTCCGCACCACGGCGCGCAGAACTGCGCGCGAGTCGGGTGCTCGAGCAGATCCGCGAACGCCTTGCGGGCGGCGTCGTCCGAATGGACCAGCGCGAGCGTCACTGCGACCAGACGCCCCAGAGTCTCCCAGGTCGGAATCACCAGATCCAGAGGGTTCGGGAATGCCGCCGAATCGGGGAGCAGGCGCCGCACACTGCACTGTAGCGTATGCAGCAGGGCGGGCGGGATCTTGCGCTCATCTTTGGAAAGAACCCAGAGATCGTTGATCAGCGCTGCCGTGGTATCGAGATCAGTGCAGTCCAGAGCGTCGACGTCTGTGTCTGGCGCGAGCAGCCCAGCGATGACGGCGCGGAGTGTGACGACACGCACGAAGCGGTCGAATGCAACAGCCTCATCACCAATCCGAAAATCAGACAGCCCTAGGCGTACGGCATCGAGCGAGATCTCCGCGAACCTGTTCCAGTCGAAATCCCGCAAGAGACCCCCCGTTCGGTGGACGAATTCAGAGTACGTCGAGAGATCTTCGCTGACAAACGCATTCGTCAACCCGAAGGCGTGCACCAAGCGCTCGTTGGCGATGGCTCGAGCGCGGAGAATGTCTTGTTTCGACACACCGGGAGGATCAAGGACAGCCCGGATCCCCGTAAGAGAGCCATGGACGACATTGGCTCGATTCCTGTGGCGCGCAAGAGACGCCAGCGCCGTGCACAGCGAGACAATTGTGCATACTGCGAGTGAATGGAGGATGATCGGCATTTTGGTGGTAAGACGCAGTCCAGCGACAACGACTGCACTTATATTGGATTACGCACCACAGAAGCTAGTCCACGCCCAACTTAATCCACGTCGCGAGGCGCTCAAAGGCTCCAACAACGTCCAAGAATTTCCCTTTCCCCAAAACTGTTCCCATGTCCGTCTCGAAAAGCTTGTTGGATGCAGACACACCGCGAGCCCCCAGCGGGATAGCGCTTCTCGACTTGCATATTTGGAAACTTGGAGCAGACGGCCCTGGCGACAGCTTTCTAGGACAGCCGCCACCGACTCGTCCGTAGGTAATAAATGCACGGCCTGGGAAGAGGACAACAGCTCTGCACTGGAAACGACACTCACGCGATTCCGATTCCATACAAGATCCAGCCGCATTACGATTTGCCCGTCCAGCATACTGCGCGCGTGCACACATCCAGATGCAGACGACTCCTCGGCGGCTGTACGACTGACTGCGGCACAGCAGAGACGCGCTACGTGCCAGATTCGAGGTCGCATTCTGCTCAGCCGTCCGGTGAATCGCGACATGAGGAACACAGCACTGGCTCAGACTACCGCTTCTCAGGGCAACGATGCGTTCCCGGCTGCTGCTATACATAGCCATAGCCAGCACGCAAGGTCGCCGTGTGTCGTGGTAAGAGCGGAGAAAGACAAGCGCCCGGAGGGCTTCGATTGACAGCCCGTGTTTGCTGAGGCGTAAAGCGCTTAACATGGTTGCCGCGCTCAGGTCTGCTGACTCGGCCGCTTTGACCTCAATCTTAACGCCGTTGAGCGCCGAGCCAAAGATCTAGGAAAGATTGAGATCAACACAGATGAAAAGAATATGTATCTGATCCGTGAGGAGATCGGATTAGATGGAATGGCCAAAGATCAGGAAAGCAGAGAACTGATCACGGTCATCCGACCAGTGACAGTCACATCATCACGTGAATAATGTCACAAACTCTCCGACTTGTGGACCGAGATGTACTGTAACTTAGCACCGATCAAGAACAAGCAGAGGTGAGGCGTTGTGATTGCTACGTAGGGATAGTAGTAGTAGTAGTGTGTCATGCAAGCAGGATTACGAGCAGTGGTACCATAGGGATCCAGGATATATATGGATACATAGGAATGCGCATATAGCGGTCTGTCTATTCATGTATTACGGTGGTTGGAGCGGGCCGTTTGCGTGTCTCGGGACGGTGTTTCTTCTCAGTCACCTCTTTCTTTCCCTTGCCGTGCTTATGCTGATCGTGCTTCTGGTCCTCGCCCTTCTTCGGCTTGCCGTGGTGCGCGGACGGTGCTGCGCCGGCAGCGGGGATCGAAGGTGGCGGCGCGACGGGTGGGCCGGAAACGGGTGGAGGCGATGGTAGTGCCATGGCGGTACTTGCTGGCGGCGCGAGCTCTTGATGCGAAAGCAGGTTGGAGTTGATGCGACGCGTCTCTTCGACATCCCGCCTGGCCACCCTGGTACCCGCTTCGGCAATCTCGCTCACAATCGCGCTCTCCTTGATGTGACGGACGGAGACTTGGAAACGCGTCGCGCGGTCAAGCAGTGATGCCCTGGGCCGGATTGACGCGACTGGGTCTTCGGCGGGTTCGAGAACGCGAAGAGGAGGACTTTGAGATGGGTCTGTACGAGTGTATGCGTGCCCGAGGAGACTGGACGGGGCGCTCGCAGCTTGCATGGCGGAACCGGGAGGGCGAGACGGCAGTGCGGCCACAAGCGAGGAACGCGTAGCACATATTGCGATCACCACGAGCAGGAAGATGTGGGACGAGAGAAAAGCAATTTGCATGGCGGCAGCGATAGTATGGAGGGGGAAAGGACGAGGGCACCATCATATTGCAAAGCGTCCCATAACAGGTGCAAATAGTGGATTAGACGGCTTGCTACATTACTTTTTGGGTCGCTGGACGCTCAGGCGTGTGCAGCTTTACTCTCTGTGGCAGCAAAATGGTGAGCATGATCCACGGGATCCTCTCCACGCTTGTTCCGTCGGGGCTTGAAGCCGATCGCAGGCCTTGTGATCGGCAGGAGCTTCACGTCGTGTTTCGCTGTGGATCTCTCCAGAGCCCAATGAAGTACGGTCTCGACACGAGTCTTGATTTCGGTTGCCGCGGCTGCAGAGGGGAAGGCGACTTCGTTTCGATAGGTCAACCACATGTAGAGGACCAAGAACTTGTGGCAGAGTTCTAGGGTTCCCAGCTGTGTTTGTGCGTTGAATTGAACTTTCGGTGCCCCGGGAATCGCGTCTTGGCGCATAAGCTCTTCGACTTCCTCGAGCCGCTCCATAAATCCCAGATGAAGCATGAGCTCCTCAATCTCCACGCTGTGCTTGCGACGGTAGAGCATCAACAGCCGCGACATAGCCGCTAGAGCGTTCAGGTCTCGCCAGGGGAAGGGGCCTTGAGCGAATGTTAACACTTCCTTGTGCGATAGGGCGGAGCCTGAGAGCAGCTCAGAGGAGAGTTTGATGTCAGCCTTCAAGCTGGGTCGCATAAAGACGGGCAGAGATCCAGCGTGGACGAGTGCGGTTATCATCACCTCGATGCTGACATCTGGTGGCATATGCTCCATGAGTTCCATGTACTGTCCGGTCTGTGGGTCAACGCGGACATGGGTCAGCGGCGGAATCACGACCGGCAGTGTACGGCGGAGAATGGGCAGGTCTTCTTCCTTCAGGGTAGTCACCAACCCTCGCGGTACCTCGTCGATGTTGTGCATGCCGAAGCGACCTGCTCGCCCTGCGATTTGCTTCATCTGAGAGTCCGACAACTGCCGCATGCCATTCAATCCTTCAAACTTGTGGACAGTCTCGAAGATGACTCGGCGGATCTTCCTACGAACAAATCAGTCATCAGATCAACGTTGGTACGTTGCGGGACCTACAGATTAAGACCCATTCCTATCGCATCGCTGCCAATGAGGACATCGTAACCGCTGTCTGGGTCGTTGAACAAGGCGGCTTGCTGGGCACGAATCTCCGGCGGCAGTTTGCCATAGATGACAACGCATTTGAGATTAGTCTCTTTCTCCACTCTCCGTTTGATCGCAAAGATGCTCGAACGGCTGAAACAAACGATGCAATCGCCCTTGGTGACTTTGGACAACTGCTTATCAAGACTGTGATCCTCCGCGATCAGAGGCGTCAGTCGCTGATAATGCTTGACCTCCAGTTCGTCTCCCGTCATTTCAACAAGTTTTCGGATAACGGGTATCGCTGTCTCCTCTCCGCACAGATAAATCTCCTTAGCGCAAAGACCCAGCACCGCATGCGTCCAGGCAGATCCTCGCTCCCGGTCGGCGATCATCTGAATCTCATCGATGACGGCGACGTCGTACCGCGCATTGACGTACAGCATCTCCACCGTGCTGCTGGAGATACCAGCAAGATCGCTGGTGATCTTATGCTCTTCTCCCGTGATCATATTGCACCGCCGCGCGAAGGGGTTATCCACACTCGGGCCAAACGCAGCAGCCTCGGCAATTTGTTCCGCAGTTGCACCAAGCGGAACGATCTGCCCCAGGTTCATCCGTTCCCAGATTTCAAAAGCCAAAAGTCGGAGGGGCCCAGCATAGACACCAAGCTTTGCACTCGCCAGTGCCCGCAGGGCGTGATGCGTTTTGCCGCTGTTCGTCGGTCCCACATGCATGATGAACTTGCGTCGCATTCTCCGTGCGAGGGTGTATCCCTCTGCGGGGTGCATGTTCGATGCCACTCGGTGTATCCGCTTCAAAGTCTCCATCGTTGTCGGACTGACGTTGGGAACAACATCACAGGTCTCGAGCCACGCGAAGAAGACGCGGGAGAACGCAATATCGACGTCCAGCGAGTCGGTCCCGCGGATGTGTGCGAGGCCGTACTGGTCGAATGCATCGTCAGAGCTGAACACCCCCCGCGCGGCGGCCTTGCTGAACGCTTGCAACAAACTCTTCACATCTCCCTTCTCCCCTCCAAAGTCCACCAATCGCTTTTGCACCGAGAGGTGTCTGCACCAGGTGTCTACATTGGCCGTGAAGTATGCGAGCACAGTGCTCTGAGAGGCGTTGCCGTCCTTCACCCCTTCGAGACCGTGAGTGTCAGAGATTTCCCCATTCCTCGGTGGTCGCGCTCGCCGATCCTTCCCATGTGACCAAGTTCTTTCAGAAGCGGGGAAATGAGGTCGCTTTCCATACGAAGGTTCCGGCCGGTAGTCGGACGAGGCAGGAAAATGAGACTGGTGGTATGTATTTTTGGGGCGCGGTTTAGGTTTATGAGTGTCCGAACGAAGCCGCACACCCAGTCGCTGCAAGGGAGAAAAAGGCGCACGGCATGCTGGTCGTAATAAGGTGAACATGCAATGTCAAATGGCTGGCATGACCGCGCCGGTGACAAAAAGTACCATCAGTTGGTGATGTTTGTTCATGATCTGGCGACCTGGACTAGAAATACATTCCACAAAAGTACAGCCTGCACTTGGCGTACAACAATAAATCGACTGGGCATAGAACTGAAGCATCCGTAGGATTCATGTTTTCACCTCCTCCCAATCGTCGTCGTCGTCTTCACCCTCCACGAGACTTTGGACGGTTGTTGTACAATCCAGAGTGGTCGGAGGAAGTTCTACTTTCATGCCGTTGAGGACACCCAGTGCTTGCAAAGTCCTGCAGAACAGCTGGTCAAAGCCATCCTGGACATCAGGATCCTCGAGGACATTCGACTTCCCGCCGTCCATGTCTGGTTCTTCGTCATCGGCATCATTGAGATCTTCAGCCTCGTCTCGGCCGAATCGGTAAAAGTCCCCACCGACCCACTCCTCCAGAGTCGCCACAGCAGCGATGAGGAGGCTGTTCAAGCGCGTTAGTTCTGTCTGGTCCACCGGCGACGACCTAAGTCCATTCAATACAGCTTCGGCGTCGATGATGAGATCCTCAGCCCCTCCCTCGGGTGTCCAGATCTGCCCCTGCAACAAGATGAGCCAAGCTTGGTCGAGATCATCCAGGGCGTCGAGCAGAGCGGGCATTTCTTCCACCAGAGGTTCGTATTTTGTAATAGCCAGTAGGAGGTCGTGAGTATATCGAAGGAGATATTGAGCGCGCAGGGAGGTAGACGGATCGACGGGTGGGATTTGCAGAATCATGGACAGGATAGGCTGAGCGGCTTCCAGGTACAGAGTCAAAGTCTGCAGTTTGCTTCTCGCAAGAGTACTGGCGATTCAAGTCAGGTCAGGCGCGGGGGAAGTATGGTGTTGGACCGAAAGGACGAACCGAGTCTTGCTGTGCCGAGTGAGATCGAGTAGTTTCTCGTCCAGATATGCAATCAGCCTCCGCTCTTGCTGAGGACCTAGAGAACGGTTCGGGGCGAATGCCATTCTTCCCAATAGTTGGCTGCGAGCGATATGTAGTGTTGAAGGTGGTGTTCGAAGAGGGTAATCATGAGGGCATTCGCGGGAAATGTCACGGGCTCTCTATGTTGCTCACGTGATAGCACGAGGCTTGGTCAGACTCTTTACCCACAGCACCAGCCTATACCCGAGTCGATCTCAATCTAATTGAACACTGCACTTTCGAACAAAAAAAAGATCGCTCTGAGACTCTGAATCCTATGTAGGATACGGCCAACCTAAACTACGATATGGCCATGAAATGGCGGTGTGAAATATGCTCGATATTCGCACTTTTTCCAGCGTGAGACGGAAACGGCCAAGAAGCGAGGCCTTCCCCTCCACGACCTGATATCTTTACTATAGTCTGCTTCATTTTTCACGTCCTATGGCTCAAGTCAGTGCTATTCAAGTTCGATTCTCAAGATCTGAACAAGTAATAATGATCGCAAGAGAAATCGAGCAGTTGATCCAGAAAACTCATGATTTCTGTCTCATTCTAACTCACATTTTCTTTCAAAACTTGGGGAAGCCAGTCTTTTCCGTGCAGTAGGCGTCATGCATCAAGAGCAAGCTTGGCTCTGCTGTTAAACTCATATTGTGTGGCATCCACAGTGGTTTCTTTTGTCTGAACTTACATTTGAGGATCTGTAATTCAGGATCAGATCATTTCGGATATTGTCCCTATACTTGAGGGAACAAGATGCATAGTAGTGAAAATAAGTCATTAGCACAGTCCTGAAGGTTAGACCGAGCGACACAGTCGCATTTCATCAGTGAATTAGAGAGCTTGATAAATTATCCCATCGGCTAATGCAGCGCTGCCTTTTGGTTCACTGGTCTTTTAGTGACCACGCGTCAGAGGATGAGGCTCGCAAGATCAAATCTCGTGACCGCGACTATCGATTGATGGGCTGGCAGACACGTGAAATTTCGCGATTTGACCTCCGTCGTCTCCGGCGCTATGGACGCCGCTGCTCCCGTAGCAGATCGTTGTCGCTCTGCTTCCACCACTATCAATGGCACCCTTCTCAATTGCCTCACGTGTCACTCCAGCGGCTAAAGAGGGTCAGGCGTCCTCGACATATTCCACGGTCGCAGATGATGACTGGACCGTCGTCGCGTGAGTATATGCTGTCAACATGTATCCCACATAACTCTCACACATACCTACTCGGAATGTAGAGTGCCAAACGGAGGCACGTTCTCTTTGCGCTGGCTTTGTCAAGTCACTAATGCTGAGGCCCAGGATACGTCCTCACGCTCGTTCTCGAAGCGTCCATCAAGCACCAAAGCGGTACCGACCAACCGGACCCTCTGCATATCTCCGCGCACTTCCTGCAGCCCACGAAGATAAAGACGCCGACCGAAATCCAAGTGAGGGTCCTCAAGGCGGGGCGGAACTATGTGAATATCTTGGCAGACCTCGTGCAAGCAGTAAGCAGAGCTTTTTCCGTGCTTCGAGCTCTCATCAAGCCCTCTCTTCGCCAGGGCCGCGCATGCGTAACGACTCATATCATCTTCGGCAAGGTCCCCATCCGCTCGCACCCAATCATCGCACCCTCAACAGGCTATGCGCGCCGCCTGCCCCTGCTTCTCGACCACCCTTCGCTGCTCAAGCCGACACATATGCCCTCCGCCTACATATTTTCGAAGCACTTACAATGGTCCGAGGACTCAGTATTGAAGAAACAGAACGAGGCGAATCATGCGCGGACACCGGGCGGCGGGGTCGCGCTTTGGGGCGCCTGGATCGAGCTGAAAGGAGAGAGCGAGCGGGTGACACCGTCCTCGCTGGCCTTCTTCGCAGATTGCATACACAACATGGCGACGCTGTACCCGTCGCATGTCACGGGTATCGACCTGTCCAAAGGACTGTGAGTGGCGAGCGGCGCGCACACGTCAATCTCACTGATTTCCCTGCCTCAGCTGGTCACCTACGTTGACAATGAGCTTGGAATACAAAACGCCCATTCCCTCTCCCTCGGATGGATACGCCTCACGGACCGTCGGGGTCTATGTCAAGAGCGGATACCTTGCCGATCCGCAAAACAGACACAACAGCATCGTGGAAATCTGGTCCGCGCCATCTAACATCGGAGAGGGGAATGTAGATGAAGACTGGCAAGGCGCACAAGTGTGTCTGGCCACTGGGTCGCAGATGCAGCTGATGGTCGACGGTGCTGTCAACAAGAAAGCTGGAAGAGCGAACTTGTGATTACTTTATTGAGCAGTCATTCGGATACATGGTCTGCATCTAATTCGGCTAATCTGATCTAATCTTCGCATGCTGTTGACCCTTGTACTGTAAGTCCAACATTTCCTTTGTTGAGTCGATCGTCGAGAATCAAGTTTGGTTCACCGTCTTTCCAACAGTCGAGAACCGAAACCGACGAATCATCGACGTTCTTCGATGCCGTTCCAACACACGACTGCTTGCAGGCTCGAGCGGTCTTCGCCGGCGAGATCATGCGGCTTGGTAATCATGCCACAAGTCCACATCATGCAATGCATGTCGATAAGTGATCCAAAAATAGCACTCACATAGAGCCGCGGCCCGATGCGCACCAGGCGAGAAGCCGCTCGGCGTCGGCCTACAGCCACTTCGTACATATCTGCACCAAGCGGCACCCGTCGTTACTGATACTGGGGAAGAAGATCTCTCACGGCTTCCTCGCCCCCCTGACGACGCAGCGACAGCGACTCGGAGCGTCGCAGAATCCTTGCTGTGCGAGCTTTTTGAGCACTTCGAGACCAGCGCATGCATATGCGCATCCGGGACTTGCTTCTTGCGCTCCACATGCCCAAACGCAGCATGTGTAATTGTCTCAAGATATGTCCGCCTATAAGAATACGATGCAAGAGCACAGGACGGCAAGCTTCGCAAGACGCTCGCCCCTGGAAATGCTCGCTCTCGCGTTCCTCACTGTCGCACTGACCTTGGTGTCTGCAACACCGCTGTTGGACAACTACGTCGTGCATGAGAGCAGAGATGCGGCTCCGCAAGGTCTCGTGGTTTCCAGCGTCGCGCCTGGGGAGACGAACCTCGAGCTCAGAATCAACTTGGCCCAGAACAACATCGTGGGATTGGAGTCTCGTCTGCTGGCGGCTGCCACCCCGGGGAGTGATACCTACGGACAGTGGCTCTCTGCAGACGAGGTGAGAGCGGTTCTCGTGCTCTTTCGATGCATGAACTGACACTTCGAAGGTAAACACATTCTCCACACCATCTGCAGAGACGTCTGCGGCGGTTTCTGCGTGGCTTTCCTCGCACGGTGTCCAGTCCACCAAGTTCTCGCCTTCCGGCGACTGGATCTCTGTCAACGTCCCTGTTTCCAAGGCGAATGAGCTGCTGGGCGCCGACTACCATGTCTTTACCCACACTGCCAGCGGCAAGACATCGATCCGCACGCTCTCGTACTCGCTCCCTGCCTCGCTGAAGGGCCACATCAATGTCGTGACGCCGACCACGAGCTTCAGCCGTCCCCGCCAGGCGCTGTCCGTCACAGCCATCAAGAGCGAGCCGCAGGAACGGGCCAATGTTTCCTCCGACGCTGTGCCTTCCTCCTGCAAAAAGACGATGACCCCAACCTGCTTGCAGGCGATGTACAATATCCCCACGACCCCTGCGACGAGCAAGTCCGGGTCGATTGGCGTGGCCGGGTTTGACGATCAGTGGGCTAGCAAGGCGGATTTGACGCAGTTCCTCAAGGCCCAGCGCAAGGACATGAGCTCCGCTACATCGTTCGGATTGACTTCGGTGGACGGCGGCGTCAATGACCAAACTCAGGGCGATGCGGGTGACGAGGCCGGTAAGTCAGCTCTTCGGCGCACCTGTCTCCTTTACGAGTTTCTGCAGACTTGGACATCCAGTATACTGTTGGACTGGCCACCGGCGTTCCCGTCACCTTTGTCTCGGTCGGTGGGAACAACAAGGACGGCGCTGACGGAGGGTACCTCGATATCATCACGTCTCTCCTTGCCGAATCGGCGCCGCCTCAAGTGCTGACGACAAGCTACGGCTTCAATACCGAAGGAGACCTGTCCAAGTCGCACACGGTGTAAGTCATGCACATCCGTCTTGCTGTGCCGTCTCACGCTCTGACTCCGTTCTCCTCGACAGTGCGATGTGCAACTCGTACATGCAGCTGACTGCTCGCGGTGTGTCGATCCTGTTTGCCAGCGGCGATGGCGGAGTGGCTGCAAGCCCAGGCGAATCGTGCACGGGCAAGCCTTTCTTCCCAACCTTCCCGACTTGCCCCTAGTGAGCCAATCGAATCCATCGTTCATTACCCCTCACTGAATCTTCCAAACAGTGTCACGCTTGTGGGCGCGACAGCCGGCACACCTGAAACTGGTGCAGGCCTGTCTGCCGGTGGATTCTCCAACTATTTCCCTGTCCAGTCCTGGCGTGCGTCGTGCAGGCTTGTCTCAGTCATACTACGGTTCTGACATGTGCCTTTCTCAGAGAAATCCGCCGTCAGCTCTTACATCAGCTCGATCGGCACGCAATACTCTGGCCGATACAACGCATCTGGCCGTGGCTTCCCCGACGTCTCTGCTATCGGACAGGCTGTTGAGATCATATACAATGGATCGGGGACCAAAGTCGACGGAACGTCCTGCTCGTCGCCCATCTTCGCGTCCGTCATCGGGCTGATCAACGACCGCCTCCTGGCTGCCGGGAAGCCCGTGCTGGGATTCCTGAACCCCTGGGTGTATGCGAACCCGCAGATGTTCAACGACGTTACGTCTGGAACAAACCCCGGCTGCGGCACGAAAGGGTTCTCTGCAAAGGCGGGGTGGGACCCCGTTACGGGCATGGGGTCGCCCAACTTCCCTGCGATGTTGACTGCTGCTGGTCTTTAATTTGGTTTTATATGTACTCGCATGTAAAAGACGTGTATCCTTGGTGCCTCAGAGCAATAGAGGAATTGACACGGTACCCACTGTCTGTGTGATGCTCAAGTGCATGGACCTAGAGCCATGTCGATTGCTTAACACATTCCTCAGTGGAGGATCCAGACGTCTTCCAGACAATCCAAGGTCCCCAACTCATACGGTCCCATGCACCACACCGTGCGGCAGGTATCCCTCGGACGGGTTAGTGCATCATGTAACAGTGCTTTGTATGGAACCTTGCAGCGCCCCATTCTCATCCGATAGATCGGAAATCGGACAAATCATTGCTCTTGTTGCATCGTCGCAACTCGGTCAATCTCAACGCGGGGTCTCCGCTACTGATTACATCCCTCTGGACCTGTCTGGACTGTCGGACCGCTGATTAAAGCGTCCGTGTCGTTCTTGAACCGTTCTCGTATCGTCCGAAGGTGGTGAGATAGAAGTCCCGGTCTCTCGGTCCGCGTCCTGGGCCTTTTGGATACGGTCGGGCTCAGGTGTGGGTGGACGGGTTGATGCCGCACTGCCACCTGCCGTGTCAGTCGGCTACGACCCGGTTGTGCGGTCAAAGCGGTTGAGAGCTCGTCAGCAAGGAGATTTCCATCACGGCTTTTTCCACGAATCAGCGGCACAGAGAAATTTGAGGTCATGTTCTCAGAGATTCCGTGAAACGGAAGAGACGTTGCATGAGATCTAAGATAGTTTAACATCAATAGTTCAAGTAGAAAATTGAACATGAGCCCGTCCGGAAGGTCCCGATGCTACACAGAAACGCTCAAACACGGAAAGACAGCTAGGTATCCCACAATCACCCAACCATACCTGTTGTAAGATTGAGCTGACCACCAGGACGAGATGGACGATCCAAAAGCACAGAAACGATCATCGGACACGACTTGCAAATCAGCCGCGCCGATTGTCTGGCCAAGGGAAGTGCCGGTGCTGAATCGGCCGTAATATATATTTGGTTTCTCGCCATGTGTTGTGTTTTTGGATCATTGAGATAATCACAGACCGTTTCCACTCATTTCGTACAGAGTCGTCAAAGAAGGCGCTGATTTATCTGCCTGGCTCTCTGGAAAGGTTTAAAACACAAGATGTGGTTAGATGGATTTCAAACAACATGGCCGCTCCCCAGATCTCACATCAGAACTTCGGTCCCAAGGTCCTTGCCTTTGGCCACTCGCGTACGGGGACTGCTTGTCAGTCTGTTGCAGTAAAGCGGCTCGAATTTTATGGACTGACAACATTTCAGCAATGAGACTGGCTCTGGAGGAGCTCGGATACAAACCCACCAACCACGGATTCGATATCTTCGAGCCCGAATCCGTGGTCGACTTCTGGACCCGCGCGATTCTGGCGAAATTTTGGGGAATCGGCGAGCCGCTCAGCACCGAAGAATGGCGCGCTTTTTTGAGACCGTATCAAGTACGTACCGTATGCCCTCCGCTTGCCTGAACCGAGAACTCATGTGATTTTGAAATTGTCCAGGCGGTCACGGACATGCCCCACTACCTGTTCGTCGAGGAGCTGCTGCTCGCTTTCCCCGATGCGATGGTTCCCGTGACCCACCGCGACGCTGAATCGTGGTGGGCCTCATTCTGCAACACCATCCGGCCGATGGTCAGCCCCGTCACGCTCGTCCCCGCGGCGTCCGATCCGGTGCAGGACTCGCCGGCCGTCCGCCGCCGCCGACTCGGCGTGGCCATGTTCTGCGCGTTTTTCGGCGTGGCGCCGGATGCCGCCACGCCCGAGAGCTTCACGAAGGAGCGCGGGATCGCAGCGTATGAGGCGCACTATGCGCACCTGCGCGCTGTCGTCCCCAAAGACAGATTTATGCAGTTTCATGTTGCCGAGGGCTGGGCACCCTTGTGCGCGTTCTTGGGGAAGGACATCCCGGATGGTCCGTTTCCGAGAGTCAACGATGCGGAGCAATTCAGGGCTGTGGTGCCTACAGTCATCGAGACTGGTCATCGAGGAACATCATGTTAGCATAGTTTGGTTGTTGATCGAAGATCCAGACGCAATCTGCACGAAGTGGGCACACTCTCTCAAAACTTGAGGCGTTCCATCTTGTCCATGCCGGATATCTCGAACGCATATCCCTGGGCCGCCTGAGCCTTCTCTGGCCCTGATGCATGTTCCATACCGTGGCTGACAATGTCTTCCTATAAGATTGGCTCTAGCTTCGACGCCACCGCGCTGAGGTGCTGAAGTTCAGCGCATTGAGCGGAATCCCGCCGCAAGACATTAAAAAAAGCCCAGAGATCCAGCTATTCAGGATATTCGCCATTGCAGCGTATGAGGCGCACCAAAAACGGTGGTGGAGTGCCCACCAGCATGTCGATTGCCTTGGCGTATCATGATACCACAACGGCAGTATCTGGAGAATCACGCCGGATTCAAAGCTCGTGACGAATGTCTCACGTGGTCTGACACCTCGCGTTTCTTCCGTTGGGTGGCTGTGAACTTTGCCGTGTGTCGAGAGATATTGGTCAAACACAAGGCAACGCGTTTTCACCTCCCGCCTTCGATCATGCCACACACTGACGGGCAATACGCCAAGAAACGAGAGAGCGGTGAAGCTTTCTCCGACCGCGAGAGGGCCAGCGGGAACAAGCTCTGGAGCGCCTACATCTCTGAGGCGCAGAGCTACGATCGGGGCCTCATTGATGGCTGGCGCAGTGAGATGGATGGCCTGCTCATCTTCGTGCGTCCCCGTCCGTTTTCGATCGCAGTCTCTCTCTCTCTCTGATTCTGAATCTGAATCATCAGGCCGGTCTCTTCTCCGGCGTCGTCACGACATTCATCATCGAAAGCTACAAGACGTTGAGCCCCGACCCGGGCAGCCAGACCCTCGCGCTGCTCAGCCAGATCTCGCACCAGCTCGCGAACCTGAACAACGGCACCGCGGTGGCAGACGCACTCCCTCCCGCCGCTGCCTTCTCGCCCCCGATCTCCGCCCTCGTGTGCAACGCGCTGTGGTTCACCAGCCTCGCGCTCGGCTTGTCGAGCGCGCTCGTCGCGACGCTGGTCAAGCAGTGGGCGCAGGACTACCAGCACCGCACCTCCATGTTCTCCTCCCCCGCTGTCCGCTCGCGTGTGTACATGTATCTATACTATGGTCTGCAGCGCTTCAATATGCATGCCGTTGTCGGCGTTTCCCCGCTTCTCCTGCACGCGTCTCTGGTCCTGTTCTTTGCGGGCCTAGTCGCATTTCTTGCGCCCGTCAACACCATCATCATGGGAATCTTCTCCGCGCTGCTGCTTCTCTTCGTGTTGGTCTATGGAACGTTCACAGCGCTCCCGCTGTTCTTCTTCGACAGCCCGTTCCAGACGCCACTGACGCGAATACTTTGGTCGCTGGATCAGAGCTTGGGAAGCGTGCTGAGGGCTTACGTTCAAAGGGCAGGGGCTGTTTGCAAGACCTATATGCGAGAGAGAGTCGCTGTGACAGACCCCGAGGCCCATGCCAGACCTTCTGTACCTGCAGACACTGGTCCGCAGAGCCAGGGCATGGTGGAGGCTATGACGACAGCAGCCTTGCAGCCTTCCGTCGAGACGGAGACCCGGGCTCTCGCGTGGACCATGCGGTCTCTCTCCGACGACGACGAGCTTGAGCCCCTCGTCGAGGCGCTCCCCCAGGTGCTATGGGACTTCGAGAAAAACGAGCCGCGTGGCGCGTATCGGACGCATTTCCTCAGGCTGTTGCGCGATCCGCAGGTCCGTCTCGGCCAGCGTCTCGGGGACTTCATGGCCGGCTCCAACAGCTATCTGCTCGAGCACAACGTCCGCGTCCGCCGACAGCTGTCAGTGCTCCGGGCGCTCTGGGTTGTCTGCGCTTTCTCCCTCCACACGGGGTCGCCTATGGAGTGTCCGATTGGAGACGCCGATCCTGGCAAAGCACTGCTGGGGTCGAATTTTATTGACTCGGAGGAAGTGCAGAACATGGTCCCCGATGTGTCCGCTCTGATTCGCCTGAACGTTATCGAGTCCAAGAGCCAGCAACGGACCCCCGGTGGCCCTCCCTCGCAGACGAGCAACTCCGACCGTGACATTCGCGCCCGGGCAGAGAAGCAACGGCGAGCGGAGAAGCAACGGACGTACGTGCAGTATATGACTGCGCTCTCCAAAAACCTTGCCAGCTTCCAGCGAGAGGTGACCGTGTCGCTCTTCCATCGGTCACAGATCCTCTTCACGGAAGCGGATGGCTACCGCACTCTGCAAGACGCTCTTAGAAAGCTGACCCGGTCGGGGTCGGATGAGACAGCCGCGGACAATCTCGTCTTCGCTGCGCGCCAGATGATCAGCGCATTTGCCCGGACATCGACGTATCCGGATCTGTTCGGGATGGGGTTCCGTGGTCTCGCGCCGTTCCTTGTCCGGTATCCTTCCCTCGCGGCCTACAAGCCAGAGCTCGATCTACAGCCCGGTCCGAAGTACCATTACACCCGATACCTGTGTTACTGTCTCTGCGAGAACCTGAAGTACCGACGCGAGAACTCGGAGCATCAACTCGACCTCCAGGCATCCGTCGAGGCCCTGCAGCTGATCTACCATCACCTGGTCAACACCCCGGCGGCCGCGAGAGACGTCGACAGCCATCTGTGGGTCCTCCGGAGGCTGCTGAGGGCCGACGTTCAGGCAGCAGACGCCCGCACGCACCGTTTGGTTGCCACCGTGCAGTGCGCTGTGCTCCGGTGTTTCCGGCGGGATCTGTCGAATTCGGGGGATCTGTCGGAATCGACGAAATTGATGCGCATGTTCGACGACGAGGCGTGGTTCCGGGCAGTGATCAGCCACGAAAACGATAAGCGGAGGGAGTGGGCGTCGGCGAAGCAGTTCTACGACTGTGCCTGCGTGGGTGTTGTGACCGCCTTCTTCGAGCAGTGTGCCCGGAATCCGGATCAGACTGAACGCAGGCTTGAATTCGAGACGTTCAAAACGGTCCAGACAGTCACCACCATCTATCGGATCCGGGTGCTCCCGGCCAAAATACAACTTCGATTCGCCGACGCCGTGTCTGGATTCCTCGGCAGATATCCACAGGACAGTCTTGCTGATAGCCATACGCTCGAATTGGTGCTCTACTGGGCCGTCAATGGGGACTCTGGGTATATCGACGATTCGGATGCATTGAAGGTCCTGGACGCGGCTGTGTCTCAGGTGCAGACGGACCACGCGCAGGAAACACATCGAAGAAATGCCGAATCGATCCGCGCGCTGATTCAGGACCGGCTTCATCGTTCCCGAGAGCATCCTCCCGACTTTGTCCCGCTCGTTATTGACGGAGAGTAAAGCGACCATCGTAGAGGGGGTTTTTGGTGTGGAGGTCGGTTTGTATAGCCAAATAGGTTGACCTGAGGCAACTAAAACAATCACGACCAAAGGGCATTCTGTAAGTACATGTAAAACTAGATCAAAGACCGGCAGCAGTCAACACGGCAGGGAAGTTGGGTGAACCCATCCCCGTGACGGGGTCTCAGCCCGCCTTTGCAGAGAACCCTTTCGTGCCGCAGCCGGGATTCGTGCCAGACGTGATGTCATTGAACATCTGCGGGTTCGCATACACCCAGGGGTTCAGGAATCCCAGCACGGGCTTCCCGGCAGCCAGCAGCCGGTCGTTGATCAGCCCGATGACAGACGCGAAGATGGGCGACGAGCAGGATGTTCCGTCGACTTTGTCGCCCGATCCATTGGACACGATCTCGACGGCCTGGCCGATGGGGGAGACACTGGCATAGCCACGGCCAGATGCATTGTATCGGCCAGAGTATCGACACTCTAATCCTGCGATGTCATTCTGGGCCAAGTTGATTCTAAGCTCGAGATTCATCTCCCCAGGTGCGACGCCGGACACAACGAAACCTTGCGGGGCGGCGTCTCTGCTCTCATGCATAACATAGTTGTCCAGCAGCGGTGTAGCGGACACCAAGGTCGGTGCGATAGCGAGGAACACGAGCGCGAGCATTTCTAGGGGCGAGCGACGTGGGAAGCTCGCCGTTGTACGCTATCCCGTCGCGTTTTTGTACGCAGTCCTATCTCGAGACAGTACACATGCAGCGTTCAGACATGTGTAGGGCGAGAAGCAAGTTCCGGGTGCGCATTGAAGATGCGTTGGTCGCCCCATGCACAGTGCGATATCCCGAGTCGCAGACGCTGGGTTGCCAGGGGGATCGAGGAGGCTGTAACAGACTTCCCTTCCCCGCATCAGCAATGTTGAATCGAGCTTCGTGCAGATACGAATATGGCCGCCGCCGTGTTGTCCAGTGCGATTCCAGGTCGGGCCGCTGCTACTGAGGAGTGTCTCGTATGCACGTGTTTGATGATTTTGCTGCTGCTTCTCCGCCGGCCCGGTTCCGCGTCCTTGCCTTCATTACAGAATCCACATTCTGCCCCCGTCTTTCTTGCTCCTCCCGTTATCCCCTCTGCCTCGCTCTGGATCTCCGAGCGCTCTCAGAAGCGCCGCGCTTATACTGTTTCTCGTTGCTCGGATCTTAGAGGCTGAGCAACGAAGCTGTCGTTCCCTGCACCTGTCCCAGAGCGAAGAACGACGATCCCTGGACTGGTCGATTCGGGATGAGGCTGTTGAGCAGAAGCGATCAATCCGGGACCTTCGACGCCTACTTGAACTCCTGCATAGCACTTTTCGGGCACCTTCAGGCATGGGCATGAGCCATCATCATCTAGACCTGGGATCCAAGCCCTGTCAGCACTCGAGTCCTGTGGTTCTGTTTTCTCTATCTTGGGATGAGTAGCTATGAAGGTGCCCGACGATCGCCCCCGGATCACATGCTCACGTCCTCTTGAGCGAATCAGCGCTGAGAGGAGCAAAAGCCGTAAAACTTGCTTGGAACATCCAGGATGCCGCCAACATGTCTCCTGGTCACCCTTCTTTTGAAGCTGTCCTTCACCCTCTCATCGGCAACACTCCGCGACTTGTACCAACTTGGTCCGACTGTCACAACCACTCAGAGCCACCCTGCCCCGTTCGTCTAGCCACAGACAATGACCCTACGCGCTAAGCGACCTGTTTCCGACTGCAACTTGCTCGATGGATAGACCGTCGTGTATAATATTGACTATGACACCCTCTTCCAACGATCTGGGTGTGTGGGTATGGTGGGATGCAGCACGCCAGCCGAGATCGTGGGATCAGAAGTGACGCTTGTGGGCAATGAACGAAACTTGGGCTGAACGGTGGACTGAGATACTGAGCGGGCCAGATTCGTCGGAAGTCACGATACCGTCCGCGGTAGATGTCCCGCAGGTGGAGTTGGGTACATCGAATACCATTACTTATCTACCCTATGGTTCCCAAACTACGGACAGTCGAGGCAAACTCCTGATTATCTAGTGATGCATCCCGATACTATGCGAGTCTTGTAGTGTATTTCCATGCTGCTGAACTCACTGGATGCAGATTCCTATTTGTAAAGGAGAATCTAATACCAACTTCACCACAACTCGAACCGGTGGCTTCGTGTAAGTCAAGCGTGACGTGCGAGATAACTGCGCCTTGGAAATGCTCGCTCTCGCGTTCCTCACTGTCGCACTGACCTTGGTGTCTGCAACACCGCTGTTGGACAACTACGTCGTGCATGAGAGCAGAGAAGCGGCTCCGCAAGGCTTTGTCGTTTCCAGCGTCGCGCCTGGGGAGACGAATCTCGAACTCAGAATCAACTTGGCCCAGAACAACATCGCGGGATTGGAGTCTCGTCTGCTGGCGGCTGCCACCCCGGGGAGTGATACCTACGGACAGTGGCTCTCTGCAGACGAGGTGAGAGCCGTTCTCGTGCTCTTTCGATGCATGAACTGACACTTCGAAGGTAAACACATTCTCCACACCATCTGCAGAGACGTCTGCGGCGGTTTCTGCGTGGCTTTCCTCGCACGGTGTCCAGTCCACCAAGTTCTCGCCTTCCGGCGACTGGATCTCCGTCAACGTCCCCGTTTCGAAGGCGAATGAGCTGCTGGGCGCCGACTACCATGTCTTTACCCACACTGCGAGCGGCAAGACGTCGATCCGCACGCTCTCGTAATCGATCCCTGCCTCGCTGAAGGACCACATCAATGTCGTGACGCCGACCACGAGCTTCAGCCGTCCCCGCCAGGCGCTGTCCGTCACAGCCATCAAGAGCGAGCCGCAGGAACGGGCCAATATTTCCTCCGACGCTGTGCCCTCCTCCTGCAAAAAGACGATGACCCCAACCTGCTTGCAGGCGATGTACAATATCCCGACGACCCCTGCGACGAACAAGTCCGGGTCGATCGACGTGGCCGGTTTCGTTGACCAATGGGCCAGCAAAGCGGATTTAGCGCAGTTCCTCGAGGCCCAGCGCAAGGACATGAGCTCCACGACTTCTTTCGATCTGATTTCGGTGGACGGCGGCGTCAACAACCAAACCCAGTGAGATGCCGGTGACGAGGCTGGTAAGCCAGCTTTTCAGTACATCTGTCTCGTTTACGAGTTGCTGTAGACTTGGACATCCAGTACACTGTTGGGCTGGCCACCGATGTTCCCGTCACCTTCATCTCTGTCGGTCCAAACAACCCAGACGGCGACGACATGGGATTTTTCGACATCATCACGACTCTCATTGCCGAATCGGCGCCGCCTCAAGTGCTGACCACGAGCTATGGCTTCCCGATCGAGACTTACTTGTCTCAGCCGCTCACATTGTGAGTCGTCTTCTCGCTGTGGTGCCGCTCGACGCTCACGCTCTGCTTTGCGTGACAGTGCCATGTGCAACGCGTACATGCAGCTGACTGCTCGCGGTGTCTCGATCCTGTTTGCCAGCGGTGACGGAGGCGTGGCTGCCACCCCGGGCGAATCGTGCAGCGGGCAGCCGTTCCTCCCAACTTTCCCGACTTGCCCTTAGTAAGCAAGCCAAACGAACTGTCGCTCCAGCCCTTCATCTTACGAATCTTCCAAATAGCGTTACGCTCGTGGGTGCAACAGCCGGGACGCCTGAGACCGGTGCCAGACTTTCTGCTGGTGGATTCTCCAACTACTTCCCTGTCCAGTCATGGCGTGCGTCTTCCGTGCTTGCTTCACCGACGCCGCGTTTTGATGTGCGCTCCCTCAGAGAAATCCGCCGTCAGCTCTTACATCAGTTCAATCGGCACGCAATACGCTGGCCTCTACAATACGTCTGGCCGCGGGTATCCCGACGTCTCCGCTATCGGAAAGGCGGTCGAGATCATATACAACGGATCCGGGGTCAAAATCGAGGGAACGTCCTGCTCGTCGCCCATCTTCGCGTCCGTGATCGGGCTGATCAACGATCGGCTGCTGGCTGCCGGGAAGCCCGTGCTGGGATTCCTGAACCCGTGGGTGTATGCGAACCCGCAGATGTTCAACGACATCACATCTGGCACGAATCCCGGATGCGGCACGAAGGGGTTCTCTGCAAAGGCTGGCTGGGACCCCGTCACGGGCATGGGTTCGCCCAACTTCCCTGCCATGCTGACTGCAGCCGGTCTCTGATTTCGATTTATTTATACTCACCTGTGCAAGATATGAATGCTTGGTGTCTTGAAACGGTAGATGAATTGACACAGTACCCACTCTTTCTGGGAAATTAAGTGCAAAAGGTCTTGGGCACTCCATTTGTGCGATGCAGAGTGATCTGGACCGGCCAGATAAGCAACCGCTGGATCAATATGGGCTCCTGCCGGAACAGATCCCGATTGGAAAGGTACCAGCAAAGGCCGTGCAAGAAGGCACGCAACGGAAGAGTTCGCTGTCCCGGGTGATAGATAATACATCGCGGGGAAACCCTCTGGCAGTTGGCAGCCGTCGGACGGCGCCTCGAGGTCCGCGGGCTCCCCCCTTGACGATCCCTCCGCCGCGATAATTGTACTCGGGGGTATTCCAGTCATGACTGGAGTACCTCGCTCCGCTGGGATCGCGGGAGACTTCAGCAGATGGATTCTCTGTTGAAGATGGATGCAGCTGAGGGAGAAGGAAGAGACTGGCAGTCACAGATGATCGGGAGGCGCCCACGAGTGCGTTGCCGCCCCTGGGTACGCTCTCAGCGCAGTCTGCACCTCTGTGGCACAGTGCACTTCTGTCCAACGCCGCCCTATCGGCAGTCCTGGTTACTGGCTGCTGAAATGGATGTGATTCACGAGGCCAAACAGCACATACACGCAGAGAGCATCCGGTAACGCACACCATACAATTATTGTGTACATACCACAAGAAATAATTCTACAATATTTTGCAACACCGCCGACCCAGTAAGTTACATAAGATACCGACGCCCCACTCAACTTGCTTACAGACTGTAGATAAACCAGGCGCTTTTGTCGCCGCGCCCCGGCTCCTCCTCCGAGCGGGGCGTCGTCCTGCGGATCTCCGCCTTTTTCAGGTTCTCGCCCCGGAGGTACCAGATGTTGCACGCGGAGAAGAAGAACATGAGCACGGAGAACGCGAGCAGCAGCTTCGTCCCGAGGAAGTAGCGCGGCGGCGGGGAGAGCGCGCCGAGCAGCCACGTCGCGAGGATGCCGCCCGAGTTGGTCATGATGAAGCCGATCGCGATCGCGGCCGCGCGGCGCACGTGGGGCGCCGAGTTGTTCGCGTTCCACGTCGACAGCGTCGGCGCGACGGTGTACGTCCCCGGGATCGAAAGGAAGAGCGAGCCGTACTGAATGTGGTGGTTCCCGGACGTGAGGAACACCGCGAATCCGGCGATGCACAGGAGCGACCCGAACAGGGACACCAGCCCTCTGCAGTGGTACCGGTCGCCGAGGTACGCGCCGATCATGGACACCACGAAGGCGACCGAGAACGGCGGCACGCTCATGAGCTGCGCGCGCGCGGCGGTGTAGCCGAGAGACTGGATGATCGACGGCGTAAAGTAGGCCAGCGAGTAAAGCGTAACGCCGCCCATGAAGAAGGCAAGCGCGCAGAGGAAGACCTGCATCGAAGCGAACGCCTTCCCGACTTCTGCCCAGCTGAAGGAGTCAGCTTTCTCGTCCGCGCCGATAGAACCATCCGCTCGCAGGACAGCCTTGACGTAGGCTTTCTCCTCCGCATTAAGGAAGCGCGCGTGGTCCGGAGAGCTGGGCATGAACGCATACGAGACGAGGCCGACGAACACAGTGATCACACCCTGTGAAACACATCAGACGCTGGTTTACGTGTGGACTGTTCGGGTCCAGACGCACCTCGATGATGAAGATCCACTGCCAGCCAGAGTGACCGGCCTTGCCGTTCAGATGGATGATGCCGTAGGCCATGATACCACCAAAGGCGCCGGAGATGGAAGCAGCAGAGAAGAACGACGTAATGCTATTCAGATAGCTTAATCAATGACCTAACGACGAGCATCGGAGCGACGTACCGAGTCTGCAGCTTGACTCGGGGGTAGAAGAATGACAGATAGAGCACAAGACCAGGGAAGACACCACCCTCGAGCAGCCCGAGGAAGAATCGGCAGACGAGCAGCTGGTGGTATGTCCTGACGGCGCCTGCATACAGTGTCAGGAAAGAGAGACACACGGCGGGGCACACAAGAAGGCGGATAGAGAACCGACCTTGGCAAGTGGTCACGACTCCCCAAAGCGTAAGCATCGTCGGAAGCATGATGTTCGGACCGACGATCTTACGACAGGACGTCAGCTGTCGGCAGGTTTCGAGATGCTGAGAAGGAGCCTAACCTTGAGCAACAGGTTGGAGGGGAGTTCCGCGACGATGTACGGCACGTATGTGACAGTAAGCGCGATCGAGTACTGTGTCGGCGTCATCTTGAGCTGGGTCATCAGACCGGCGACCTTGGCGTTTCCGACGTTCGTACGATCCTAAGAGAGAAAGAGAGGGGTTGAGTCCCATGAAGCGACGCGCGCGCGCGAGAGAGGGGAAAGGGCGGGGGGCGTACCAGGAAGGAGAGGAGGTAGAAGAGGGCGACGATGGGGATGATCCACATGTCCATTTTCCTCCACACGACCTTGTCAAGCGCGTCATTGAAGACGGGCTCGCTCTCGAGGACGCTGCTGGAGGCATCGGCGACCTTCTCAGGGTCGGTCGATGTGCGTGAGGGGGCCTTCTCGACGTGGTGTTCGCTGGTCATCGGGGCAAGCACGGGGGAGCAGACGCGAAACCGAGGAGGGGAGCAAGCAACAGCGCTGGGATCTTAGTTTCGGACCGTCCGAGTTTTTAAGTCATAGCCAGCACTAAGTAAGCCGGCGAAGCACCCCCTTGCTCCGAAACGTCCAGCCTCGAAGAGCTGGGTTGTCACGTCGGTGTCTTCTGTCACGCTGTATTGATGCCACATATTTGATACCAGTTGGGATCTGGTGGGATTACGGTCAATCCCTCGAATCTGGAAGTGGCGAACCGGTTGTCATTTCTGTCCACAAGCTATCTCTCGCGTTGGGCCTGGTAACCGACGTCTCGTCGAGATTATGCTTATCTGCACGCTCAATTAAACCCAAACTCGCTCTGCAAAGCAAAAGACGGATCACCGGTGGGTGTGACAGCTCCCAGTCACTAGTATCGGTGAGGATCTTACTAGAGCGAGACGTTCCCCGTCCGTTGCGACCGTTAAGCTCTGAAGATTTGGACTCTGGCGGAAAGATCCACCACCACCCGCCCTATTTTTGGCGCACGGCGCAGTTGACCTGCCTCAGTGGCCAGAGGTCAGGCGAGTGACAGGCGGAGCTGGCAGGAGCTCGGAAAGTCTAGAAGACATTGGGGGTGTGCCTCGGTGGGCCATAGGCGATGTTCGTCCAAACATAGACGCGCCGCAGATGGCCCTCGGCTTTACAGGGGCCGTCTGGTCCTGCATGGCCAGATTCCACGCGCGGCTTCGATCCTGCATCCCCCCAGGAACCGCCGCGCAAGTCTCCCATCCAACGTCATCTTGGCATTTTCTTGATCCCAGCAGAAAGAAGAAAAAAACACGGGAATCCTCCAGGCTGGATGGCCGATGCCCAGCTCCGGCGGCTAGAACTGCGCAGCGCGAGACCCGTCCATTATCCGAACAAGAAAGACGCTTGGGGTGCACATGGGCCTTTGCAGATGTCCACAAGCACATGATTACGTCGTCTGTTTCGCGGTGTCTCCCTTCAGATCCAGGGAGCGAGTGCGTTGGGAAACATCAGGAAGAATCTGATTCAGATGCGAAGAAGCTTGGTGTCGTGGTCTGTTTGGTTGATGGTGAGAAACAGGCATGTTCGGATTTTCATCGGGCTTCGCCGCGCGGGTAAAATCCCAGAATAGACAGCATCTGAGGCAGGTAAACAAACTTTTATTGCTTTGAGCTGCACCTCGCGACGAGAGTCTCTCTATATTTCGAGGCTTGGGGGTGCGAGGGAAACGCGCCAAATTCCCAGCTTCGCCGAAGTTCGGTCACCGGATGGCAACTCATTGCTTCGGTGCGTTATACCAATCTGAGGCCCCTTGTTCAGGCACACGCAAGCCATCTTGTCCTATCGGCCAGGACCTGCCTGACATTTGGGCAGTTGTATAACGCGCCGCGAAAAAGATCGAATCCCATGAAATTGGTGCCGCTGCAGATCCTTAGTTGTCTTCTCTATGATCTTTGTATGTATATTGCAGTGCGATTGCGCTCCCACAGTAGCCATATATTCCATTACGCAATATACAATCCCATCTGTTTTACACTCTACAATCCACCAATCGCCCGAGATACCGATAAATAACATGCACGGCGCCGAGCCCACTGGTCCCGCTGCCGGTGCGAACCCGGGATAATGGATAACTTATTACTGGGTGTAGGGATGCGGGTGGGTAGGCATCGGGTCTTTCACGTGCTCGACGACCTAATGGGGGCGAGGGAGAAAGTGGTTGCTCAGAGAAGCGGTCCATCAAAACATACGCGGGCTATGCCTACCTTGGTCACCTGGATGCCGTTCGCGCCGCCGCCGTACGACGCCGACATGTCGTAGTTTGATTTTTGCACCTCGAGCTCGAATCCGTTGCTGCTCTGTAAGCGGAGTAAGTGAGTGCGTGATGAGCCATCGGCATTGGGCCGACCACGCGCGGACGCACGCACCGTGTGGATGTCGTTGAACGTATCGTGCTGCGAGAGGCGTGCGTCAGTCAGCGCGGATCGAGGGCACTCTGGACTGGACTGCAGCCGGCGCTCACCTGGCGCCGCGACACGGGCGAGCTCTGCCCGGCGTAGTTCGGGCGGATCCGGGGCTCGGAGGTGTTCCGGGTCCCGGACATGTCGTTCAGCGAGGCACGGGAGTTCAGCGTCGACATCAAGCAGTTGGTATCTGCACGACCGAAACCATTGAGTGTGTGCAATAAACGGGGGGATAGAGCGCCTCGACGCACACAACTTGGACAGCGCGAGATCCCAGATGAAGTTGCTTTAATTACCGGTGTTAGTGGGGATGGGGTTATGCGGCGACGAGCTTACACGGCGGCGTGCTGTATCATTACGATTCGATTTAGTCTCTGGGGTGTATACCAGGCGAAACAGGGCACATACGGGGAGAACCATGAAGCTGACAACATCGAGGATACTGAACAGAGCGCTGTCCGGATCCGATAAATACCGCTGGCCGGGTCGAAGGTTGAGAATGCACAGCGGCTCACGTTATCATGCCCGTTTGGATGGTCACTGGTAAACGAAGTCGAGTCAGCGTCCGCCGGGAACCGAACCACCGCGGACAGACGCACTCCTGATAATCTTATCGATTACAGTGTCGGTACCGGAGAAGCCGGTCTTGCGCCGCGCGAGACTGAACACCAGCGAGACCGTGATGAGGACATCGGCGACGCAGGACGACAGGAACCAGACGAGAGCCGAGTTGTGCAGCTTAGGCTTGTTCTTGAATGTGGCGAAAACTCGGATGCCAACTGTGGAGCGGGTGCAGTGAGTCAGTGAGTCACGCTTCCCCCAACCCTGGGGATGGTGATGGAACACCCCCGATGCACGCACCGGCAGTCCAGATCCCCCCGGCCATGGACGAGAACGCGAGCAGGGCGATCGCGAGCGGTATCCACCACGACTTTTGCAGCCGCTGGATCCGGTACGCGAAGAACAGCTGGATCGGGGTGGAGACAGCGACCTGCACGCGGGATCCGTATGAGCTCACGGGCTGCTGCTGAGCTGATATGAAGTGGGCACGCACGATGCACAGCGGTTCTGGACGACCCGAGAGAAATCGAGTGAGTAAGGATCTTCGGGCGACGGCGAGGAGCGCGGACCGGTTACAAAGACTGGGCGTGGGTCAGCAGGCGCTCGAACCGAAGAAGGGGATGGAGCTGCTCACATGTGGGGAACTTGAGGGGTGGCTCCCCTGGGGCATGGAGTCAGCTGGGAGGCTCGGGCGCAGAGACACAAGAGCATAGCTCGGCGCACCGTATTGTGCAATGAGCGGCTGGTACATGAATGCCATGTCGAATCCCGTATTGACAGTCTCCACGAAAAACAGAAAATATACCTGCCCGGGTAAGTTTCCAGCGAGTGATCTAGCAGAAACACCTTACAAGAGCCTTCATGCTCCAAGAGTCCCTGAGCGCAAGTCAACACCTGGGGAGATAACTCAGAATCGGATGGATCCTCGCACCTCCGATAGAGTTGGTAGTAGGTGAGCATCTGCCATGGATGTATCAGCTATATGGGTCCTCTCCGTGGTGTGGGAGGGGGACCGGAGCGGACCTGGCCTACGAGGACCTACAAACGGAGCCGGGATCAGCAACAGATGTGCGATGCGCCACTGACGCTGCGCACCCCATACAGGATCATGTTGAAGAAAACACCGATCAGCATAGGCCCAAACCTGGCACACGCGAGCTCCGGGTCAGCAGTGCCCGAGGCAGAAGCGAGCCGCCGGCACGCACAGCAGGTGAACGTCGACGACCGCCATCTTGAGGAAGGAGGGGCGCGAGGGGTGGGGGACGCGAGGGGGGGAGGCTTGCAGATCAATTAACACGGAAACAGGCTTATGTATAAGGCCCCAAACTGCATGCTGAGAGCGGGCGAAAGGTGACAGAGGCTTCTTCTCCTGGTCCCACACTCAGTGCAGCTTGACTGCCACTTCAGCCTCTGCCACATGTCGGCGGTTGCGCAGAGATCGATGTCAACCGCATTTAGGCTTCCTTAACGGCTCGTGCGGCCGGAGGTACCGCGGCCCTCCCACAAACTAGATGTGATGATGCATTATGTCTCCCCCGCCTCGGTGATTAATGTTGCATGATTCGCGAGCCGCAATGCGCGCCATGTGATGGGTCTGGGATCTCCAGATGTCACACTGATAGGTGGGGATTGAATGAAAACTAGAAGAGCGTCAGAGCCCTCAGCCGAAGTGATAGATAGATGCGTAGATGCGCAGATAGATACATAGATAGATATGTAGATCGCACCGATGGCCAGATCAGCCGAGTCGTGTGCGCACGAGCTGCATCCCACAGCGCACAGACGGGAGCGGAGACTGTAGGGCCAACGGGGAACGTTCGCCCGGACTGAACGGAGGACAACCATGCCCATGACATACACATTCTCCGTGGCCGGCGAACGGGAGCAGAATACCGCGCGCTGTGAGAGGACGGAGCTCGCGAAGCCCGGTGGATCAGCATCACGCGTCACCCGGGCAGGCCTCCAACGACACAACTGGAATGTTCTCGATGTCTGGCCATGTCGGCATCCCCCCCGAACGAGATGGCGCTTCCACGCTGAAGACGGGGTGAAGCGTCCGGCCCTGGGGAGGCTCTCGTTTGTCAAATGAGAAGTGCGTAATCGGGTTCCGCAAGCAAGCAACCCGGGTTGCGGGACGCTGGTAACTAACGCACGCGATGGAAAATCAGAACGCGAAGCACATCCGGGGAAGTGCGCTGATATTTTGTTGCAGTTTCGGCGAAATGGACGCAGAGGGAGATCATTTCCACCCACCCACCCAATCGCGATCCTGGAGCGAGGCCTGCGTTCGAGGGCCGACCCGCAGAGTGGGAATCGCAGACCGGGGCCACGGCCCCGAATTTCAGTTTAGCGCAGCATGGCGCTGCTTTCATCCGTCAGTCATCAAGGGACAAGGACAAACGACGGATGTCTGCAAGCGAGGAACGTAGCACGCCCACTCACATGCAGATCGTGCGAAAGGAAGGAAGATGTCAATCACATCGAATCGCTAATCTAATCACCTGTTGATCATCATGGCCGTCGGACTCGGAGGAGTGACGCGCCAGTTCTCACAAAGGCAAAGCAGAGCACCATCCACATCCAACGCAGAAATCCGCATTTTGAAAAGAGCTGGTTCGGATCGTCCCCTGGAACGCGTTCCGAACAGTTGGACTGCACGAAATCACCATCACGTCTTGATGCGATGAAGAAGAGCGTCTCGGTTCCAATGGCAGTTTGGACTATGGAGCTCCACTATCTCGCTCGTAGACTCAGATTCCGGACCATGAACGCTATCTTGCGACTGTACATCGAGTTTAACGCCCATTGATATGAATCAGACACCTCACAAGACTCAGCAGCGCGTGACTCTACTATGCCTGCAGAGGAATTGGAGCACTATCCCTGGGTAGTGTGCATTGAATTTGATGATCTTCATGCTGGGCTTCAAACCTGCTGCAGTGGCCCGAGTGGATGCTATCGTGGTGTCTGTATATGCAGGTCTCTACGGTCATGCGGTCCCGTGCCCCTAGTACTCCACTTCCCCCCCAGCAGCTTGAAGCAGCTTGAGCGTGATCTGGCCCCTGTAGTTGATGAGTCACAGTGAGTCACCTGACGCGAACACCGTCCAACGCCGGGATGGAATGACGATGGCAGTGCCGCTTTGCCGCGGCAACAAGGACAAACGAGATCACTGAGCAACTCGAGCTGCAATGCCCGGTCTTTATTCGACATCTGTAGCGTAAAAATGGCTTTCCGCGTCTCCTGAACCCATACACGCTGCGCAAGCACTCGCGCCATGGACTCAACGAGCCTGACGCGCAGTGCGGAGACGCATGTTGCTGCTGCGGCGCTTATCGGTCGGGCACATTCTATATAACGTGCGTTCGCCAACGGCGGCGAAAATCATCCACCCATGGCACTCGTGTCCCTCCTATTTCTCGCAGCCGCCCTCGCAGCGTCCCGCACCTCCGCGCAAGCCGCCATCCGGCGCGGCGACGAGGCGCCCTTCATGCACGTCCCCCTCGCGACGGCGACGGACTACGCGTCGGGCCGGGTGCACAAGCAGCTCATGGCGGGCATGGTGCAGTACGTGTCGACGATCCGGCAGGACGGCGTGCGCGCCGCGGACGCCGTCGACCCGCTGCTCGGCATCGCCGCGATCAGGGAGTACACGCCGTGCGTCGGCGGGTACGGCGGCACGCAGGAGAACAACACGTACGCGTGCCGCAACCTCGATCTGTACGCGTTCGTGCCGCACGGCGAGCTCGGGAGCGCTGTCAAGGTCGGGAACGATATCTGGGGCTGGGCGCACACCGATGTGCAGGGTGCGACGACGCGTGAGTTTGGGCTGGTGGGGCAGATGGATGGCACGGCGTTCGTTGAGGTCTTGTCGGACGGGCAGATCGCGTACCTGGGCCGCCTGGCGACGCAGACCACAAGCGAAATCTGGCGGGATATCAAGGTCATCGGACACCATGCTTACATCGGAAGCGAGGCTCTCGGACACGGCATCCAGGTGTTCGACTTGCACAAAGTAGGATTTCTTTCTAATGAACTGAACGGGCTCTTACAAGCATGTGCGGACAGCTCCTGGACAAGTCGTTGCTTGCGTCTCCCAAGGTGTTCAGCATCGAAACAGACCTGACTGCCCTCTATGATGGCCTCCCGCTCGGCTCCTCACACAATGTCGTTTCGCATGAAGACAAGAACCTCATCATCGCCGTCGGTGCTCTTCCCCGCACAGAGTGTGTCCTCACGTACACATCTGCCGCGACCGAAGCCTGATCAGTTCCCAGCATCTGTGGTGCAGGCTTGATTTTCATCGACGTATCGGATCCTTCGAAGCCGACTGGTGTAGGTTGCGCCGGGGACGATGGCTATGTGCACGAGTAAGAGCTCCCGATACCGATTCCGGCCGATTTTTCATGGTACCGTTTCCCAGCGCGCAGTGCTTGACTTACATTGGTCCCGATGCCCGGTACAACGGCTCGGATATATGCTATGCCTTCAACGAGGACACGTTCACCATCTACGACATCACCAACCCCGCCGAGTGGGTGCCATCCATCGTCTCTCTCCGCTTCGTGTTTCTGAACGAGCGGTCGCAGCACAGTGACCCTGTCTGTCACGTACTACTACGGCGTGGCGTACTCGCACCAAGGCTGGGTCATCGACGAGAAGAACCAAACCCACCTGCTGCTCAACGACGAGCTCGACGAGCTCTCCCAGAGCGGCTGGGCCGCCGACCAGCGCACGACGACATACATCTGGGACATCACCGACCTCGAGCGCCCCGTCCTGACCGGGCACTACAAGTCCCCGGCGGTCGCTATCGACCACAACCTGTACGTCCGCGTAAGTCGTTCCTCCCCCATCTCGCACCCGCGCGGCGGCTGAGACGGCTCTGGGGCCGTTCTCCAGAACGGGCTCGCGTATGAGACCAACTACAACAGCGGATTGCGCGTCGTGGATGTGTCGAGCGTCAAGCAGGACCCGACCGGCGCTGGGTTCTTCGAGGCTGCGTTCTTCGACGGTGAGCCGCGCTGCTCCTGCTCCCGTGGGAGCCGTATCGCGCTGTCGTGCTGACTGTTGGTGTGGCCAGTGCACCCCGAGGACGACGAGACCAATGGGTCCGCGGAGATTGGCGGCGCGTGGTCCTCGTACCCGTACTTTGACAGCGGATATATCCTCGTCAACACACTCGAGCGGGGCTTGTTCGTTGTCAAGTATAACAACACCGGCGGACTGTGAAGTGCACTTTAAGTTTGTGTTGTTTGCGCTCTTTCTTGGCTGAATGAAAGATGTCCCCCCATCGAAGAAGTGCTAGCGCACATGTGTATAGCCCATATCGCATGCGAGTCATCCATTATACATCATATATCGGCGATACACTTCAGATGTGGACCGAGAACCCTCCCGTTTTACCTGATTCCCTCTGTTGTTACATCGCGCATCTTGCTTTCTACATGTGTGGAAGCCACTGGTGTGGATCGTAAAAGACAATGCGCACTCGGAAACCTGGGATCTATCAGAGAGAGTAAACTACTGGAGTGGCCGATGATGCTGCCTGCGTCAAGTCTCTCCGATCCTTATGTTATGTACATGTGTGTCCCTTATGGTGACGCGGTCACGTGCCGACGACTCCACTATATATCAACTTTCATGCGCGTACTATGCCAGATCATCTGCAGTCTGCCCAGCCTAGGCCTCCCCTGGGAGCATCGTACACATGACCAGAACACGTGATGTTTGAGCGGGGTTGATCTTGCAACAGACGTGCTACTGAAACAAACTCCACATGGCAATTTCGAACATGATGATCTGCGATTTGAGAAGAACTACATGATACAAATGGTACATGTTTCGGCATGTTGGACTGCGAGAAGATGCTGTCACATCCTGATGTTATGAAGGGCGTGTCGTTCCAGTGGCAGTTTAGATTTTGGAGCTCCACTGTCCTCGTTCGTAAACTCATATTCGGACCATGAACGCTACATATCTTGCGACTGACATCGAGTTTAGCATCTATTGATATGAATCAGACACCTCACAAGACTCAGCAGCGCGTGCGCTAATATGCTTGCAGAGATCCTGGGCAGTGCATTGATGATCTGCCTTCTGGACTTCAATCCTGCCCCAGCAGGTTGCGTGATACCTGAACAAGCTCCCAATTGTACATAGTCTGTCCGGGTCTGACCATGACGTAACTCAGACGTCACATGACCGTGGACCGCGGTGTGCCACTGATGGCACTCTGCTTTCGCCGCGGCAGCAACAACAAACGAAACGAAAGCGGTGCCACACCGACGCTCGCTGGAATACCAACACCCAGTCTACGTTCGACGTCGGTCGCGTGAAAACGATGTTTCTACTTCTCCTCGACGCATGCGCGCGCTCCCCAGGCACCTCCGCAATGCTCGCAACGATCCTTACGCCTCTGTGCCGCGACACGTGTTCCCATGCTGCGGGCCTTATCAGTGGTGTATATATGTGATAGAGGATAGCAGGTGGCGTTCGCCCACGGCGTGCAGTGAAACCCCCCATCCATGGTAAAAGCAACCCCCCTGTTCCTTGCAGCCGCCGCTCTCACCGCTTCCCGCGCCTTCGCGCAGGTGGCGGTCCGGCGGGGCGACGAGGCGCCCTTCGTGCACGTCCCGCTCGCGACGGAGACGGACTACGCGTCGGGCCGGGTGCACAGGCAGCTCATGGACGGCATGGCGCAGTACGTGTCGACGATCCGCCAGGACGGCGTGCGCGGCGCGGGGATCTTCGACCCGCTCCTCGGCATCGACGCGATCAAGGAGTACACGCCGTGCGTCGGCGGGTACGCCGGGACGCAGGAGAACAACACGTACGCGTGCCGCAACCTCGATCTGTACTCGTTCACGCCCCACGGCGACCTGGGCAGCGACGCGAAGGTCGGGAACGATATCTGGGGCTGGGCGCACACGGATGTACACGGCGCGACGCGTGAGTTTGGGCTGGTGGGGCAGATGGATGGCACAGCGTTCGTCGAGGTGCTGCCGAGTGGCCAGATCGCGTACCTGGGTCGCCTGGCGACGCAGACCGTGAACGATATTTGGCGGGATATCAAAGTCATTGGACACTATGCTTATATCGGAAGCGAGGCCCTCGGACACGGCATCCAAGTATTCGACTTGCACAAGGTGGGCTTTACCTCCAACAATAGAAACGGGTTTTCACGCCCGTGTACGGACAGCTCTTGGACAAGTCTTTGCTCGCTTCTCCCAAGGTCTTCAGCATCAAAACAGACCTCACTGCGCACTATGATGGGCTCCCGCTGGGCTCATCGCACAACGTCGTTTCTCACGAAGACAAGAATCTCATCGTCGCCGTTGGCGCCATGCCCCGCACGGAGTGTGTTCTTACTCGTGTGCACGCCTCCTGCGATCGATGGCTGACCAGCTTCTAGCGCCTGCGGTGCAGGACTGATCTTCATCGACGTATCGGATCCCTCCAAGCCGACGACGGTAGGCTGCGCCGGGGACGATGGCTACGTGCATGAGTAAGCGCCCGCAAAAACGACCATCTCCCGCACGTGCTTACGCGCTATTCTCAGCGCGCAGTGCTTGACTTACATCGGCCCTGATGCCCGGTACAATGGGTCGGATGTATGCTATTCATTCAACGAAAACACGTTCACCATCTACGATATCACGAACCCTGCCGAGTGGGTGATCCATCTCCCGCTTTGTTTTCCATCCCTGATGAATGACCGATCGCAGCCCAGTGATCATCTCCGCGACGTATTACTACGGAGTTGCGTACTCGCACCAGGGCTGGGTCGTCGATGAAAAGGACCAGACCCACCTGCTGCTCAACGACGAGCTCGACGAGGTCTACCAGCGCGGCTGGGCCATCGACCAGCGCACGACAACCTACATTTGGGAGATTATCGACCTCGAGCGCCCTGTTCTGACCGGGCACTACAAGTCTCCTGCAGTCGCTATCGACCACAACCTGTACGTCGTCGTAAGTCGTCTTTGTTATGTTCCGTCTGTCGGCAGAGACTGACATGCGCGTTTCCGTCTCGCCGGCAGAACGGGCTGGTCTACGAGAGCAACTACAACAGCGGCTTGCGCATCGTCGATGTGTCGAGCGTCAAGCAGGACCCGACCGGCGCTGGCTTCTCCGAGGCTGCGTTCTTCGACGGTGAGCCAGGCCACATTCGGACCCGCATCGCGCCGTGCTGACTGACTGCTTGCTCTCAGTGCACCCCGAGGACGACGAGACCAACGGATCCGCGCAATTCGGCGGCGCGTGGTCCGCGTACCCGTACTTCGAGAGCGGATACATCCTCGTCAACACGCTCGAGCGGGGGCTGTTCGTCGTCAAGTACAACAGCACCGTCGGCCTCTGAAGCGTTTGCGTTCCATATCGACTGCACCCCGTAAAAGATCCCCCATTGAAACTAATAATACACGCCTGAATTTGCAATGTGAAGCGAGATTGATTTTTGCGCGAGCTGGGAGATGCTTCGTGTGCATCCGGAGCCAAATAATACAACACGACGAGTGTCATGCGAGATCTATCTTGCGGAAGCTGTGGGATTTGTTCTGCGCATCATGGGTTGTCTGTCCTGAGCGAGCCATCGGTAGATGCCGGGAAATTGCCCCATTGCACTCAGGGTTGCCTTGGTTCTGGCCCGTCACCTGCTTGTGTGTAATTCCGGTTTTTAGATCTGGATTGACTGCCCCTGCTTCCCCAGTACGATCACGACAGGGACCGCTGCGGTAATTCGCATTGCGTCTTGTCTGATTTTCGATGCACCAGGGTTTCCCGTCACGGCTGGACCGCCTTTTGGCACACAGTTGCTTGTACGAGAAACCTTTCGCACGATCTCACGCATCTCGCGCGCTCCCTCCGCCGAAAAAAAACCAACGGTGTCCATGTGTAGATCGTGAGAATGATATCTGCTCGTCAAATTGCCAGTCCATCACAGAAAGAAGACATCCCGCATGTAGTTACTCGTAACGCCTTTTATCCGGGCACCTGAATCTGATGCCTATACCTACTACGAGGGCCTAGTGCTTGAGCCCAGCCGCCTTCAGCATCGCGGGGAAATCAGGCGTGCCGAGCCCCGTCACAGGGTCCCACCCGGCCGTCGCCGGGAACCCATCCGTGCCGCACCCGGGGTTGCTCCCCGTCTTTATGTCGTGAAACATCTGCGGATTCGCGTACAGCCACGGGTTGAGGAACCCGAGCACGGGCCTGCCCGCCGCGAGGAGGCGGTCGTTGATGAGCGCGATGACGGAGGCGACGATCGGGGACGAGAAGGACGTGCCCGAGTCGGGGAAGTGGATGCTGTCGGTGATCATCGTCATGTTCACCGAGCCCGCGGCGATGTCGGGGAACGCGCGGCCCGAGGCGTTGTAGAGCCCGGCGTACTCGCTGCCGAGCGCGCTGAGGTACGAGCTGACGGCGGATTCCTCTGTGGAGGGTTAGTGCTGAGATCGGCTGGGGAAAGTCGCGGGGTGCGTACGCCAGGGTTGACGGGGGAAGTAGTTGGAAAAACCGCCAGCAGAGAGGTTGGCTGCGACCTCGGGATATCCGCTCGTCCCGCCCACCATCGTAACGCTGTTGTGGTCAGTCAACGGCGTGAGAATGACACAACATTGTCACATACTATGGGCAGGTGGGGAAAGACACTTCGAACGGATCTCCAGGATTGCAGAGGAGAGCAGGCGAGGCGGCGACGCCACCATCGCCGCTGGCGAACAGCAGAGACACTCCACGCGCTGTGAGCTGCAAGTACGAATCACAAAGGGCCCTTGCCGATCATGAGTCATCCATGCTGACATTCCATAACACTAGCTGCTTACGAGGTGAGAGGGAAGGACATGAATTCCTCCGCAGGGAAGCCGTAGCTAGTCGTCATTACCTGCGACGGCGCCGTAAGGTTGAGCTGGGAGTTGATGACGTCGAGGAAGCCCTCGTAGACGCCGTCCGCGGTGGTCGTCCCCACAGACACGAAGTTGATGGGGACGTCCGTGGCGATGCCGACGGTGTACTGGATGTCCAGGTCTGACACGCTGAGTCAGCATCGCGCGAAACAAGACCCCCCACTCCTCCGACTCACTGCCTTCGACGCCGGCCACGTCGTTGGTCTGATCATCAAGCCCTCCATCGACTGAAATGAAGCCGAATGTCGTGTTGGGATTCATGTCCGGACGCCGTTCCTTCAAGAAGTTGAACAGGTCGAGGTCGTTGGCGTACTCCAAGCCGAATGCGGTGACTGCGATCGAGCCCGTCTTGTTCTTCGCCGGGGTTTTCGGGATGTTGTACATGGCCATCAGGCAACGGGGTGTCATCAGCGTCTCGCACGAAAGGGGGTTGTCGGGGTTCGTGATGTGGTCGGAAGACACCGCGCGGGCCTCGACCTCTGCGCCCGCATCTTTCACTTCAGCGAGCATCCGATGTTGAGGGGTGCTGAAGCTGGTCGTCGGAGTGACAACTTTCAGGTGGCTCTTCAGCGAGGCAGGGATCGAGTACGACAGCGTCCGGATCGTCTGCTGCCCGCTGGCGCTGTGAGTGAACACCTGGTAGTCCGCGCCGAGCAGCTCGTTGGCCTTGGACACCGGCACGTCGATCGAGATCCAGTCGCCGGCTGCCGAGACCTGATTCGACTCCAACCCGTTCGACGAGAGCCACGCGGAGACAGCCGCCGTCGTTTCGGCGGTCGGGGAGGAGAAGGATTCCACCTGGGTCGATACGAATGAATATCCTATCCAGAGACAGATCGTCAGATACCCACCTCCTCCTTCGACAGCCACTGCCCATAGGCCGGGCTTCCAGGGGTGGCAGCAGCGAGCAAGCGGGACTCCAACCCCGCGAGGTCGTTCTGCGCCAGGTTGAGCTTCAGAGTGAGCGTCTTCCCCGCAGGCGCAGCGCCACCGGCAACGAATCCTTGCGGGGCAGCTGCCCTGGTCTCGTGCACGACGAGGCTGTCGGACGCGGGCGTCGCCGCTGCGAGCGTCAGAGCTGCGGTGAGGAATGCGAGACAGAGCATAGTGGGTCGGTCGGACCGTCTGGCGCGGGCCGTGGAGGCTAGCTTGCCGGGCCTTATATGCGTGTCCTGGAAGGCCATATTTCCCCGGCCCCAGGTCCATGTCGTCAGCGTCCGGTGGTTCCACCGCGTGGAGACGAACTACACGACGGCCTTCTGACCAGGAACTGTCGAAGCAGATAAGTGTGTGCGCGGATCATAGAAGGAGCGTTGCAGAAGCTATTAAGTGGGAGCAGTGTAAGTCACATTAGTCAACCTCGCCTGGTCGCGCGCGCGCGACGGTTGCGCTACGTGCGTACTTGAAGCTGCAGAAAGTTCACGGATGTTGAGACATCCTGGGGGTTGTAGAGGTGAGAACGACTCGTACTACGCGGTCGAGCCTCTGGCCAGTACGTCTGGAGCGCGTCGATCTCGTGGACGAACGGACGCCGAATCACGAATCGCAAATCACTGCAGGTGCTCGCGTCATTTACGCGCGTGGTATCCTTCCCTGCTGCATCACAGCCTCGGCAAAGCAGGTGAAGTAAAGGTTTAGGAGAGGACTGTCGGCATCCCTCGCTGGGGTTGCTGGGGTTGTGTTTCGCGCAAGAGAAACCCGGCTGGGGAGCAGGTCTGTGGGCTTGCACGCAGCAATTGGTTCCGATCCTCTACACAGATAAGTAGTGAAGAGAAGATCGTGTGGCATGGATGTCGTGAAGCAGTCGGCAGTTCGGCAGACGGTGTTGTTGACGTTTATTTGTATATTGATACTCTTAGTCCGATAAATCCGTTCCGCTCAGATAAGATTACAGCAATAAGAGATCTCAAACCGAGCTGTGGCAGGAGGCAATAACTGCGTGGGTAATGGGCATGCAATTTTCCCGACTGGACGAGTCCAGACGAGCTGTAACGCTTGAGATTCGTCGGCAATCCGGCTGCATTTGAGTTGCAGTCAAGTTCTTCTCGGCACTCATGGACAGGTTTCCACACGGCCAATTCAACCCGCACTCGCATAAAGAGGAAATATGAACGGTAACCCGCTACAGCCCGCTGATCTGATGGGATACCGTGATGATAAAATTGAGACATTCCTCCGTCCGGCAGGGTCCTGCGTGATAAGATAGGTGTTATATCGTCCACTCCGGTCACGTGTTATAAAGATAACTGTCATCGGGCAGACTGAGCAGCTTTCTATAGCATTGACACGACTTGGACACGACGGTCATCTTGCAACGGCAATTGCTGGTGCGACCTGCAAATTAGATCGCTTTTCGTGGGCAGAGAAGTCTGCAAAAGAATCTATCCGACATGTGCCAACCGACTGATTCACCATCCTCCCGTCTCCACTGATCACTTACTTACCACGGCGTGGACGATGAGAAGGATTCGGATTCAGATTGAACGCAGGGCGCCCCATCTTCATCTTGTTTGATCGATTACACGGGCGCTCAATCGCTTAGGCTTGGGGTTTCAACTTTCGACACCAAGGGCCTCACAAAGCGTCCGCGGCAGCTCGCTGTCTACCCGCCGCCTGCTTTGCTTTACTGCGCATGTACATATCACCGCCGTGCGCGCGCCGATCTCACACAAGCACGAACAGCAGAGTCTCATCGCGACTGGACAACGATTGCGAGAAAGGAAACCGCCGGACGTGGGGGGTGTCTTGTTTCGTGCGGCTAACACCAGCGGCATTGCCTCGCTGCTGCAGAATGATGGTGCGACGGCGCTGGCGATAAAAGCGGTGTTGTATGCACGCGCCGGCCATTCGCTCTTCCACTGAGCTGAAGAGTATCGGAGAGCAAGGCGACAAGGCGAGGGAAGTCTCTCATGCGCGTCTAACGCTGGCCCCGCAGCGTCTCGTTCGGAAACGAAACCGCTGGCCCGGGCGTCCAACTTCTTTCAGACGTCAATCGTGACGAAGCGGTGGCGGATTTTCACACTGTCCTCGCTCAGATGATGGAGAATGAGCCACCTGAACTGGTGGCTGCCGATGTTATCCAGCTTCTCGACAGGCCTCCCGTCTCACACAAGGGCGATTCCACACGCAAGAACAGCGAAGCGCACAAGAACAGCGACGTACAAAGTGACACACTGCCCCACGCACAAGCTTACCGCTCATCGAGCCACGCACCGACCGACGAGCGTGTGTCAGTTCAAGGCGCACAACGTCACAGTCATGCGGACATGGCCGTGCCGTCGGATCGACAGCCAGAAGTACGGCGTATGTGCCGGTCAAGTTGAAGGAGACGCAGATGCGCTTGTCGGCCAAGGACAGCCATGTCGGAGCGACCACTGGTCCAAGCGGACGGTATTCTGATTAGTTATTTACCCCTCTTGAGAGACGGCCCTTGTATATTTTGCCGCAAATTTCAGAGTATTGAACATAGATTCATGTCGGTCTAGCATATCGTAGTTCCGTCGAGGAATGACAATAAGTGTGCGAGTGCAAGTATTGGGCTCGCACTCTGATGGGAAATGCCGCACAGTGATCTGTAAAAGTCGCACTCTGATGTATAATATTCACATGCTGATCTTGATAACCGGTGATCCCAGCGGCAAACGGTTGGTAAATATCAGACTGGACAGGACCGGACCTTATCCGCGGATTGACAGATGCTGTCAGCTGTCGCCAAGTACCACTGTGGGACTTGTTGTGAGATTCTGCACTTGGACGTAATCAATACATTTGAACGGCCTAGCTTGGACATAATCAATGCCTTTGAATGGCACAACAGTTAGTACGCGGTTCCAGTATATACCAACTGTGTATTTTTTTTTGGCAAATGATGTGCTCCCTGATTAAATCTGATTGAACTAACCCTTAGACCCAGCACTTAAAGCCTCGTGTTGATTAGGCTGCTCTGCCAGTCCACAATCTCTTACCTTTCGTAGATCCCCTCGCTTACAACTTATCTTGAACCCTTATCGATTGAACCCAGGGCAGATGGTTAGAATACACGAGTCGGGTCATCCACATATATATGTACATATTACATGTTCCTTTGTAACCGCATCCAGATCTCTCCCTTGCAAGCTAGCTTGAGTCCGAAAGTTCAATGGCGAATAACGGTACATCTCCCGCAGCATTCTTTTATTTTTTCGATCTGAGACACTCTCAGATGCGTCGTTTAAGGTCTCCCGTCTTTCCATTGATGAGGTTAAACGTTATCGAGTCTGGGTATGTGTTTCCTCTGACGTCTTGACGCTGTAGTAATCCTGCCTTGAAGGCTTTCCCTGAGCAAACTCATGCGCATCTTTCGATTGATATTGCATCATCTTGGGTGTCCTCCCTTGGGTACCAGTTATTCTTGCTGGATAATGGATCAATTGAGACCAGCGCCACTTTGGATCTCGAATCAGCGACCATGGGACAGCTGCAGGCATACCGGAATTTCGTGCGTGTATTTGATCCTACTGCTGCGTCTATTTCAATTGGTTTTCGAGATTCTGGGGCCTGATAGTAACCTTCTCCACACCACACTTTTCTCCTTTGAGCATTGTTCAACTTGGATCAATCCCCGTCCTTTCGCACTCTTCCTGAATCAGCAGGACGATTTTCAGCGACTGCGTTCCTTTGCAGCCTCCGAATCACGTCCGCATTCTCGCGCCTCGTCCTTCTATGATCTTGCCTCGGCCTCCAACAGCCACGCATCCCTGGTTCCTTCTTCCCGGCCGGTTTCATCTATGTCCATCCGGCCGGATTTCTCTGACCTTGACACGGATGTTGATGCCCGTTCAGAGAGCGGTGTATCAGCCCGCAGCTTTCAACTTGGTTCTGGTAGGCTCGAAAATTGCTACGTGCGACGAATGTAGGCCATTCAAATTCCTTTAATTAGATCTCGACTGCGCTATTTCTCCCGTTCAAAACGATTCTGTGGGTGATCTCAATGGTATGTGGTTGTCTCATTCAATCTGGATCCATTCTTACTCGTTTTGTGCCTCATCCAGCTCCGCAGCCCAGGAGAAAGACGATCAGGCCTCGGCGTGACGACCCTTCCATTCGAATCACAACTTACAAGTCAGTGAATCGCCTCATCCCCATTTCTGTTGTACCTAGAACATGGGATGTCCCCAATCCCGCCGAGTCGGCTGCATATCTGTTCCACGCATCCACGGATGAAGATCAATCCCTCCTCACAAATGACGATGGTACTGTGAAGGATCTTGGGCAGCATATTCGAAAGGAGGTACAATCAACCGCTTATGTCTGCTCAAATTCTTGCTGAATTTCTCCCAGGATCAAGATTCATGGGATACAAAGTCCAGCGGGCACAAGACAGATGCCGGCGATACTGGAGTTGCTCAGTTGCTCTCAGAGTCTCCACATCTCGCCGTTCGATGCCGCCGTCTCACAATGCATTGCAACGGCCTCGATTCTTGTGCCTTGTTTGACACTGGGCTTGTGGACAACTGTGTTCGATATGCGGCTAATCCTGACGACACCCATGCCTTGTGGGCACCCCAACTGCATGATAATCAAGAAGAAGCTGCATCTTATCTTGCTGCCCTTGCACGGTACGTGTTTTGGTGATCTAATATCCGAACCTTCATCTAATACAAGGCAGATATTACCGACAAATTCATGAACTACGCTGCAAGGCAGAGTGCAGTGGGGCTCCAAAACTCGTTCGACTCTCTGGTGTCAGTGCCATCATTTTGGCTACGACTCTGGATCCAGGACTGATTTATTTCCAGGGTCGTGTCTTTAACGGACATTCCCATTTTGTGGGATGCTCGGGTTTTCGGGCTGGCGAGGATCATCGATATTCCACAATCCCCAGCCATATTGACGCAGAAATGCTACAACATGCCCTGGATAATGGCGGTCAGCTCCCGACCCTTGTCACTGTGAAGGACAAGTGTTCTTTCACTTCAAATCCACGATTTGGTGTGAAGCAATGCAGTCAGTGGAATATTTTCGCTCCAAGAAGTTATTAATCTCCTGCACAGATTATAGCCATATTATTAATGGTGTCATTACGCAACCGGGAATGATTGAACGCAAATGTCCAGTGAAGATGACCATTCTTGTCCCCACTGAAAGCGAGAAGCGGGCCGCACCAGAGCTTGCCTTCAAGGCTATCATTTACTTTTCTGGTCCGCACAATCATCCAGCTTGGCCAATTTCGAAGTTGGGCTCTCAGGAGAAGCGACTTCTTGCCTCTGCGATCAGGACTGTTGGTATCCGTGGACTAACTGCAAGCCAGCTTCTGAATAGTGAGTAATAATTCAAGTGTCAATTGAATTTCTGATATTAATTCATAAAGCACCCTCTACTGGCGATGTCTTTGGTTCGGCCGCGTTAGGGACAGTGTCTACTGCTCTCTTGAACAATCGATATATTCGAGGGGAGATTTCGTCTGAAAGGAGGCAGAACTTTCCCAGGGGAACTGGTTGGGAAGGTGAGTCACTATCTGGGCACGTCTGCACACGCTAGAACTCTTTCAAGGTCTTGTTCATTTTCACTCTGTCACCACACGCAATATCCTACCATCTGACCGCTATATTCATGCAGTCATGAACAAGGGCGGGTTCCGTATTGTAGTTACAATGCATCCTGAGTTGGCTGAACGCATCCACCAAGTCCGATACCTTGCCATTGACTTCACCTTCTCACGGGTTCAGAGATCGGAGAATATGGACGAATGGGAAATCGCTGGATTTTTGGATTCAGTTCAGAAACGTGTGTCGCTGGACTCTCTGTGCAGTTTATTAATGCACTGATATTGGATTCCGGGATAGGATTCACGTTTGGAAGCTTGTTCTGTGACACCAAGTCCACAGAGGCCTATCTACAACTCTGGATCGAGCTCTTTGACACCATTAAACGCATCACTGGCCGAGTATTCAAGTTGGCGCCCTTCTATCCAGACGCAAACTGTCGAGTGATCTTACTCGACGGCGAGGTAGCTCAGGCACTTGGCCTGGGTGAATTCTTGAAGTCGTACAATGACCCTGCCACCAGTGGCATTCATTCTCGAGATGCCGTTGACCTGCTCTCGTACGTCCTTAAAACCTGTAGCGTTCATTTCCACCGGTACGTTTGGATCATTTACATATTGATATATTTGCTGAGCTCTTTGCCTCCAGGCATGTAAAAGAACTCGAGAAGTCCACCCCCTCCGACCTTGTTCAGCGTATTCGAAGCTTTCCGGGACTCAAAACAGGGGAGGAGGTCGAACGCTGGTTGGCCGAGATGCCCGATGCTCTCCAACCCTTTTCCGACGCTCATAGTAAGTCACCTCAGTTTTTCGGCCGTGAAAACAGGACTTATTTTTGCCCAGATTGGCTCAAGCACAAACTGAGTAACCCTTGGATTCTTCCATCGCTCAGTCCTGTGCTCTCCAAAATCCCTTCCAGCGACTTCAATACCACCCCAAGCCATACAAATATTGTGGAGACTGCACATGCTGCTCGAAATGCGGAAACTCGGAAGCACGTTGGCCTGCTGGATGCAATTCTTGAGTTCAGTTCGCTCTAATCTGCGGCCTTGAGCGGTACTTATTCTGGGACGTAGCGCTCAGCAGAGGGACAATACCCACGTCGAAAATCTGATTTTAATGGAACGCAGTGGCATTCTATACAAGCGCGGCAATTCCATCTACAACCGCGAGGTAAATTCGGCGAACCGCGCTGTTTGGCAGCGAAAGCTTGCTGCCAAACGAGACGATAACATCCAGGAGTACCAGACACTCAAGGCTGACATCGACGACGGTAAAATTGAGTACGATGCATCACTTAAACGTTCGAAAGCTTTGGAGCAACAGATCAAAGCTTGCCGGAATGCCCTGCGAATTAACCATCGCGACGAGCATATTCGACTGGAGCTGAACCAGCGACTTGCAGAAGAGGAGGCGGAGAAGTCAGCGAGGCGGACATGGCGATCTGTTCGACGACCTGCACTGGATGCGAGGTTGCTAGAGCTCCGATCGGGACCACTCGCTCGCAAGCAGATCCCCGCCAGTGTTGCGACTCAGGCGATTGACAATGGTAAGTTTTCTAATTGCTAATGCGTGTACATATTATCTAATTTGAGTATTATTCTTACCAGGTGCTTCTTCATCTCGTGCCAATGCCGGGGAACCCGCTGAACTGCGCGCTGAACTGGCAACTCCGGAATTGAACTTGAAGCCATTGGATCAATTTTCAGAACCGCTTTCATGTGAGTATTTTTTTTGTTTCTTGTTCATCCAATATTCCTACAACATACGTTCAGCAATGTTACTTTTGGAACCGGAGTTTGGGAATCAAGGCGCAATTGGGAATTCCAACGACTTCCAGTCCTTCTACTGGCCACAGGAGGGGTCGTCTACAACGAGCATCGTGGATACTACTGATCCACCTGGACACTATGGAGGTATGTGACAAGTTTATGTTGTTGCCCAAACTCATTTACGTTCGATTTAGATCCCGGTTTTGTCGATCCGGTTTTTTCCAACATGGAACAAGTGAACATGGCCGCTCTGAATTTCAATCTCAGCGAATCTCAGGTGAGGGGGATCTTGATTCTACTGTCAGGACACTCAGTATCCGATCCTAGATGGGATCTGAGTTTATGGGCTTTCAGGAGTTTTCGCAGGAAGAGTGGGACGTATTGATCAGCAACATGCCCGAGAATGTGGGGGGGAACAGTACGGACACGGGTCTCTCCGTGGATCAACCGCTTCTGTCTGCTGAGAGAAACATTCTGCCCGATCCCTCATCTGCAATGGCTTCTGAAGTCGATTCAACACCTGCCGCTCAACTTCCACTGACCACACAGAGCGAGGCGGCTGAATCTGATGTACAGAACGCTCCGAGACGTTCATCAGCTCGCAAGCGAGTCCCTCGGACCAGATCCCGAGACAACATTATTGGGGAATTGACGTCAAAGAAGCCGAGGAAGGGGTAATGTTATTGCATACAGTAATTTGTTCACATAAACTGGCGGAGGACAATATTATTTAACTACAATGATCGACAGTGCATACTCTCTGTATGTACTTGCCAAACCGTTGTCTTTAGCCTCTCGATGCGGGTTGTTACAGTTGTGACAGATCACCGTCTAGACATTTAGGCGCATCAGAGATTCGGACCACGGAGACAGGGTTCAACCGCTTGCGGATCATATATACGATCACTTATGTGCAACTACGCTGCCATCAGTGTGCGACTTTGACCATCAGGCCAAGTCGCACACACACACTCTCTGTATATACTCTAGTTCCGTCTGTGAGCCTGCTGATGAGGCCTGAGTTCTGACGCTCAAAGTGCCAGCACTAACCGAAACTACACGCAATAGTCCTCTCTCGAGCTTCCGTCGCAGGAGGGCGCCGATGTCCCGCCTCTGAGCACCGAAGAATGCAATGGACCTCTCTTGAAAAAGCCGACGCGTCTCGTGATATTCTCGCTATCAGCGGGCCGATGACCAGTGACACCGATCATCCGGCCCAGCCACCTCCGGATACCGGATCCGACGCGACCAAAGCGCGCCTTGCTCTAACCACTGATGTCGACCCTCTGTCAGCCCAGTCTCCCCTCTCTCCCGAAGACCCAGACTCACTGACCGCTCCAGCTACCTCCTCTCTATTCGATGTGCAAGGCAAAATAGGTGCGCCGACCCCGCTCGCGACGGCGGCAGGACCTTGGCTCACAGCGAGCGGACGGCAGTGCTCGTGACCGGAGGAGGGAGCGGCATCGGGAAGATGATCGCTGCGGGCTTTGTTGAGAATGGGGCCAAGGTGTATATCGCGGCGCGCAAGGAACAGCAGTTGCAAGAGGTGCAGTAGTCTCGCTACTACACTATATGCCATGCAACGTAAATCTGATCCCAACGGCAGGCGGTGCGCGACCTGAAGAAGCTAGGGAACGGGCAGGTCGACTACATCGTCGCCAACGTCGGGGTGCGTGCCCCCGTGCCGCGGTTTCCGCCGCGCCGTGGCTGACGCGCCCGGCAGTCGAAAGCAGGCTGCGACGCGCTCATCGCCGAGTTCAAGCAGCGCGAAAGCAGGCTCCACGTGCTGGTGAACAACTCGGGCGTCTCCTGGGGTGCCCCGTACGAGAACGTGCCGGAGGAGAAGGGCTGGGACAACGTTTTCGCCGTGAACGTCAAGAGCATCTTCTACATGACTGCAGGGTGAGTAGTACCAACTTCAACGGCCCACCTGGGCCCGCGCGCGAGACCAGTTCTGACCGAATGGACCGCTAGGTTGACGGACTATCTGACGAAAGACGCGACGGCCGACTCGCCGGGCCGTGTGATCAACATATCTTCGACGGACTCGGTCGTCCCCTGGAGCGAGAATCTGCTGAGCGGGGACGGGAGCGGGACGTGGAGCTGTGCGTTTTCTTCCTCCTCTCTCTCTCAGAAAGCGCGTCGTCTGAATCAGTGTGCAGATCAGCCTAGCAAAGCAGCCGGTTCGTCTCCCCTCATCTAACAAACGGAAACGTCTTATGAATCCATCCCCTAGTCAATCACTTGACAACCTCGCTCGCGGTGAAATTGGGGCCCCAGCAAGTCACGTGCGTTGCAGTTATAACCAGGATCCACGGACATTGACACCAGAGATATCCAGCGTGAATGCCATCCTCCCTGGGTCAGTCAGATCAGTCTATTCTGAGGTGACCTACTAATGCGTCCAATAAGTTTCTTCCCAAGCAAGATGACAGCATTCGGTCTCAAAGCGGCCGGCGAGGAGCTGCTTTCGCTGGGCCAACCCACCGGTGCGTGCCAACACGGACACGCCTCCCTCTGCGTCCATCCACCGTTTCCTGACTGACTACTTACCAATCCACATCTACTGTATGTGACCAGGCCGTCTCGGGAAGACGCAAGACATGGCCGGCGTCGCGCTGTTCCTCGCGTCGCCCGCCGCCGTGCATGTGACCGGCGCGCAGATCATCGTCGATGGCGGAGGGAGGTATACCCGCACGAAGGCCGCGGCGCAGGTGAAGCTGTGAAGGGCCGGCCGATGTGCGATCTGGGGTGCTTAGATTATCATACGTATTTGACCCTCGGTTATTCTCTGCTCTGCAGGATTATTAAAAGGGACCTGTTTTGAGTCCGGCCAAGCCAAGCGGTAATCTCATTCCTGAATATCAGAGGCCAACCACGGTTGGTCGGAATCCCGTCTTGGGAGCTAGTGTCACATGAACGGTTTCGGACCGAGGAAGAAATGGCCTGCGAATGTGGCAAAAGTTCGTCTCAGAGGTTTCTATGAGCAATGTCGAACTGGGCATGTTGCTTGGCAGTGCGATGCGTTGCTGGCTCGAGTCGATGATCACTGTGGGACCTGGGTGGCTTCCAGATTTCAGTGGCCGTAGCCTGTCCTGGCGTCTGCTGAAGACTAGTGCTCTAACGCGACGCGTGCCCGCACGTCCATCATCATCACCCAGCAGTCTCGCACGCCAATGCTAGCGTGTTCTCTAAATAATGCCATGAATCGGGACGAGTGAATATAAGACAACAAAGAGCAGAAAACAAAGCTACGTGACCGACAGGCTGCTGGTTACCCCGGTTATAACCCGAGAGCAGCGAGCTCTTTCCGTATCTCTGCTTCGCCCTCGATCTTCTTGAGCTGCGTGGCCTCCAGCCGCTCGCCGCGCTTCGACTTTTCCTTCAGCTCATCAATCGCCTTGAGCTGCAGCGCGGAACACGTCAGCGAAGAACGCAAGTTGCCACACAGAAACCGTACCTTCTTGTTCAGATTGCGGGCCTTCTTGGCAATGGGATCCAGGGCACTGTCGAGTCCTGGTGTCGGTGGCACGTCAGCGTCGACGACGAGCCCCGGCGGCGGGATGAACAGCGATCCGTTGCCGTTGGGCTTGCCGTTCGCCTCGACCTCAGCAGGCGGCGCCTCCTCCGCAGCCTTGCCCTTCCGTTTCTGGTTCCCGTTGCTGCCATGCCCAGCTGCAGCGCCGGCCGCCGGCTGCTGCTGCTGCTGGTCGTCCACAGCCTCCTTCTTGCCTTTACGCTTCCTGTTCTTCTTCGTCTCCCCCTCCGGACCTGGGCTCGGCGAATGCTGCGGCGAGGCTGCGCCCGGGACGTGGCGCCGCGCCGCGCCGTTTTGGCCGGGCGAGTTGTACGACCCGTTCTGGAATCCGTTGCCCGGTGGAGCGGGGCTGCGGTTGAACGAGCGCGAAGGCGAGTTGGTCCCATTCGTCGGCACCCGAGCCGCGCCGCCTTCGTCTTCGCGCTTGAAGATCGCCGGCGTCGCCAGACCACGCGCACCGGGTGGCCGGTAGGCCCCGGCCGGCCGTGTCGGCGTCGGCTTGGCGATGGCCGCGTGCTGCTGCACACTGGCACTGGCAGCCGGCGCTGGCGGCAGGTTCATTGGGAACGCTGCGACCTTGTCGACGGGGGTCGGCCGCCAGGACGCCTGGTAGAGCTCCTCCACGAGCTGCACGTGCATCAGAGGTCCCGTGCAATGGTAGATCTTGATTCCGTTGTCGACACGAAGCCGGGGCGATAAAGTGGCTGTCATGAGGAAACGGCCGTCGGGCGACCAGTCGCAATACGAAGTGTTGGGGGCATCGATGGTGCACACTTTAGTCAGCGTGCGCCGGTCCCAGATGTCCATCTTGCCCGCCAGGTTACCGAAACCCGCCAGCGCGATTAGACGCCCTTGCTGATTGAAGGATATAAAGTTGGTGGGCGAGGTCCCGAAGTCATGTATGGACCGGACTCGTTGATCGAAGAGCATGGTCTTGGCCGGCATAACTGCGCGCACGTCAGCGAATCGCCAGACGACCAAGATCGAGACTCACATCCATAGACGACACCGAACTCTTTCGAGGTCGGATTCCACACAAAGTCGTGGATGGGCCCCTGCTTATCCAGCGTCACGCGGCAATCGAAGTTTCCAGCTGCGCTCAGCAGATACAACCCCGTTTCTCCGTAGTAACTCTTGTTCGAGTTATCCACCTCCGTCTGGGTCAACAATAGCACCTGTGTCCCCAAATCGTTCCATTTGATCGTGCCGCGGTCAGCCTTGAAGAATGTTTTCTGGCATGTAGGCGGGCTGTTGAGCGTGAGCAATCCGTATATTTTGATGCTAGCTGGTTGACCCTGAGTAGTCGGTCACATGAGTGGAGACAGTCGATGTGACACGATCCACGAACGCACCTTCTTCTCAGCGATGAACACTGCGACGGAAGGATTCAAGCCCGGGCTCAAGGAGACACTGCTCGCTCCTTCAACCTTCAGCTTGTCCACGACTCCCCTGGACCATTCGGCAGGTCGGAAGACCTGGATCTCCTGCCCAACGAGACGAATGGCATGCGATTCAGAGATCGTGTATTGCAGATCCCAGCCTTCTTGGCCCTTTTGACTAAAGGAAACCAGCTCTTCTCCAGTTGAGCAAGAGAACACGCGAAGGTTTTTGTGCTGCGCGCCGTCTTCAAGCTTGACAGGGCGTTCCCATGTGGAGAGATAAGTCCCGCGGGGCGAGAACTTGAGGTCCAGAATTTGTGAGATAGGAAGCTCCTGGAGAAGCTGCGCGCCCTCTGCCTGGAATATCCGCACCCTGAAAAGCTCTAGCGAGGATCGGGAACATGCGACGAGGGACTCACACGTCAGGCAAGGCATAAGCGTACAGCCGTCCATCAGCACTGTAGTGATACATCCGCGCGGGAACATCTGGGCCTTGAAAGTTGGAGATGGGGAGATACTCGGGCGAGCCACCAACGAGGCCGAGGGATTTTTGAGCACGGACTGGAAACGTCGTCAGATCACAGAGCATACGTCGAAATAAACATCGAGAAAAGATGGAGGGAAGGCCATTAGAACGACTCGGAATGTGGCTGGAGCTAAAGAGCCAGCGACGGCACAAAGAGTCTCCCGTCGATGCGATCAGAACATGCTGGAAGGGGCATGCCCGACGACGGTACATAGGGACAGCCGCGCATGTCTGACGTCGCACTGAGCCAGCGAAACAGCAACCAAAAGCACGTATAAAACGCGAGAATGATGTACACGACCCTCGGCGCCGGACGATCCCTCCGCCACGGCTTCACCAGGCGAAAATGTGTCCCCCTGTTCCGTCAAACACGGTCTACAGAGAAGCACTCCCTCGATGTGCATCTATTCCTCTGTCATCAGCTCATCCATCCCACCAAGTCCGACGCATCCAATCCGATCCACATCCGGAAAATCGACACGAAGGCGGATGGAGAAAAACGGCGATCGCGTGCAGCTGCGCTATGTAGAGAGATACTAACATGCGAATTGCTGAGAGGGTTGGGATGCCATTGTGGAGGAGGACGTGATGGGAGCAGAGGAGGGTGGAGGTGAAGCAAGCTAATGCTTCGAGGGTTGGTCGAGGGAGATGTGTCCGTTGTCGATGTTTGGCACAGCCCAAAAGATCTGGCGAATAATTTGTTGATCGGATCAGTGAATTCTCATTTAGAATGCCGAAATAACCACTCCGAATTTCCGATTCGCGCTCCCGGCGAGAAAGAAGGCGTTTTAGGAAGAGCATATGTGCGGAAAATTACTCCGCTATCAGAAGGTTATATATTCCTCTGAGCTCGAGTCCACATCTCTTGTGGGGAGTGGTTCCACCACATGCGATCCAGCCTGTCGCAGAAATATGGAGAGGTGATAGACAGTGACTGAAAATCAAATGCCAACAATCGTAAGAAGAGAGTTATGTAAACGAACCCATCACCCTGATACGAAGAAAGCGTCGAGACTGATACTTTCTGCGTCAAGGTTTCAGGCAAAGATTGGAAAGAAGATGTATTTCGCGATGGTTTTCTTGGAGATTTTTATGAATCACACGTAATGAGACCTGCATTGACTTGGACCGACCCAAAATCGAAGAGCTCTGGAAGCAGTGGACGCGTGTGTCCACTTGAGACTGTCACGTGAGCGTGGCGCCCTTGATCGCAAATAATTCACGCCGACCTGCTCTTTTCCACACCTCGTGGTCTAGGTCGTGCAGCACGCGTCGGGTCAACCTTCTGAGTCCTGTCCCCGGACTCCAACCATTTAACCGTCCTGATCCTCCTTGTGTAAACATGGCATCTTCCTCTGGGTCCCCATCCACAGTCGAGGTTCCCCATCTGAGTGCTGCACCTCCCTCTCGCCTTCCCGTGCGTTTATCACTCTCTGAGATATCCCGATACCCACGATTAGATGTGATCTTGTAGCTCAAGGGAGAAGATTTAGGTGCGACATGCGAAATCTGCAACGTTTACCTCCGGCGTACGACGGACCTGCCGCGACACATGCTTCTACACTCGAAGGATAAGGAATCCCTGTACGTTGAACTCGCGCTCTAATACGTCTAGGACTCAGACGCGCTGGCTCTAGGATGTTCCGATGCCCCGTTGAAGGCTGTGGTCATTCGACATTACAGAAATCAAATCTCGCGACTCACATCCGGACACAGTTCGTGGCGCTTTCGCACAGCAAACACCTCACTGATCAAAGGATATTCCGACTCTAGCACGCGTGCAAAGCCTCACAAGTGTCCCGAGACCTTCCCGGACGGGCAGAAATGCGACTTCAGCACGGCAGACCCATCCTCATTACACCGGCATCGGAAACGCAAGCATGGATACACCCCACGGCAGAAGGCGATCCCCACTCAAACGCACAGATTCGTGCACACGTTTGCGGGCCTACCGCCGGAAACTCAGGCAGTGGATGTGCCGGAGTCGTCCAAGGCTCAGGAGGGATCGCTCGTGGCGGACCATGCTGAGCGGATGTCCGACTGCGATTCTGAGGAATCGTATGATATCGTCGGTGCTGTCGATGGGATACCTGCGTCGGCAGAGGACGACATCGATGGCGAAGGCGAACCAGAGGAAGACACCGAGCCTGTTCTCATGTCTCTTCCCTCCTCCACTCACGGGAACACATCTGTCGAGCGTCCAGGGCCACCTCCCTTTTGTACCGTCCCTGCGCCAAGCTGATGTGCACGAGCGCTGGTTTGTAACCGACCCAGACCATTTCTCCATATCCAGCCTTCCGAGCACCCCGATCGTTCACGCCACCTCCCATTCTGTTCCCAAAGATGTACCACATTTACAACGCACGTTTTGGATTGTGATCAGAAAATGTGAGATGCGGCCATAAGATGCGGTCGGCACTGCCTGGGTCCGTTCCAGTCTGGCTAACAACGACCTTAACGCCGCAGATATCCGCACTCTGTGGAGTTTGTCAATTTTCGTGGCCATGTGTAAGTCGTGTTATGTAAGATTTAAAGGGCCCGCGCATAAGTATGGCATGAATATTTTTGTATACGAGAGCTGTTAGATCTCCAGATCTAGAATTTGTTCCCACGGCATATCTACCCTCAACTGCGGAACTTTCGACTCATCAGGCTGTCATCACACTGAGGTAAGATGCTTAACTCCAGCAAGCATAATCGCAGCAATGGGTGTGAGAAAGAACCTGAGCGCGACCTGTCGGCCGGAATAACATTACTGTGTGCGTCTGCAACATCTAAATCCACTGTTGGATCTGTGTGGGAACCAGATTTTGAAATGTGGCTGAGAACGCTAGTGTCAGTAGCCCCACGTCCTTCTGATGAACATGGTCATCAACCTTGTGTAAATAGACGTCAACTGAGTGGTCTTTCAAATATAGGTTAGTCAGGTTCTGACACGTGAATGTTTCTCTCGCTAACGGCTATGTAACCTCCTCCGGGTTTCCATCCTTTTCTTCGCGCTGTGCGTCATTCCACAAGATGACCGCAGCGCTCGCCACGTCGACCACTAATGAAGTCGGCACACCTTCTGAGCGTGCGGTGTTGCTCACCAATCGACGCCCTCCGTGAAACAAAAGAAGTTGATGCAACGAAGCACGCAAGAGATAGCCCACAGAGTGGTGTTGGATTGAGAAAACTCAGGGAGACCAAGAGGATCCTCAGTGCGATGACAATCTCGGCTATTTAGAAGCGTAAGTCGGCGCGAAGTGGAACACTCCGGCCATGCAGCTTCCCGGTAAACATTGTCCTCCGTCGATACTTATCGGGTGATGGGGTTACCGTTGCACGACCCGCACACAGTCAAATAAGCATCGCGTACATGTCAATCCCCCGGTCAAAACACCTTGAAATATCATCAGTTCAAGAGCTGAGCACGGTAGACCTCTTGAGATGAATGGGTAAGATTTGCAGGTCAGATATCGAGATTTGCCCGACATTTCCAGAGAAATCTCGAGCGATAGGTCACTCATAATGATAATCTATACCCGAAGGCCCACCGTAAACATACAATTCGAACGAATGAAAGCTGTCACCATTTGCCTAACCGTTTGAAGGCTGAGCACCAAGATGTGGACATCTACCACCTCTCGTACATTTATATACATTTAAGCGATACTCACAACAGGTTCGAATTGAGACTATCTATTTCAAGGAACTGAAAGAGTGAAAACCGTTTCTATCCTCTTTTACTTTGGCAAAAATGATCAAGTGGTTTTCCATCAGACTGGCACCATATCAAGCCGGGTCCATCTTCGCAGCCAGATGAAATTATCAATATCCGATATCGTCACGATAGACCTAAATATGGATGTATGTTTCCGACACTGTATCACTCGGTTGCTGGACAAATCCTATGCCATCAGACCATGACTCTTGGAAAATTTCTCAACGGACTCTGTGATACGTACTTTGTTTGATTGCGGTCAAAGCCATTTTGATGTTTGATATCGTTTCAGTGCAGTTCCATAAATTGGCGTTCTTTGATTGCTCGATGCACCTGTTCATGTTTTTGCCGACTTTATCACCTGATTGGGCAAATTGATAGAGGGATCTACTGCCACAGAGTGTCGATTTCACTCACGCGTCCTCAATACCGGTTTCGAACCACCACGAAAAGCACTGTAATCTGGTGTGGCAAGCAATTTCAATCTTATACAAAACATTAAAGGCTGAACATCACAAAATTTGTGAATAAGCAAAGCGAAGGAACAAGAATTCCGATGAAATCGCCTGATCCGTTGAATTCTGCTTTAAATAGCCTAGATCCAGAGTCACTGGAAAGATGCGGACAACAAAAACCCTGGAGTTCTATTCTGGAATATCCTGGGGCATAGCCATTTGTGTAAACGAATTTATGGACGTTTATTGACAACTTCGATTTTATTCCTTCAAGATGTCGAACCAAACTGAATGGTGGGAACCTTGACGTCGTCTGACTGGAAAGTTTGGAAACAATTGATGAGCGTGAGAACTCTCATCAGCCATCATACTGTATGTGAGGGTCTAGTTGGCCACCCTACCTAGTTGGCCACTTCGATTATTTAACATGAACCCTTGATTTTCCAGGCATTTCGTGTATGTAGGATGAAAGAGGGATGTCTAATGCCGGTGTGACGCAAATCTGAGGTCACTGGGATGTGATGGTGATCCGTCAGGATTGATTGGTCATCGTGATCGGGAGGCACCGAGCAGATTCCTTATTTGGGTGGGCCTGGGCGGGCCGATTTCTTAACCGATTGCGCTCCCACACAATCACCTCTGTACCATCCGCCCCTGTTGGGTGCACATTCGATAGGCAGGAGTAAAGGCCTTTTCAGAGGACAATTTAACCACATACTCAAACACATCCGCTCTCCACGCCGCGATCTTTCCCTGCCTGTGCTGCCTTTGTCATACCATATGACCCTGATTCTTGTCGGGCATTGGTGACGAACGGCTCGTCAAATGCATGATATTTTGTGGATAGATGGTGTACTGAGTGTTGGAATAGCAACAGTAGCAGCGGTACTCTGGTATACGATGAGAAAGATGGACAGCAATGTGTGAGATGGCAGATTCCCACGCCCGGCCAACTAGCCCGGTTGACCCGGTTTGGCAGTCGTCGCGGGAAAATATTCATTGATCAGGAACCACGACTAATAAGCACAAGCGGCGACTCGCACGTCGTTCTCAACAGGGTAGGTCATGTTTCTGACCCATTGGATATGGTCTTAGGGTATCATATTGTGTGTTACAGAGCTAAAGTCTCTTAGGTGGCCAACTAGACCCTCACATACAGTACATCACTTGATGAATGACGATACATCACTTGATGAATGACGACGGACCCATGGTGGCGTGGTCAGATCATCCTGCCCTTGTTCCCAATTCTCATCTCCCGCGTCCAAGACGCGATCTCATCCCTGCAGGTGGCCGATGTCCTTGAGAATCGGCTGATAACTCCTGGTAATAAATAGCAACCGAGCAAACCCGTAACGTCAAACGCGCAAGACTCTAGCCTTTGTACTTCCCCGCTATGAATGTCACGCTCTGCGACTGTTTCCGACTTGTAAAGCCCGGCAGGACCACCAAGCATGGATCATTGTTGCCATGAATGGTTCTCCCAGCTATAAGTTTCGTCGGCTTCTCTCGTTCTGCAAGACCATTGCCATGGCTGGCTTGCCTCCCACGATTTTAGAGCTGCGACA